AATGGAACCAATTGCGCGGCAACAGGAACGCAACAAGAACCAACCAGAGCATCCCTCTCCATGTACGGCAATGGCACCAATATTTGGTACTTTGACGGTGTCCCACAAACAGGTCTCGGTGTCGAGGCCATGGTTGGCTGGGACTGCCTCGGTCATCAAGGAAGGGGTGTGTGGTGGGGTCAAACTGCCGATTCCAGCGAGTATTGGTGCAACTTGTTCCAGGTGGAGTACGGGGAGGAAACACGACAAGCAACCTACATCAACTATGCCTTTGGTGGGACCGGCCAATATGCTTCCGCCGAGGGATCTTGTCCCACAACGTTCGACGAAATCCCTCCCGATGCCTTGCAGGCAAGCTTTTCCAGGACCCTGGGCGACGACGAAACCTTTCAATTCACTTGCCAGGAGGACTCCCCACAATCGTGCCGTCCACGAAGTACACCAGTTCCAAATCCCTTTGCGGATGAGCAGTCTCTTCCTGTGCTGGATACTACTACATGCCTCCCAATCGATGGACAATCCTCCGCTTCAGTGCCAAGTGTCGCCAGTCTGATTCTCGTAGCTGCGGCCTTGTCTTTCGCATGATGCTAGCTGTGCAACCCAAGCCAGAAGAAAAGATGTAATGACATTACGTAAGGTCTTGTGTTTTGGGAAGATATGGCTTAGCTAGTATGCTTACAATAGATCCTAATGGATTAGACTCATCGGTGCACCATTGGTCTCAGGGACTGCTTGCCTTGTCATCTCGCCTGTTGCTTTCACCCCCTTGCACTAGCTTGCTTAGAGATTGAACAATCAGCTCCTAATCACATTCCTTCCCATTCAGCTGTTGCCACGGACCATCGTTGCCAAGGAGTGGTTGCCTGTCCTTATCAGCTCCGCTGCTTCCACCTCCTTGCCATGTCTCCGGAATTGGCACTGAAAAGTTTGCCATACCGGTTAGCTGTTGCCTTGGATCATCATTGCCGGGGGCTGGTTGACTCCCTGTCTCGCCTCTGTTGCTTCCACCTCCTTGCCCTGCCTGGCTTGAAAACAGATCAATGGGCACCGAGAGGTTTGCCATACTAGTTAGCTGTCGCCCCGGACCATCGTTGCCAGGGAGTGGTTGCCTGTCCATATCGCCTCCGATGCTTCCATTATCCTGCACTGGCTCGCTTGGAGGCTGATTAGTTGGCTCTGCATAGCTTTTTTCTGGCCTAGCTTTCGCCCTGGACCACTGCGGGGTGCCACAAGCTCCTTCGTTTTCGTCTACAGCATGGCAACAGGAGACAGCGCTTTCGCGAAGACTTCCTGCCTCGTAGAAGGAAAAGCAGAGGAAGAGAACATAGCAAATGTTTAGTTTCATTTATCTGGAGGCTTGTTTGGTGAGCTGTACGAGTACTCGGAGTACTCGTTGGTAGGTAGCTTTGAAAGGGCACTCGATTGGTGGGTTCGTACAGCCGTAGCCAGCTTAGAAAGTTGAAAGGGCCATTATATCGTAAACCTACTATACTGCCGGAACTGATTCCTTCCACCATCTATCTGCCGCATCCGGTCATCAAACTCGACAGGTGATCACACGTTCACACAGCTACCGTACATAGATCAACTTCGAATATTCGGAGGGATGGCTAGTAGCGGTATCCATTTGGCGCCTCGACCATTGCTGAGAGAATCAGACCTGCCCAAACACCATTTTCCAGGAGGCTCTCATCTGCCGAGGGGTGCTGTGCAGCAATTGCTGCAGGAAGATTGCCATTCATGACAGCCCAGCAAGTCTTGCGGAACTCTTCGTTGGTGGTCATCAATGACGCAATAGTTGCTCGGTCCGTCATGTCCTTCAACAAGTGTCTGTTTGTTGTCAAAATGCAACTTATAAGTTCAAAGCAGCATTGCTTCGATTGCCCCATGCCAGGGAAACGGAGGGACAAGTCAAGGCCTTCGGTTAGAGGCCGTATGTTACCAGTAGGTCGAGGTACTCCGTTCCGGTAGGAAGCGGACCCGTTGAATTTTCCCTGGAATACTGCTCTCAAATGGGCCTCCAGCGTCTTGTCGCACTCCTTCACTCCCTCGTAGCAGCACAGTTTGTCAAACCACGGAAGCACAATGCTTACATCTTCGGCTCGTGGCCTTACTCCCATAGGAACAAGCATGGACCTCACCAATTCCCACTCTTTTGGGTCTTTGTCTGAAAATTCAAACCTTTTGGTCCAGGACTCTTTCATCCCGCTTCGAAGAGCATTGTCAAAGTACTCACAACTGTAGCAGAGATGCTGGCTGTACTCTTGGAATTCCTTGCCACCTACTACAACGGCCAGATCAGGTTTGATGGAACGGAACACCTTCTCCTGCTTCGTAGCGGCGCTCTCTACATCAATGATTTCTCCGCCACCTCGTTTGCGAGACATGCTAACTACCTTGTACTGGTGAAGATTGCAACTCTCTCAATTGACCTTGTGCTGGTGGAGATGACGAACGCTTCAATTCGATGTTGCCAGTGTTGTGCAAAGTGAGAGCTTCGAATAACGCCCTCGACGGCGTCTGTGGTCGTGGGTGGTTCATCATCACGATTTGAACGTTTGCGTTGTCTTAGTGAAATAGATAGCCATCCGTGGTTCATTCCAAGCATTTTCCACTCCTGTCTTTACACTAGACTATACCAAACTTTTGGTACGATACGCTGCTTGAAAAGAGGCTAACGAGCGGTCCGACCTGGGTTTCATCCCGGTCGGCGACGAACGGGCAGTCGCCCCCTTGAAATGAGACAATCAGGTTGCAATATTGGGATTAGCTGTGCAGTGCTCATGGTTCATTGATAAGGGAGTCCAGCGTTCGCATACTAGTAGTGTATTGCATGTAATGCGTCTGCGACCGCAAGTGTTACTAGTATGTCCAACGACCACATCCCAAGTGCAAAGTTAGCGTAAATGCGTTGTTTTAGTGGGAAGATGCCAGTTCCCGGTAGATTGGTTCCCTGCACCTCCATTTAACATTCGTCTTCACAGCTTTGCAACAATGTTTAACGGCATCATTGGCCGCCGAATAACCGTCTCGAATTCAAAAGCCATTCAAACCTATCGCCCACAAAATCCACCTCCCACGAACCACTCTCTTTCATCATCACCTCCCACTAACATTCACCATGGCATCCGTTCCTTCCCAAGACGAGGACGACAGAGACGAGAAGGTCGTGTTCAAGATTGGCAGCGAATCATACGAGAGTGATCATGGTGTGGAACGTTACAGCGATGAAGACGACAGCAGTGGCTGCTGCGACGACGAGGAAGCCAACGCCGTCGCGGCTTCGGGTCGCATGAAGAGCATGGGCGTCATGATGGGTGATGATTACGACGAAAGCAGCCGCGGCGATAGCTGCTGTGTCCGTTATTGGCTTTGTTGGATTTGCTGCAGTTTCTTGGTCATTACGATGATTGTGGGCTTTATGGGAGCTGTGGAATACCAAAAGGAAGCAGCCATCTTGTACGGAATCATTGATGAGGACAATGGGGATGTAGCTTGCACCGCGTATGACGACAACGCTCTGACCGCAATTAACAATTTCTATGAAGGCAACAATGACACTTCTAAATTTTGTCAGGAGGGTGTAAGTTATCATGTATATTTGGTTTGGTTAGGAAGGAGAGGTTTGGGGTTCTCAACATTATATTGCCTTTTGTTTTTACTTTCACCTTTATTTGTAACAGTTCCCTGATTGCCAGTGCAAGCATCCTTATCGACCAACCAAGCCAACGGACCATGGTCCTCAGTGGACAGAAATTCAAACGATGAATCTGGCGCAAGTCCAAATGTACAGCCAACACAAACAAGCGGATGTGGCATTGCTCGGAGATAGCATGTGAGTCAAAAATTTGGTTAGTCCATGCTCTGACTGACAGTCTGGTTATCTGATCTCACTTTCCATTATTCTTTCAGTATTGAGCACTTTACTGGTCTGGATTTGGGTTACTCGGGTGGTGTTTGGAAAGCCAACAAGCGTGCTTTTGACAGGATTTTTAACCGAAAGAATGGTGGCAAGGTCAACGGTGTCGCTCTCGGTGTAGGAGGTGATCGAATTGCAAACCTCCTGTTCCGTCTCCAGAATGGTGAAGCACCGGCAGAATTCCACCCCAAAATCTGGTGGATCTTGATTGGCACCAACGATTTGGAAGACAAGTGCAATGCCGATACCATTGTCGTGGGACAGTTTCGTCTGGTGGATGAAATCCGCAAGTTTCATCCTGGAGCTACGATTGTATTCAACTCCATTCTCCCTCGCAATGAAAACCCCAATGATCTGTTTGCGTCTCCTACCTGGCCCATTATCCAGGAAATCAATCTCAAGCTGGAATGTTACGCCAATACGGCCAAGGGCGTCGAATTCTTTAATGCCACGGATGTTTTTACGGCTCATAGCAAGGGCAAGGTCGTGGTCAACAGGCACTTTATGCAAGATGCCGTGCACCCCAATGCAGAAGGTACTCGCCTTTGGGGTGATGCCATTGCGGACAAAGTGATCGAGTTGAAGCAAAAGAAGAAGAGGCACCACAAAAACAACAACAATCATCATGAGAAAACTGGCGGTGCCAATCACACACCAAAGAAGAACAAGGACAAGTCTGGTTAAATGACGAGCAACTAGCAATCAAAGGTTTCTGTAGACAGTACTTAGCACTGTACTACTTGTTAGAATCACCTTTTAATACTAAAAAGAAGATCATTTTTAGATGTATATCATTAGGTACTGTACCGTATTACAGAATGAAACACGTGGTTTCGTCGCCGCGTTGTGCAATCCCCTTCAAGTTGCATAAGCTGGAGCCCCCTTCATCGGCAGACGAGAAGACCCATAATTTTGAAGACTTTGCCACTTTCAAAGCGTGCTTCCAACCGTAGCCGTTCTTGTGTTATTGGCTCGGCTAGAACCATGCGCTCCACATACATCTCAGAAGTATTCTTGCCGTGAAACCCGACTAGATCTTTTGTCAGCATTGACACTTTTGAAGAACCTTGCGCCACTCGATCCAGTTGTATGCGAAGCCGGCTTTGTTCCCATCGTTCGCCGTAACTTTTTAGATAAAAAACGACAACTTGTCGTATCGTCCCACCACCAAAGACAAGGGTCATGGTGGCTCCCGGTTGCTCCAATTCTGGCACATAGCCAATCTTTTTCCCGTCTACATGACGACGAACTTTCCAGCCCTGATTGTGAAATTCCAGGCTGTGTTCTCGAAAGTAGGTCTCCACGGTGGCTTCGTCCAATGCATTGTGATCACTCAAGAGACCACTAACCCATGCAAACGGGCATTTTGGATTCTCTGGGGAGACGCAGGAAGAAGCAGCAGTAGCATCGCTCTCGTTCTTCCACAAGGTGGAAACCTCTTGCAGAGAAAGATCAGGGTGCAGAGGAGGCGGCAAACCACGAGGAGGTGCATGCGGTTTTCCAGGGAAACGAGTATTCCCCCACAAGGCTGGAAGTGGCAGTCCTCGTTCCCATCTTGCTATTTCGTATTCGTCGTCCAAAACCTTTTTCGAAGGAGCTGATTGTTCTTGAGGTCGAGCGTCATGAGCAAACGCATGTCCATCGCAATAGGTTGTCCAGAGTGTCAGGAACGCGTAGGATACAATCCATGGCACTACCATGTGCATGGGCATACCCGGATGAATCTCTCGGACCATTTTGGACTTGTCCAATTTGTACGCACGGTACCAACCAAAAGGCGAGAACCAAAACTCGTGGGTATCCCCATACACCCAATCTCGCACCATGTCCGCGTACGACAGAGCAGTAATGATGCCATAGTAGTTTGCCAAGACGTGCACAGCCTGAGATAGTTCAGTGGTGGCGAGAATCTCGCGTTGTTCGTTCCCAAGGTAGTCGTCCAGATGAAGAATCACTGGAGGCTGCAATGGCACTCTGTCAGCAGTTGATGATGATGATGAACATTGTGGAAGAGGCGAATGGGCCAAGCGAATAAAGTCTTGCAAGACTGGCAGCGTCATTTCTCTCCATGAGCCTGCTGTCGGAGTCCCGCCATTGAGATGATTGTTGGTGTCCCCTTGTTGGTAAAAGGTGTTGAGATGCATATCATTGGTGGAATAGGCATTGATTATGATATCAGGATTCTTTGCTTCAGGCGGTAACAAGTCGAACTCTAGAATCGCATTTCCACTAATCTGCAGGATGAACCAGTGTGAGAGACTAGCTACCGTGGCCAATGGCAAACTCATGTGAGACAAAAACCCGTTGCTCACCGTATTGCTCCCTCCCATGACAACCGTATGGACTTGAAACAGCCTCAGATTGGACTCTTTGTCTGATCTATTTTGATTATCCCTCTGTACTAACAAAGATTCCACAATTTGATCCAGGAACGACTGAAGTCGATGTGGCCATGCACACACTTTCTGCGAGAGCTTGTGCTTGACTTTCTTGGCGAATACTTGCTGACAATTGATGCCCGCAACGACGGATCCTCCCATGACAACAACTCTTACAGGTCGGGGAATATTTTCCTCTTGTAGTTTGTTGTCGGTGTGGTCTTTGATGATGTATTGCCATCTTGGCCATAGCACTTTCTCTAGAACATGTCGTACCGATGAAAGGTCCCGAGGAACGGTCTTGATGCTGTTGGGTAACCTAGGTGATATCAAATGTAGTAATTGCGCCGTCAAGTCGCTGAATTCATAGTCTGGATCTTGAGGGAGAAGCTGACTGGCCTTGTGTATGTAATCCAAGTGTTGGGTCCATAAGGATAATGGCGTGGCATGCTGGAAAGCAGGGGGTAGTGCTTGACAGATATTGGGCGGATTGTGATTCATCCAGGGGTTGGTTGATGCACTGTTTGTGGAGATTCCTTCAGTCGACCTCCCTGATAGCATGAACCGAAGGTAGTCCTCTTGTGTAGACCTTTGAAAGCTGCTCATCTTGTAGAGTGCCAAGCAAACGAGGGCCAGAATAGCGAGGAGTCGAAACTTGTAGGATACCCTCATCTTGGACACTAACGACAACGCGCAATCAACAAGCATTCAGCTATGCACTGCAACATTCTCGTCTGGATAATATTGTTTGCATCATCGGGTACTCTCGTAGTTATGGAGCTTGATCATGTACAGATAGTTGGTGATCTGAGTAATGAAGACTGAAGGCGTGTTGGTGGCAAAACTAATTTTATTTTCTAAGACGGAACAGATAGACGTTACTCTGGTAGCTAGCTAGTCCTCAAACTTAGCTGTAGGGGGGTAATTGGCTTCACATTGCTATTTGGAACCCTACTTCAACCTTGTCCCCCGTGATTTTCAGCCATCCCCGGAGCACGGCTGTGGACTGGAGCTGCAGAGACTTGGATGAGTAGACAAAGCATCCAGGGCCATGCTTGTCAGCTTGGGGCAGGATTGCCAACTTCTTTCTTTGCAGGTGGAGAGGGCGAGGTCAGAAACACAAATTGGCTGGTACAGTATTGTGTTGGTGGAATGATTCGATTCGATTCAAACGAATCGGGCACTTCGTACTACCTCCAGCTCCCGAGGACTCGTGGAGGGCAAGGATGGCTGTGCAAACATGGGACATCAGCACATATATAGATTCTCTTACGTAGAGTTGTTTCCTTCTGTCTTGAGTGTTTTAGTAAAGAAAAACGAAATTGCTTCTGTCTTGAGTGTTTTTTGTAAAGGAAAACGAAATTGCTGGCATGCTACATGTACCGAAGCTCTCTGCTCTCCAATGATTACTAGTCCCCACGAAATGTGACATTCTCTCTCTACCTTCCCCAAATACAGGAGCCTGAGCGTACCCATGGCTAGAGCCGGAGTTGGCTACGACACAACGCCTACAGCAAAGATGACGTGCCTCGTGACTAGTAGATCTTGTCAGTCATGGCAGTCACAAACGCTTGCTGGATAGATCCAGACAAACGTGGACTTTGGAAGCAGACAATGAGTAGACATACCCAAAGATTTCAAGTCTACACAGGTGGCTTACAGCAATCCAACCCCCCACGGAATATTTCCCAGCTTGATTCAATACCCCTTGCCACTTGACTCTTTTTGTCTGCCAGTTGTTTGGTTTGAAATCCGACAGAATTGTTCGGGAGGTATGCTTCGGCGACATACTGCTGCAGTGCGATGCCCCCCCCCCCCGTGCCTGCTACAGCTCGCCATCATCCTCTGAATGCTGCTGTTTGAACTCGCAAAAATGGCCCTCGTATCCTTTGTCACAAATGCATTTGCCACCCCGCACGTTGTTGCGATGAGGTTCGCCACGAAACGTCAAGACTTGCTCTTGGACGCAGGTGCCGTACTGGCCGCACAATCCCGCCGACGCCACGTTGCAGTCCAGCGACCAGCACGAATATCGGTGCGACACGGGGATTTCTCGCCCCTTGGGACCGTAGTCCCCTTGGGATCTCGTCTCGTCGACCTTGTACCAGCGAAGGGAGCCCGTCGGGAGGAATTGATCCGTGGGTTCGGAATAATAGTAGGGTTGTTGGTACTTCTTCGCCACATCATCGAGGTAGGCCCCGCTCCAGTAGGCATGTCAATCCCCATTGATCCCCATGTCTCTCCCTGCTGTGGCACCAACACGCGGGGCCTCCAGACTTCCTACCGTCCACTGTCGACCCGTGTACTGCACTACTTCCACGGATCCTTCTTCTTTGGGGTCCTCCATATTGCCGGCGATCATCGAAGAGTACACTGGTCGGCCGTAGGAGAAGGAGGCCTCCAGTTCGAAAATGCCGTGTTGTTGGCCGTCATCATCTCCATAACGGATCAACTGTTGACAGGGATATCGTTCCGTGCAGAAATCGCCCGCCGTTTGGCCCTTGTGGCATTCGCACAAACGATCTTCTTTCCCACCACAAGTGCCTCCCGTAAGACCGCAATCGGCATCTTCTTCGCATTCCAAACACGCAATGGACAACTCGGTCAAGTCCTGGAGGGTTCCCGTCCAAACCTTCCAACCCTCCGTAGGTGCTTCGTCCAATGTGACCGCATCAGTGATGGGAGACCTCGCTAGCCATCCGTAGGGAGGACAGCGTTGCAGCGTCGCAGGGGGGACAATGTCTGCTCCTGTGGCTTGCGCAAAGGCACGGACCGTCCAGACCCAGGCATTTTCCGTTTCGCAAAAGTAAAGCATGGCCGTACTGGAATCCTTCATGCGGCTACCCGTGGTAGTAGTGCTCAACCCTTCTACTACTATCGCCCCTTCTCGACTGGCTTCGTAATAAACGGGTCGTTTCCGATTCAGACCTGCCTTGTAATTGAACTCAGCCACGTAGCGTCCCGAAAAGGACGCAAAGTGCAAATCGGGGGGACGAAGATTGTTGTTGTTGTTGTGGTTTTGGATCCATCGTTCGCTGTTGGCCAGTTGTTGCAATCCCTCTTCCGTAGCACTACTGCCGGTTGGTCCGGTTTGAAAGGTCGCATTGCGCGGGAACACGTAGACTTCCGGTCCACCAAATTGGACCAAGACCACTCCACAGGCGTCTCGTTCAATGTAATCCCCCGTTTTCAACTGCCGGACCGTGACGGCATTCATACAAAACAGTACCGCCACCAACAGAAACAACAAAATTTGATTCATGTAATCGATGTACCCTTTGGTTCGGCGCAAGGGAATCTTTTCCTGTAGGATCCGTTTCGCCAAACTTTGATTGGCCACACCGAACCAACCCTCTACGGCCAATCGGAATCCGAGATTGTCGAGATCGGCCACGAATTGAACGGCGGCAAAATTCAAAAAGATATCCAAAACATTGTCGGATTGTATGATAAACACAAAACTGACGAGAATGGTCACCAACCCTTCTGTAAACCGGAGCAAATTGAACGTCCAATATCGGGCAAAGGTGGCACTGCCCTTGCCGGGATATTTGGTTTGCAATTGCGCTTGCACTTGTGGATAGCGAGGTCCCACTCCCACACTAAAGAAAACGAGGGACGTGGTAACATCGTCTTGCGACAACACGGCGACCAACAAGGCCAAATATTGCGCCACAAAGACTTCGGTAGATACTTGGGGTGGAACGTTCCAAAAATTGGCATCGACAAATTTCGGATGATCTTGGGTCAAATCCAAAAAGGTCAACCACAAAATAGACGCCTGGATGCCAAAGACCACCAAGGCGTACCAAAAGGGCCCACTAAACCGTGGCGCCAAATACCCAATGCTGTACACATCCTTGGGCAATTCCACCGTCTTAAAGCCGACGGGGGTAGTATAACTGCGACGCGGCAAGTTGTGATTGGTCGCCATGGCAGGGGATCGGGATGACTGTGACGCGGAAGAGCGCTCGGAAGCCGACAGGGGGGTGTAGGCGGCGTTGTTCGTCTTGCAGGAGGGAGTCTGAGGAACATGGCTCGATGCTATCGGTTGTGGCGTGGGTGGATCGAAGTTAACATGGTTGCTCTGCTTGTCACTGTTGCTGTGCGAAGCGGTTTCTACTACTATTTCTATTTCTGCTTCTTCCTTGCCCAATTCTACGTCGACATCCAGAAGGGGCGGTGCTTTCTGCTTGGATGAGGAGGTGGATCCACTGAGGGCTTTTTCGATCACAGCATCCACATCCACCTCTTGTGGTCCACCACCACTGGCATCATTTGGTTGATTCCTCTCATGGCTTGCTGGTCGGTGCATCTTTACTGCTTTTTATGTCCTGGCGACGACGAGCTCTTGCTAGCTGTCATTGGCCTTTCTTGTTGTCAGTGCATGATGATGTTGGTCGCTGTGTTGTGATGTTGGTCGCTTGGTCGGATTTATTAACCTGGGCAGGTAAACTGCCTGAGTTCTCAACCCCTTTACCTCGGCAGGTTAACTGCCTGAGTCCTCTACCCCTTTATTGGCAAATATTCTGTCTGTGGGATCCCCCTGGTTTTTGTCTGTGGGATCCCCTCGTTTTGTGTCTGTGGGATCCCCTATTCCGGTGAAGCCAGGGTATAAGGATAGAGATAATGTAAGCTGGCAAAACTGGAAATTGAAGGTTCAATAAAGTTAGGGGCAGGAATATATCAATGTAATTTAAGGTTAGTGCACTCAGGACAAAAACACAATAAGCCAGCAGGTGTTGTAAATTTAGAGTTACACAATCGAATGATAGCTGTAAATTATGGGTTAGGCCGTGGCTACACCAAAAAAACAGAAGGTTACAATGAGGGAATGATAGTGGGCGGGTCGCCAGGGCTAGCTTACATAAAAAAGAAGGTTATAATGAGGGAATGATACCGGGCGGCAACACACGACGAAGTCGGGTGTTGTCGCCAGGTCTACCTTGAAAGAAGGATGCAATCTCAAACACGATCCTCTTTCTTCTATTTGTCTTTCTGCCGAGGTATCGCAGCTCCCGCTGACTTAAATGCTATTTCCTATTTCCTATTTCCTATTTTCTATTTCCTATTTCCTATTTCCTATTCCGGTGAAGCCAAAGTATAAGGATAGAAATAGTCATAAGCCAACAAAACTGAACATTGATGGTTCAATACAAGTTAGGGGTAGGAATAAATCATTAATATTTAAGGTTAGTGCATCAGCACAACAGCACAATAAGCCAGCAGGAGCTGTAAAGGTTAGAGTTACATAAGGGAATGGCAGCTGGTAAATTATAGAGTAGCGGGCGGCAACACACGACGTAGTCGGGTGTTGTCGCCAGGGCTAGCTTGATAAAGAAGGTTGCAATGAGGGAATGAATGATACCGGGCGGCAACACACGACGTAGTCGGGTGTTGTCGCCAGGGCTGGCTTGAAAGATGGGTGCAATCTCGAACATGATCCTCCTTCTTCTATCTGTCTTTCTGCCGAGGTATCGCAGCTCCCGCTGACTTAATAATTATGAAGTTCGGCGAGGGATGCGGTGCAGTAGGCAAATACATACCGGTACTCAAAGCATTTTTTTAGTTCAGGGAGGAGGGGCGTGGGGCGTCACAACAAGGCATGCAATGATACCGGTACTAGTCTACTGTATAATAGTACCGGTACTCGGTACCAGGTAGCCAGCTCGGGTCAGGATTGCCATGGGGGCAAACTGTGCTACAGTAGCTAGAGGGGCAAAGAATGTGCCAGCAAGAGAGCTGAAAGATGGAAACTCTTCTGTAGAATTACATATTGCATTCCTTCTGTCTTGAATGATTTTGTGAAGAAAATAAGCTGCGGACATAGATCTACTACAAATACACAAGGGCGCCTGTCTCACTCAACCCTACTTTATTAGAGGGATTGGAACTCTAGACAGAAGCAAACTGTATCCAATTACAAAGCAGATCAAGGCTCGCCATTTTCTCTTTCCTTCCATTACTTTTTGTTATTTTAACTTCCAATGTACCGTACGTGTACAAAGACTCACTGAGAGCAGTCCATGGCTGTCCATTCACATGATCAGTGCTTTTTTTGTCATGTTCCAGACCAGCATATCTAATCATACATTGCAATTGCACCCAACAAAGCAAACAGACAGTGTGTTTATTGTTGTTATAATGCCATCCAGAACGCACTGACGAGGGCTCCAACCATTGCCACTGAAAGGGACACACTTTGGCCAGCACCTGAAGTTGCTCCATCTGTGGACGAAGAGTGATCTTCTTCATCTTCTGCTCCATGGTCAGTTTGCCTGCAAACAAGCAAAAGAAACAGAGCATTGTCAGACATTTTGAACTATCCCGCTAGGATCCCACCTCTGCAACAACAAAAAACGTACTCGTGGCTTTTCAAAAGAGATTGAGAGTAGCAGTAGAGACGAGTTTTGGTCCACACAAGTTAGAATTCTGAGTGAGACGCTTCCAGCAAACCTACGCCACAACACGGAGAAACTTACTCATGGCCATGGCTGAAAGACAGGAATGAATATTTTTAAAATTACAAGTGTCAGATGCCTCGCATACATGCATGCAAAATTCATCCAATTGTCCAAAGACTTACCCGTCGTCCTCCTCCTCTTGACTGAGAAAATAAAAAGGGAAACAGAATTGTGTCAGACAAAACCAATCCCCAGCAAGAAAATTTCGAGATTACAAATTCAACGCACTCATCCATGGTGGTAGTGGGATCCTCCACCGCCGGACATCCAGCCGCTTCGGGATCCTCCACGGGAACAAAGCTGTGTCCGTAGGAAGCCAATTCGAGTTCTCCACTGTCGTCAACATCAAAATAGACATATCCACACCATCCAGGGTAAAGTTTGGGGGGTGACAAAGGTCCCGTGAATCCCACGCAAGGATCAGCTTCCTGTTTCATTTCTGCCACGCCCGTTTCATTATTGGACGACATTTCGTCGTCGTGATCTTCTTCATCTTCTTCATCCACCAAATAAGAGGAATGAAAATGAACGGTTTCCGACCCCATGAGACCGGTACCCGTTTCATTGACACCAATTACCGTCGCGAACACATGAGTATAAATGACACAGGAGTCTTCCTTTTCCTCCGGATGGACGGATTGCACGGATATCAGCAGCACTTCGGTGGCGTTGTCCAAGTCGGCTTCGGCAACTCCAGGAGGCAACGCCAGTTGACGAGCTGTCGAAGCCGTGAAGAGTACGACGGTAAGGAGACTTGAAAACAGAAACTTGATCATCATGGTGGTTGGTGTTGTGGTGTTGGTGTTGGTATCTTCTTCGGTGTAAGTAAATGAGTAGCATGAGAAAACCCCTTTTTTGGAGGATCTTTCTCGGACAGAAACTCAAAGCTTCCGCTGTCACACGTGCATTTTCTACGTGATGACACTACCAATCGTATTTTCGTGTTTAAGTAGCGTGCCGAGGCACTAAAATGAAGCGGTACCACAATTTCAAATCCTTGGTTGACGACTTGAAGACTGACGTCACAAGCCCAAAGAGTCAGAAGAATGATTCGATTCAATCTGCTTCTTTGAAGCCCGAAGCATCTGCGCCGTTCAATCACAAGCAACACTGTAGAACATAGATCTACTAGTCATTGTTCTGGTTTGCAAAGAGGCAGCGTTGTCACAAAAAAATAGAGAAACCATGAGAAGAATAGCTCTACTAATCGCAGTGGCCGCTTGGTCTTGGCAGAGTCCTGTGGGGGGTGCTTTTCCGGTGCTCCCATCATCGCAACACAAGAGATCCCCCACTAAGTCTTCTTCCTCCTCGACATCAGTCAAGTCCTCTTTGGTAAATTTCGAGGAACTACTCTACAGTGCCCAATCGGCCGGATCCGATTTGGCGTCATTATCATTGCAAGATCCTTCCAATTTGCTGACGAGCATGCCCATCATGTACGGAGCGGGGCTCTTGACATCCTTTAGTCCCTGTGTCTGGGGATTGCTGCCACTGACCATGTCCTACATTTCCCAAGCCGCCGGAGAACGACAAGACAAACAAGCCACGCTACCGACACTGGCATTTGCCGCTGGATTGGCCGCCGTCTTTTGCAGTTTGGGAGTCGCTGTGGCGACGCTAGGCGGTGTGTTTGGTTCGACTGCCACTTCGTCGAGTGCTGGTGGCTTCTTTTTGCCCCTCTTATCCAATGGAATTTGTTTGGCCATGGGATTGCAATTGCTGGGATTTGTGCAATTATCACTGCCGTCCGCCGACAATAATAACAACAATCCACTGGCGAGTAGTAGTCAAGACAGTCCTGGCGAACCGATTCTGATTGACGCCACGGGCCAAATATTACCGTCCCCCACCGAAACCAAAAAAGAAGCCTCCCTCTTCCGCACGTTTCTGTTGGGCGGATCGTCCGCCTTGGTGGCCAGTCCCTGTGCCACACCCGTGCTCACGTCCATTTTGGCATTTGTGGCCAATGCTCAAAATGCCGGTGTGGGGGCACTCTTGTTGTTGGGGTATACATTGGGATATTCCACACCTCTCTTGCTTGTGGCATCCACGGGAGGACAGGCATTGGTCGATTTGCGACGCAACACGAGTGATGGTACCAGCATTTATGGCAAAATTGCTCCCTGGGTGACACCCCTGACGGGAGGTGTGCTGTTGTGGTACGGGACCAATGGACTCTTGGTGGCGTTGTTTGGAGATCCGTCTCTGGCAGGTCTGGCGCCCATTTTGGAGTAACAAACGACCAATGCAACCAATGAAATAATTGAAATATGCATCAATGAAATGGTATTACCTACCAATGCAACAATAGAATTAATGAACGAACGAAAAGAATCCCTTTGAATACTAGAGATGGTAAACAAAAACAAAAAGAAAACAATCAACAACAAAGGAAAAGTTCAACAAGCACAGCATTTAAAGCTCAAAATTGTTTGTTACAAATAATAATAAAACTACAGTCCCTTGTTGGGTGGTATCGTTGTTGGCAACATTCCACACTGATACAAAGCTTCGGCTCGTTCAATGACAATGACCAAATTGGGTACAGTCTCTTTCTTTGCTTCTGCGGTTCGGATCTCGTCCAGAGTCCACCAGGCAGCTGCAGCGGCATCGTCTGCTGGTTCTACCAGAGGTGGTCCAAAACTACTATCATCATCATCATCATCATCATCATCATCTGTAGTAGAGACTATGATTTCCGCAAAGCACTGTCCAATGACATAATGAAATCCCTTGACGTCATCAGAGATTCCTGGAAGAATCGAATCACTGGTACAAAACGGCCCCCCAGCATACCACGCTATTGTTGGCACTTTTGAAGAAGTAATGGTAAAAATAACTTCTTCCCGGAGCTCTCGTTGTGCTGCCTCCAGAGTTGTTTCGCCCAAATCTATTTTGCCTCCAGGGACGCACCAGACACCCTTGTTGGGTGGATTGCCCCGTTCAATCAACAAATATTTTGGAGGACTACTTCTCGTCGTCGTGGACGACGACGACTCATGGTACCGTACCACGGTGGAAACGGCTGCGCGGGGCACGGGTGTCTTGGAGGAAAAGGAGGAGGAGGATGCCATGAAGGGTACCAATCGTCTTGCACGACAATGACGCAAGAAGGAACCTGAAAAAGTCGATGTCCGTCTCAGGAGTGTAGCTGGTGATTGGAATGCGACGACGAGATGATGACTCATGGATAGGAACGTTATAGAGACAAACAACACAGAAAGGAGCCGTCGAACTGCTATAGAAGGTACCACCATGGTCGAGCAAGAGTGACAGTCGAAAGCTACAGCGGGCTCATCGCTCATCGAATGCCGAAGGAGTGAGAAGAAAACTGACGTCAGTGCGACGGATGGGGTTCAACTTACACTGAAAATTTCTGCTCATTTTTTTGAAAGACTGTCACTCTTTGAAAGAGCTCGTTGACCTGAACGTGTCCGTACGGTTGGAATGTTACGATGGAGAAATCGAAATAGAACCCAAAGTGACACAGGGCATCAACAGATAGATCTACTCATTCCGACAAAACAACACACAGGACTTTGGTCCGGTTCGACCGCAATCTGCCGTTCTCACCATAAAATAGTACGGTACAGCCATACATACTGGGGGCAAGCAGAACTGCCGTACATGCAAGGTTCTGAACGGAGATACTGTTTTTGGGCCAAAAGCGGCACTGGCTAGCTGACCAAAACATATTTAGGCACAGTTAATTTTCAGCACTTTTACTTTACAACTGAAACTCCATGTCGTCGGCATCTTGGGGCTCATCCTCATGTGAAAACCAAGGGTGATTCTCAATCTCTTCAAGAGACAGTCGCAAGCGTGGGTCCACTCGTAGCATATTTTGGAGCAAGTGAACCCCTTCGGGGCTAAGCTGTACGTTCCAATCACCAAGCAGCTGGGTGATGCCCTTGGTCATCCAATAAAACTGAGGGTCACTGGGGTGAGGACGCTGATAGGAACGGTTGCCTGTCACCATGCAAAATAGGATTGTGCCACAAGTCCAGACATCCACAGCCTCTCCATCAAAGGGTTGTTTGTTGCGATAAACTTCAGGGCTCATGTATGGCAACTTTCCACAAGCACCTTGTGGTCGAATCATTCGTCGTTGACTGCCTCGGCTCCTGTCTGTCACAGAACTTGCATTAGAACTGTCAGTGTATGGCATGCGGATAGCCATACCCATGTCGATAATCAAGGCACCACCTCCATCGATCATGACATTTTCAGGAGACAAATCCCGATGACAAATCCCAACGTCGTGGATGTGTTTAACACCAGCAATGACTTGTCGGAACCAGTACCTGGCCTGTGGTTCAGCCATTCCCGGCTGTCCATCCTCCCGGACACTGTCCTGCAATAATTGGAATAAATCTCCTGATCCACAGTATCTCATGACAACATTAAGGGCATTGCCATCAAACAGGACATCAATGCATCCCATAACATTGGCATGTTCGTCTCCGATAATTTGCATGGCAGCAATTTCCTTCAAGGGATCTTCGGCATGACGATTCCGCAATTCATCCATTCGTTGTGAGTAGTTGACCTTGACAGCAACCATTTCTTCTGTCAGTTCAAAAATGATGTCATCTTCACGTTCACCTTCTTCGTTTTCTTCACTACTACTATCATCAAAATTGGGAATGTTGTTGTCATCGGGACCTTTGGATCTGGTCAAGACCATGCAAATTTCCACATGCCCCATAATGGTCTGAATGGGCTTTTTAAATGGTACTGGCCAATAAGCCCTTGCCACTCTGGCGTCACCATCTTCAAATTCGTGGGAAAAGTCACGGAAGAGCACGTTCTTGGCCATTTTATGGTCTTGGGTTCTGGGATTATAGCAGCATACCTCTCCACGGCGACCTCTTAACATGCGAGGCCGTGGAAAGACAATGGGATCTGCAGGGGGGCCTGCTTCTGCCACCACATCATAGGGGAGTTGGTTGGGGTTGTAAGGCGGCTGTTTGGGTGGTGATGCTTGCTGCTGTTGTTGTGGAGGAGTGTCATCTGACATGGCCTTATTATCTGATTCGGAAGGAATGCGGACAGTTTCCATTTTGGCAGTCAGATGGCGCACGGCAGTTTCACCATTGGAGGACCAAGAGGACGCCATTGTGCCAATGTATCAATTGTAGCCCTGGAGGGCGAGATCTTGGGACGTTTACGTTGAGGGCCACCGGATTGAATTGGCTGCCGGGGTATCTCGATGGCTGCTGCTGGTCGCTTCTTCTTTGAGGCTTCCTCCTTTTGTGCCATTTGTGTTGTTGGATAGCTGGCTTGAAGTCTTGGCTTTGGCGTCAAGATGAATGATGTTGTTGCTCCATACCAGAAGCTCTGTTTGCTTTGGGATTGTCCACTCATCAAAGTCCAAACCGCCGCTGACTATTTGGTTGACAAAGAGCACAGGAGCACGTCTGTCAATCGGATCCGGAACATTCCCGGACTCAAAGTTCCGAAAGACAGGCCAAAGCAAAAGATACGGATTGAAGATGCGATTGAGATTCGATTCGGATGCTCCTGATTGATTCCTAGCTAGCTTGCAACAGAGCCATTTCGGCACTGGTAGGGTACCAGTAGCAATGCATGGATATCCATCCTCCAGGTGCTCATATGGTACAGTCGTATCATGTAGTCCGTAGGCCGAATACCTCTATCACTCTATTATTTTAATAGCTTCACGGCTGAACAGCAGCGAATTGTATGATGTGGCTCATTTGCCACTTATGAAGTTCAATTTCTCGTTGGGACTAGCCAGAGCAAACTAGTCTAGACACTGCAACGACGTCTTTCGAGCCATTGTGTGGTTACCCCTTCCAACAGCTTGGGCGGTGGTGCCCTTTCTTCGATAGAAGCTCCAACCCCTTCAGAAACGACTGGAAGAAGAGACAAAGATGATTTGAATTCTTCCAACAACACACAGTCGTCTTCGCCTTGAACGTCACCCAAGAGATCCAGCATATCGTAGCCAACTGGTAAGGATGGATCATTTTCACCCAACATGGCCTCTTTCACTTCAAGGCTCTGACGGAAAAGTCGCAGCGCAGTCGATTGATCCCCCCTTCGGTACCGACCCTCTGCGGCAGCGCTGTAAATCCGAAGCAACTTCGAATCAAACTGGATGGGGCAGGTGTGCAAAAACGCAACCACTGCCTCGTGCAGATCGTCCGCTTCTTCGTGGTCTTGCAACATGCAAGCCACCACCGCCATGTGGGCGTATACGCGAATTATCGAAATATGCATGTGTGAATGAGAGTGCTGAAGGACGCTCAGAGCTTGCCGGAATCGTTTCATAGCATCCCTCAGCCTCCCCTCGCGTCGTAGCATTTCGCCGAGGCAGCCGTAGGTTGTTGCCAACGCTACATGCTGGTTGCCCAGCACTTTTTCTTGAATGCAGCGGCATTGGTCCATTGCCGAGAGAGCCTCGTCCATACAAATGTTTTGCAGCAACGCTCCAATGGAAAAGAAACAGAACGCGGTATCAGGATGTTGATTCCCAACAGCTCCTTGCAGGATTCCAAGGGCCTTCTGAGCCATTTGCAAACCCTGAGCACACGTGCCTTCGCGTTCTGAACACTCCCCTAAAAGTATGGCAATATGAGCGGAGGTCAAGGCACTTTCGCGGTGGTTCTGGCCCAATGACTCCTCTTGAATTGCGAGAGCTTTTCTCATTATTGTCAAAGATTCCTGCACGTCGCCCATCTCATGCAAGAGACGGCCAATGTGAACGTAGGTTGTAGCAAGGTCCAAGTGATTGCGAGCCAAATGTTTCCCCCGAATTCGAAGGGCTTTCAAGTAAACATCAATGGCTTCGCCGTGGTAGCCTCGTGCGGCAAGTGCCTTGCCAATCTTTGTATAGGCCTCCGCCACGTCTAGGTGGTCCGTCCCTAGCACAGCAACACGATCAGCAAGGCACCCTGTATACATCTGCTCAGCTGATCGAAAGTCGCCGTACAAGGCGTAAATGTCTCCTACTTGCTTAAGGAAGGTTGCGTGTGAAAGCTGTGTTCCTCTCGTCAAGCTCTCATTGCTCAAGCAACTATCGTCCATCACACGTTGCTCTTCGAGTCGTTCTCTTTCTGCGACGAGTCCGTCGATGACGCTCTTGACCCACGCTCGAAGCCTGTCTCTCACGATAAGGTTGACTTCTTCGAAGCCAATTCGTTGCCGGATCAGATCTAAAATTCTGTCTTTATCTTGCTGCACTGAAGACTGCGCTTGCTCGAGGTCGACCTGATTCAAGGTAGAGTAGAGCAGGTCCACTCCAGTCTTTTCTGCCCCTCCAAATGAGGAAAACAACCGTATCGCCATCCGATCTCGTTCTGTGCGTGTCATGACAAACGACACCTCGCAGTTTTCAGTTACAAGCCCCATGAAAATTTCAAAAATACACCTGAGGATGAACGAGATGGTGAGAGCACGCAAGACCATAATACAATCTACTTTCTGAGAGCGGAAGGACGCACCATGCACGGCGTAGGTTCTTAGGATCCGCCCAAGGCTGCATCATCACAAGGACCCGCCCAATACCGAGGACGCGCCTCTGGAACTCATTCTCAAAGTCCAGAGTCGAAGCAGACCTTTGAATGCCGGAGAGGTTGGACTGGAAAACTCGATGTTGGTTCAAGCAAAGACAGCAAAGCCACACGTATGTCCGAGTTGGATCAAGGTCGTGCGTTTGGCAATATCCATCCAACGTCTCAACAACCTCACTGACACTGTAACTCCAGGTCCAGCTAAGCATGTGATTGGCAATGCCCACGTGATCTTCCCCTTGTAAGCAATGAACATAGGCCGCGCCCATTCTGCCGTCCAATGGACAACGAACATGCTGGCCCCTCCGTCGAACAAAACCAGTGGCCTCCTTCAAGTTCTCAATTTCGTAGAATTTGGAGTGTTTCGATAGCCCTTGTGTTGCCGTCACAGCAGGAAGAAAATGATGTTTCAGATGATAAACGCTCACACCCAGAAAATCGGGTTGATCTGCGCAGGATATATCCTTTATCCTGGGTACCTTGAGAAAACTAGAAGAACGATTTGTACGTTCCCTCTTCCGGGAGAAAGTGAGGCGCCCGCTGACATCTTCGAACAGTTGGGACGCCTTGCGAGGCTGCATGACGTTCAGAACCACATCTGCCTTGCTCAAGTCCTGCATTACAATTGATACTGCTGATTGTTCACTAGGGTTCGCTGTGCACGAGTTGATCTCCTGCCATAACCAAGAGCCAGTCTCGCTGACTAGTCCAAGCGAGTTGAGTTTCACTACGCCGAGGAAACCATCTTCTTTCATGTAGTTATATGATGTCGGCTCAAGCTTGAGTTCGCGCGAAGCAACCTTGTTGGCTGCTTTTGCAATCATCCGCTGGGTAGTCGACTGACGATCCTGTGTAAACTGCACACATTGTGCCATTTCCAGCTGTTGCTTGTCCGAGGGATCTTGGACGAAAGGGGCAATGGATGTCACCAGCATTGCTATAGCAACTCGTAGATCATCTGAAGAATCTTCCCATTGAAAGAAGACAGTTAAGAGGACATCGATTCCTCTGGATGAAACTATCTCCTGAAGGTGTTTCTTGTCCTTTTTCACCATTGCGAGCAGCAGTAATGCCGCATCAAACTGTCTGCACGAGCCAGTGCTTACAATCTCTATCAAGCTTGTCACATGCTTCTTTCGAAAGATTTCTTGCAGGTCTATGAAACAGTTAGCCGGGGATTTGTTGCCATCCGTTGACAGGAAGACTGGATCTCGTTCCCTTTCGGACTGCCTTCTTTCGTATCGGCGCAAGTTCTCTGTTGCCCAAAGCAGCTCCTGGTTTGAGATCACCATGTCATTGACCGCGACACTTGCGTTGCCGTGGGAGAGCAACACGCCAGTGCACTCTTGGATGTCATGGGTTTCGAGAAACAAGTCGTGGTGCGACGATGGTGCGACATAGGCAACCGTCATCGCGGCAAGTAGCCGCAGTTTTGATGACTCTCCACCATCTCTCGATTGGACTATATCTACCATCCGTGGCACCAAACCATAGTTGTGCATCAGAACTCTCTGGGTTGGGCTCTCCTTTGCAATCTTCATGAGAGCCACTGCTGCATCGACTCTTCGATCATATTCAGTGGATCCAAGAAAGAACAAAGCCGACACGATGCCACTAGACGAACCACCAACTGTCGATTGTCGTGTTAACGTCGTCTGCGGAAGCTGAAGCTTTGGATTTGGCCGCTCCACCTGAACCGTTTCTTCTTGAGGTCTTGATGAACGGACCCGTGTGAGACTTGGCGCAGGCACAACCTCATTCATTCCATCCTCATTCTTTCCAACGCTCATCAGTAGTCGTTTAGACTCCTGCCTTCGTTGACTGATGACCTCGAAGTAGCCTCGGGCCTGGTTGCCAAGGTACAAGAGTGACTCTGCAACAATCGTCTTCCCATTTAGAACTACATCTTTTCGCGAACTGCGGAGAAAAGAAAGACAGCCGTCAATACGACGCCGCTGTTTGAGCGTCATGCGTAGCTTTTGCGGAGATGATCGCAGTATGTGAGCAACTGTGAGCGCTATAGCTGTCCGAAGCTTGTAGTCGTTTTCGTTGCACTGCGTGTACGCAAGCAGCAACGGCTCGAACGCCTCCAAATCAATCATTCTTTCCCGAAACACTTTCCTCTTCTCCGCGTTAGCCATGAGTGTTGCGGCTGCCGTCAACTGAGTTGCTCGGTCGTTTTTCTGCGGGTTTAGATTGCTCAACAGTGCTGCTAAGTCTTCGGGCTGGATTGGTTGAACGACCATCGGATTCGGGGGAAGATCGGCTGAGCGCGCTACCAGTTCGACAGGCTCCGGCGTGAGCGATACCCCGTTCAAAGCAAACATGTTGGATTCAGGCATGCCCTTTGCTTCCGCCGGCTCGCGGGCTACTAATCCTCTAGCACGTTCGCCTTTGCCAATCATTTCCGTCACAAAAATTTCCACTGAAGCCATTTCTGTGTCATCGTCATCTAGCGCTTTCGCAGGGACAGCATAGTGAAGGTTCACATCTTGGGTGGCCTTGCACAGGTCCTCGATCATATCCAGAATGGAGTTTTGTTGGGTGTGACCCGAGTTAAAATACAGTCGCTCCGAGCTCGCCAGTACAAGCTGCACAACGATCAAGGCCAAAATGGTTCGCAAAGATCGATCGTTCTTGGCGGAGGCCAAGTACATAGGAAGTAAACAGTCTACCAGGCTTTGGTCCCACGCTTCCTGCTGTTGTATCTCCGTTTGACTACAATGGTTCATCAGGGCTACGAGGCTGGCCATTTGCAGAGATGGATTCTGAACCACCACGTTGTGTTGCATCAGCTCGATCAGGCGAGAAACATCCTTGCATCTGCGACTCGTTTGAATCAATCGGCAGAAGCGCGTGTATGCCTTCTGTGGTGCTTCATTACTGCCCGGAATCGTTTGCAGCAGATCCATGTGCACCTTCAAGCAGCGACGCGCAGCCATTGGGAGATACCGTAATTGATGTGCGCTCACATTTAGTGCTTCCGAAGTGATCAGATGTCCTTCGGTCGATAAGCCCTCCAGGAATCCCAAGCACTCCTCAATCTGTTCGGAATAAACCATTACTGACAACATGCTCTCGTGTGAACAGAGCACGTAGGCTACGACCAAGGAAGCCAGTGCACGAATCTTGCCTCGTTGCTTGGGATTGAGCATTTCGAAGTCTGAGCCATTTGAGGAGAATCTGATCAATGTCTTCAGCGAAAGAGAGTCTAAAGCAATGACCTGACTTCGCATATTGTTGTCATTTGTCACGAGTTCGAAAATCTCTTTCAGTGGGTCCCAAATGGCAGTATATGAGTCTATGGGGGAGTGATCCAACCGCCGAAACATCGCCCTGGCATCTTGATGCATTGTCATAGACTGCCGCCTTGTTTTGATCCAACCCTCTGCCACCGTACTCGTGGTGGAAGTTAAAGATGTCATGGGTGGAGGCGCAGCCACGGTCGGGGGGATTGGTTGCGGCGCGGCCTCTGGTGTGTACTGTCGTTGTTCTTGTTGACGCCGATGGCGATAGGTTCCTTTTGTTTGTCCCACCAGAATTATTTCTTCTACAGACACGATTGCCCCTGTGCTGCCTCCCAAAAAGAGAGGTTCGTTGCATTGTGCACACAGGTAGTCCAAAGATTCTTTGATTTCAAACTTCATGTAATGCAGCGTATCTTGGTTGGCCGCGGCCAACATATACGCCAGTGTCAAGGCAGCTAGAGTTTTCAAGATGTAGTTGGTGTGTTTCTCAGCCTTGGAAAATATTTCCGAGAAGCAAGCAAAACACCCATGGGACAACATGAGTTTACGGAAACCAGCATCTTCTTTCGCTAGCTTCATTAGCCCCCAGGTCGCCTGAACTTGGACTCTGGGGTCTTCTGTACCAGCCCCAGAGGCTTGGTACACAAGGGAGAAGATATCTCCCTGGAGAACGTAGTTGGCCAGTGTTTTGTTTCCCCCAATTTCATGGGCAATCTCTTGCTGCACATTGCTGTTGTCACCTGTTTGCCCCATCTCCTCCTCCCTTGAACTTGACTCATCAAACGGCACCATAAAAGCACTACTGCCCCCCGACCCTCGTCCCCTGGGAGTCCCGCAGAGCTCACAGCTCGATTTCCCCTCGAAGTTCCCAGCAAATGTGCAAAAGTTGCAGGACCAATGTCTCCCGCTTTTGCTGGATCTCAATTCTGTAATCATTGGCATACCCCACCCTGTGCTTCCTGCTGAACTTCCCCTAATTGCATTGGTAGAGTTGGTATCAGTGTGCGGACTACGAGGCTCATTGCACTGAAAACACGCCATGAAAGACTCTGGATTTCCCGTAAAGGCACAAGAAGAGCAACTCCATTGCGTGCAATCGCCATTGTCATCAAGACCCCCCAGAAAACTTTCTACGCTACAACCGCGTTCGGCCACCCCGGGCTTAGAAGCCGAAACAAGGTTGTGAATTGGGATGCCCACATTTCCAGATCCACCCTGAGACTCTGGTCTCTGACAAGATGCCTCGAGATAATTGTCTGTATTTGATTGCTGACTGCCATCTGATCTACCGGTAGCTCGGAATCCCGCTGTCAATTCCCGTGGAACTTGTAATTGCCCCTCATTGTCATTGTCTTCTATTTTCGTCGTGTTGTCTTGTGAGCTCCCACCAAGCGCAACCACCGAATTTTGCCTGATACCGGTACCGACATTACCGGTAGCTGACGTCTCAAGAGGATTTGCCAATGTGCAAGTTGCCTCAAGATAATTCTCAGGCTGGCTGTCATCTGATCTTGCCCTTGAGCCAACCTTGATTCTTCTGAGAAACTTCAATGGTCCAGTCTTCGGGGTATTCCTTGCCGTTGCCTGGTCCTTTTTCTTCCCCCCAAATCTCACCATCTTCTTGTGTTGTTATGGCTGTTCGATATCGGGTGGAGGGTCGATTACCCTGCTCGCATACGGTACACTTCACACCTCGCCGATGTTATCTCATCGTCATCTCGTTGCTGCTGCTTCTCTTCGTACTCGTCGCTCGTCGCATTTCAGAGGAGGCAAGTCTCGATGGCAACTGGGATTCGCTATAAACTGACTTAAATCTCTCATGAAAAGGATTTATTAGCTGAGTGCCAGTGACGGAGATGCTTTAAGCCGATTGAGAGCCGCTGAGGCTTCGCGTTCTCATTCATGTATTTCAGGATGGGAGGTCAATGGTCGCAGCTGAGTGCTAGCTAGAGTGTACGTCTGAAGGCCTGCGGTTTGTTGGAGTAGAAGAGGGGAGGAGGTCTGGAGACAGAGCAAGGGCACCGGGTGCTTCATTGATGCAAAACAGGTTGCATTTTTGGTCCAGAGGTACCGGTAGGGCCTGGCGACAGAGCAAGGCTACGATGGTACTGTACCATTGTAGCGGTGTACCGAAGGTCGCCACTCAAGGGTGCAAAGAAAACGGTTGACAACAACTTACTTCTACTACTGCGTAAAGATAGATGCTATGATCGGATGAAAAGTCTGTAATCAGTCGAGGACAAGCCATACCCGATGTATGAATATATATTTTTCTGTAGCGTCCCCTCGACATCATCTTTGTATTTGCCGTAGGTAGTGTGGCAGCCTTTGGATCTAGTACTGTTGTTTGCAATAGCTCATGCTCATCTGAAAGACTGCTCCCCTCACTACCTTGCTGGTATCCACTGGCTAGACATGCTCTCTGTATTTTCCCTTGTCGTTTAGCCCTTGTGTGTCCAGCAGCTATCGAGTTCAATGAACTTTGTTGTGTTTGCCAAACCACCATTACCAACTCACATCTGATAGTTTTTTGACGCAGCATTGGACATGAGCGCTTGGGAACGTTGCTGCTCTTCCAGCGAGAGCTTGTGGAAGTCCACGTCCAAAGCAATTTTTAGGACGTTCTTCCAAGGTTCCAACTCCACAGACGAAAACGCTGCAAAGTGGGCCACAGGCGCATCGGGATCCGAAGGATTGATGCGCAAGAAGAAGCTGTGAGGCTTATTCTCTGGGTCGGACGTGATGCTCCCTCCAAAGGAAACTGTGGAGATGCCTCGGATAATATGGGGGACAGTGCCACGCACTTTGCCCTGCGGAACATCGCCGTACCAAAAACAATAGGAGCCAGCCCCAGCAGGTCCATCTCCACGCTTGAGCACCACATATTTACGCTTCCAAGCAGGAGGTTTCTCGCCTCGCAAGAGTTTTTTCTTTCGGGGCTGCTGATGCAACAGGTAGCCCTTGACCAGTGTGGTCCCTGGAGGCGGTGGGGGATCGCCCACGGCAGAAGATCCAGTGCTGGAGCGACGTTTCGATGTTGGCCCCGTTGGAGGCAGCCCCGGACCTCCGGTCGATGCTCGGCGGGATCCAGAAGCAAAGGGGGGCGACTTCGGAAGGCCAAGCACCGAAGCACTGTTTCCTTTTGAGAACAGACTTCGGCGGCTAGTTCGTTTAGGTGATGGTGACGGCATCAACAAACCCGCACTCTTTCGAAGATTCGCTGCTTCACCGGTGGATCGATAGGAAGCGGCGCTGCTCTCAGAGACATCCTGATCTTGCAATTCGCGAAACTCTTGCTGCGATATGTCATGAGCAACGTTGGCGTCACCACCCGTCTTTGTCTTTTCCGAGATTTCCTTTGCCAGCATTGTATCCGCATCGATCAAGCGACTCTTGAGCTGGGCTTGCTCCTGTTGTTCCTCCTCTCGATCTTCTTGAAGGAGTTCGTAGGCAACGTAGAGACTCGACAGTTGCCCTTCGACGTCCACGATTCGCTCCTGGTGAACTTGGAGGCGACTATTCAATTGGTCCTTTTTGAGAGAAAACTCTTCCTCCCTTCTGTGCAACTGCGCTCGCAACGACTCGGCCTGATCGCTTTCTAGCCGCAAATCGAGCTCGAGTTTATTGACCTGCTGCTCAATGAGGCTGCGACGGGCCTCTGCAGCATTTCTTGCCTGTTCGAGTTTTTCCCATTTTGCCGTATCCCTGGACTGATCGTTCTGCAACTCCTGGATAGTTTGTTGTTGATGACGGCACAATACCTCTAGCTCCATGTTTTTGGCACTCTGCTTCACGTACCGCTTGGATCGATGAGTATCATCAGCGACATCGTAGTTCCATTGTTTGTACTTTTTGGAATACTGTGGGATCATGGACGACACGAAAGCTTTCGGCATGTTAGCCTTCATGTCAGGATCTTGACTCCAAAGAGCAGGGTCTGAGTAGGTTCGGCACAGGCTGGGACGACCACCTTTAGACGACAAAGGCTTGAACTCTGACGACTTGATGGTGCTCACGTCTGCAAACGATTCGTTGTCAGCAGAAGTATTGTCAGGTGGACTGTTTGGCAATCGCGAAGCATTAAAGTCGCTTGGCTTGTCGGATGCCCCATCGACCAGAGCTTGCGCCACTGCTTCTTTGCTGTTCTTGCTGTCGTTGTGGTAGAGACCCATGGCATTGTCCATCATATAATCATTCTCATCAATAGACCAGCTCTTGTGCAACGTATGCTGCCAGAATTCCGCCATGCGTTTGGTTTGCTTTTCTTTGAGCATGTCACGTTCTTCTCGAAGCGCCTTGACTTCGGCTTCCAATGCCGTCGTCCGAGCACTCTCCAATCCCAAGAGAGACGCTTGTTGTGCACACGTGGCTTCCAACGTGGTTGCCTTGGTCTGGTGTGTCTGGACTTGTGCATAGAGTGCTTTGGTTTCTTCTTTGAATTTTGCTTCCATTTCCTCATGCTCTCCAACTTGCAACTGCAACGAGGCAATTTGCTGTTTGAGGCTCTCGTGCGCCAGTTGCGTCGCCTTGGCCACACCACCGGACCCCCGGGGAGGAGATTTGCCCAATTTGAGAGCTTCCAGTTGCGCCTGCAAACTCGCAATTTGTGATTGCAATTCGGCATGAGCCTCCGTGGCACACGCGGATTCCAAACTGGCCAGGACATCAATCACCGAGACTCCCTTGCTTTCGGACATGATTTTGAGTTGTCGTTGACAGCGTTCCATTTCCGATTGCAAATGCTTATTTTTGGCCTGCAGAACACGCAGTTGTTTGCTCAATTCCGAGAGTCCAGTCCCGACGGCCGAAGTCCGACGAGGTGTGGTAATGGGAGACGGTCGATCAAATGCAGCCGCCGTCAGGGATACACGGTTGGTACGAAGGGGTGGTGATGGAAGATCATCCATGATAATATTCGGAGTGCTGCTCGTGACGCAATGAAGCTTTTGGGGTTCTTCTTCCGTGGATGAACTGTTTTCGAGCTTGTTGCCAGGGGGCTCTGCCGGGATTGTTTGTCCTGTGGTTGTCGCTGTCGTGTCATTTTCCACCGGTTTGCTTTCTTTCGGAACAGGTTCGTTTCCTTTTTCATCCTCCACTGGAGTTTGTGCCGCTTCTTTGACCTCTTCCTCCTCCTCAGACACTCTAGAATCTACTGATTCTTCTTGGGATCCTTCTGTGGCAACTGCATCTAAGGTGAGTTCTCCAACTTCCTGTTCTTCCTCCTGAGCAGCAACCTTCTCCTCGTCAAGCACCGGATTGTTGTCGTCTTCATCATCTTCCTCATCGTCGTCATCTTCTTCGTCCTCCTCTTCAAACGATTCTACGATGCCCTTCTTGGCTTGATCTTTTGTTGGCTTCCCAAAGAGAATATCCGATGCCAGATTGCTGGAAGCTACGCTGGTTTCACTGCAAGTATCTCCCGATGATTGCGACCCCAAACTCCCTTTGCCATCAGCGCTATCGGGCGTCACAACTCTGCAGCCATTGTCATCATCCTCGTCATCAGTACTAGTGACAGGAGAAGTGGGATTTTTGGAGGGAGTCGCTAGATTTGTTGTTTGAGGCTTTTCCTGAAACATCATCTCCTCCTCCAAAGACGACGATGATGGAACCAAATCCTCCTCGTCAGGAACAATCACGACAGGTAGATCCTCAAAGCCGGTTGTCATCGTTCCGTTCTTGTTCTGTCCCGTCGATATTTCAATAATTGCTTTGCCACTCCAACCACTCTCTTTGTCTCTCAGTTTCTTCGAATGCTTCTAAGTTAGATTGCATCAACTCTTCAGATTTTGGGGAGCATTGCTTTTCGCTTGATTTTTTTTTACCTCACTTCTTTTGAATTGAATTGATTCGATTCCGCGATTTGATCCATCTTCAAGGGTCCACTCAAGGCTCCACTCATTCATGTGCGCCACGTTGCGCCCCTCCAAGCTTGCCATTGGTTGACAACATGTGTCAACTTATTTAGCGCGGACCTCACCCAAAAAATGGGACTGTTCTGGTTCAATTAGAGCCAAATTTCTTGGAGAGGAGAGGGACCCATCCATCCATCACATGTTTCGCATCATACCATTACTGGGTTCATCCGGCCATGCTTGCTAGCTACGGTACGGTCGTACTAGCTAGCAGTACATGTAGTGGCTATCTAGCTGAAGCCATGTTGGACCCTAGCTAGCTAGAACGACACCTGGCAACCTGGCCAAGCTCCAGTACTATTAATAGTACGCGTACGCCATCTCCTGGACTTACACCTGGACCAATTCCTGGGTTGCTCTCGGGTCTCTACCTACCGGTACCGGTAGCCCCTTAGTCTAATCCCTAGCGGTTGGATAGCAAGGTCAATACCGGTACCGCTGAAAATACCACAACTGCCATTCATTGGCTACAGGCTCTATTTGGTAGCTACTGGTTAGAATCTGCTATCCTCCATTCCATTTCGACCCCGATCATAGCAGCCATGTCCACTCTTTCTAATGCAACCGTATGCAAGTTTTATCGAGTTTTTGACTCGGTTCAGTTGTGCCATGTTGTGTTGCCCATTTCCTTCCCGGTTGATTGGTGGTTTGGCTGCCTGGCCTACTAGCTAGTTACTTCCTTCTTGTATTATTTATTGAAATTGTTGTGTATTGTTCATGCATTTTAATTGTTGTGTATGGTTGTGTACTCGTACGTTCTTTCAGTCATCCCGCTCATCAATCCATCAATTAATCAATCACATCCCATAATCTCACAAAACTCGTCAAAATTCAATTCACCGTCACCATTCTTGTCAAATTGTGCCATGAGCCGTTTGGCATCCCGTTTGTGAAAGACCTTTTGCTTGCGTCCGTGGTTGAAGACCTTTTTGAGGTCGTCCACCGTAATGCGCCCCGTTTGACTCTTGTCAAAGGCATCAAAAGTAGCCCACAAGTTCTCCCGTGTCAAGACGACCGAATCGTCCGCTGCGGCTGCCAGAAACTCGGAATACTCAATCACACCCGTCTGCACAAAATCAAGAACCAATCATTGTGAGCTGCCTACTCCACTGGCTGGCTAGCTAGCTAGCTCATTACCGTACCGTACAGTTGCTACAGTCTCAACGCACCTTTTTGACATCCAATCGATCAAATGTTTTCTGCAACATGGCTTCCGTCTTGATGCACTTGCCGGCCGAATTGTGTGTATCGGAGAATGCCTTGAGGAGTTCCTCCCGGGTAATGACATTGTTCTTGTTGCGATCAATGTAACGAAAAATGGCATCCAAATTGGATCGATCCTGACTGCCCAATAGGTTGGAGACAATGTACATGCGTGCCGCTTTGGCGAGTTTATTGTTGGCATGAAAGGTTTCCAAATTGTCGAGGGCTCCCATGAGTTGTTGGGTATTGAATTGTTTGCCTACGCGATCGGCTTTGGTCAGATAGGCATGCGCCAAAGCTTGCTGCGCCGTGGGACGTTGTTCGTAGTCATATTCCAATAGTTGTTTCATAAAATCGCGGGCATCCGACGAGAGTGGTTTCAAAAAGGGTGCCGTGTCAAAATGGTCTTGTTTCCACTCGTCATTGCGAAAATTGATGGGCCAGACATTGGGATCTTCAAAGGGATGTCGTCGTGTCAAGAGTTGATAGCAAAGGATTCCGACCGACCAAAGATCCCCGGCTTTTCCAAAGTAGGATAAATCCCCCATGCGTGTTTCGGGAGCGGCAAACCAGTCGTCTTTATCCACACCGTGTCGACTGCTTGAACTCGAAGAAGAAGAGGAAGCAGAACTCGTGCTGCTTCGAAACGACGAGGAAGTGTCATTGTCGTCACTGTCGTCATCGTCACCCCCCAAGCCAATGCTACTCCTAGTACTGCGATGATGATAATTGCGATATTCTCGATCCAAACGGGCATATCCAAATCCGACAATTTGAAGTGTGCGGAGTCGTTTCTTGGCTGGATCCAACAAGACATTCTCGTAAGTCAAATTGGAATGAACCACGTCCTTGTCGTGACAATACGCCAGTGTTTTGAGGAGAGTCCTCATGACCACCGCCACTTGGGTTTCGTCAAACTCGTGTGGATTGGAGAATAGCTTTGGAATGGCTTGATAGAGGTTTGGTAGATCGACCCGGTCTTTGACCAAGTACCAATGATCCTTATCTTCCAAAGTCTCGTAGAGATGCAAGACGTTGGGATGGTAGAGTTCATGGTACGCTTTGACTTCGGCCCAGAAAAAGTCGGCGGGGACACGCTTTTTGGAGAGGACTTTAATGGCCCGTCGTTCCTGTGTGGCACAATGTTGAATGCTGTAGGTATTGGGGAAACCAGGGATGGGCTTTTTGGACATTTCATCGTAGAAATACTTGAGTTTCTGCTTGGTTTCCACCAAGTTGACGTGACAGACCGTCACGGCCACTTCGTGCACTCCACTGTCATCCTCATCCTGATGCCCACTAATACCATGAGTGGAACGCTCTGCCGAGGATCGCAGAGAATCGACCAAACCGCGCATCGTATCCATGATGGTACCGGTATCTTCTTTTTGTTTTTCGAATAGCTAGACTGACTGACTTGCTGTTGTGGCTATCGGAGTCGAGTCCTCTCTGACTGATAGATAGATGGATGGATAGATCGATAACAGAATCGAATCACTATGGTCATAGCATGCCGGTGGCTGTAGCAGGACAAACGAACTGGCATAGCATGGGTGGTATTCTCATGGCATAGGCATAATAATCAACAAACTGGCACAGCATCATCGATCTGTTCGATACGATGGATGATGGATGTCTTCGAAGGATTCTTTTGCGTTTTCAAGTTTTCAAGCTGTTTCGAAAAAATCGCATTGGCACTCCTTCTTTAGTCACGAGTAAAAGATCCAATTGGGACTGGAAGAAACCGTAGGCGCTCTTCGACTTCTTTTGTTTCTTTTGTCAAACCACTTTTTGCCACCACAAGCTATCTGGCTAACTAATAGTATTGTATTGATCTCCACCATGACCGACAACGAAGGAGGATCAGACGGTGACTTTCACGGCCGTCAGTTTCAATTACTGGGGGCGGCCATGTACCGTAGCTTTCGCTGTCTCTGGATGCTCGAAGAACTCCAAATCCCCTACAAGTACATCCCCGCCCAACCCCAAGGACAATCCATCAAATCGGTCAATCCCTTGGGCAAAGTACCGGCATTGATCGAAACGCATCCCTCGTCGTCTCGTCCCTTTTGCATGTACGAGAGTGCCGCCATTAATACCTATCTGGGAGATATGGCCTATACACTGGCACCGCCAACTGGTCGTGAGCGATTGGTACCCCCACCGGGTACCCATTTGCGCGGTCTCTACGAACAAACGGTCAGCTGTATCATTACCGAATTGGACGCACAAGCCTTGTGGATTCACCGCAAACATCACGATATGGGACAATATTTTGGACACATTCCCGAAGCCGTCCAAACCGCCAAGGATCACTTCATAAGAGTCAACAAGGTATTGGCGGCACAATTGCATACGAATGGCGGCCAATATTTGGTGGGACAAAGCTTTACGGCCGCCGATATTCTCTATGTGCATTGTCTGGGATGGAGTATTGCCATTGGATGGCACGATGGATGGCAGGATGATGCCAAACTACAGGACTACGTGCGACGGTGTCGACAACGAGAAGCCTATCAAAAGGTAGCCGCCATTCGTGATCGAGAAAAAGCCGCCTTTCAAGAAAAGGCAAAAATGTAGATCATGGTATTTTGATTTAACTCATCTGCTTTCGTGTTCCTTTTCCATTCCATTTTGGCACTCTTTCATGATGTTTTGTTCAGATACAATATCAAAGGCAGGTTGAACACACCATGTTCATCTTTGGGTAGCAACAATGCAGCATGAATGAGGATTTCTTAGTTATAGGTACAATACACACATTAGATAATAGATAAAGGAATCAAAAAGCTCTTTTCAACTAAGCTACATTCATGCCAGCTGGTCATTCATAAGATACGGTACAAGTGTGTCGACACTACTAGTACTTCTACAATCGATCCCTACACAGGGCCCGATACTCGTTAGGAGTCGGCGGGTCCAAGAATCCAGAAAACATGGAAGCTTCTTGCTGCTTTTGGAATTCCGCAAACTCAGCTTGATACAAAGTACAATCCTCTTTGGGTTCAGGGTCCAACCAATGCGTGTCACAAAATCCTCCCAAATAATTGCTCCATCGCCACCCACGACGATGCCCCACCACCACTGTCTCGAGACTAAACGGTGGATCGCGTTCGCTGCTGTACAATCGTTGTTCCAATCGTTCGTGATACTCACTCGCGTCGGGTGACAAGTGGACCAATAGCGGATACAGCGGCGATTCCCAAGTGGATTGTTTTATAAGACGAATGCGAGCTCGCATGACGGCTGCCGCGTCTCCGACCCGATCGATCCGTGCGGCACCGTAGACCTTGTCATTGTCCAATCCCATGCCTTCAATGGAGACGAAACTGCCTGGTTGGATGTCGCATCGCAAATCTCCCGTAATGCGCGTCCGGGCAATGCCCAACCATTTCAATTGGGGCAATGCTGCAAATTCGCGGAGTGTCCCCGTCACTTGCGAACAACCGGATATATCGAGAATGGTCAAGTTGTGAAACAATGGACTACTAACGGTACTGCTGCTGCTGCCATCTTCTTGGGTTGTCATGGTGAGTAAATCTTGGACAGAGCCCGTCACGTAGCGATTGTTGATACAGCGTACGTCATGCAGATGTGGCAAGTGTGCAATATCTGAGAGTTCCCAGTACAGTTCTTCACAGCCATGTAGATTGAGTGTCTGTAGATGTTGCCAGCAGGAAATGGAGTCTCGGAATTCCAGCCATTCCAGAGCATTGACATGATGGAGACACTTGAAATGCTGGAGCTTGACAAAACGGGGTAGCAAGGCTAGGCGTGTCGAGTTGCCCACTGGCAGGCCCGTACTGGCGGTATTCTGATCCAGTCGCATAGATTGTAAATTGGGTAGACACTCTGCTACCCCCTGCAGTGTGGTGCCATTGTCAATGTAGACTTCTTCTTCTGTGCTTGTGGCGGTGGATACCACCTTCCATGCTGGTCCCACGAGCCGCACTTTCACAATCTCTCTCCATTCTAGGTACCTGAAGATTCGACAGAGTATGTCTCCTTGCAAGATGTCCTCAGCACTTGACTCTCTTCGTACCAGTTCCGGTAATGAAGTGGCCATCCTATTCTTTCTGTTGGCAAATGGTTGACCAATCGTTTAGTCAGGGTGGGTGTATGCGAGGTGGGAGGCTGTTTGGGTGAGAGTGGGGGACTAGAGTGATCTGGGTATTAATTAAGACCTGCAGTGCATTAAGACTATTCTTGGATTTGTACAGTAATTCCTATAGTAACAGTACATACGGTACGGCCTAGCTACCGGTAGCTACTACATGTCTCGTACGGTCGTATCAGCGAAGGAGTGTCGATAGAGTGCTTATCATGTGCTTATGCATGTGCTTATCATGTGCTTATGCATGTGCTTATCATGTGCTTATGCATGTGCTTGGAGACACTCATCAGGCCTGTAGTTTGCACTCGATAGAACCGGTACCGGTACAGTAGGATCCTACGTAGACTCAGTACTAGGGTCTACGTGTGACGTCATATGGTCTTAATCTGCAGAGAAAAAGAATTGACGGAGAGAAGTCTGAAATCTTCAACCGCCCGTAACTCCACCAATAAGTACACTATGAAGTTGCGAGATTTATGGCATACTCAACTACATGTGTTCTATCGTTTCCAGGGTTGCTGGTTCAACTAATTTTGGATGTGAACTTTGTTCATGACAAAAGTTCGGGTAACACGATGCTCGTGAACTGAACCAGTTCGTGAACACCCCAATTTTGAGCAGCCTCATGAACCTATTCATGAACCCATTCATGAACCAAATCCTAGGGTTATGGTTAGCAAATACAGGGTTATGGTTAGCAAATACAGCCTGCAAGCTCGCATTTGAGAACAAAAGTCAATACGGTGGGTCACCAAACCTGGCACAAGAGGTAGATGGTGGATCGTTGGACTGAAGGTGGTGTTACAAGTCAGGAAAAGTTTGCTAACTAGACATGACTTGCCTCATTTGTGGTGTAGAATTCACATGAACCAATAATGTGTTTTGATGAACCTTGAACCTAGTTCATGAAGGGCCCAAACCCCCCATGAACCTCTTCATGAACGTGCGCTTCATGAACCGGTTCGTGAACCCTAGTTGAACTATTTCATGAAATATTAATTGAACCAGCAACCCTGATCGTTTCCCCTCTTTACATGTACTATTCCATATACAGCCCTGAAGATAATATTGCGGGATTCGGTCGGTCTTAAAGCCCAGATCACTCTACCGTACGGAGGGAGAGGATTAACTCTAACAAGTGGAAGCGAACCTTTTGGAAGGTTCTTACCGGGTACCGGTACCTGGTTCCCTGGTTAGCACAGGTACCCGATACCAGGTACTATACAGTATTCACCGATGATGTGGAACTGAAAAGGAACGCATCATCTGTCTTTCTTTGTTTGCCCAGCAAAACGGCACCATTCGGATCATGATTACGGATCTCCTCTCGAGCACATCAGCACTTGGTCCAACAAATTGCCTCGAGCTCTTGCTTAGTCAAACACTTACTTGGTCATTGGGTCTTACATCCTACCGGTACCACAGCCAGGTAGCAAGCAGGAGTCCAAGATAACATTAACTCCGGTTACTACTATCATCAGAAGAAGCAGCGAAATTTGTGTCTCTCATTAAAAAAGCAGCCAACAAAAAACAAACGAATATGCCTCCCTGTAAAGAAGAAGATGCCAACGCGTTGGCGGTGGACGAATGGAGCGATATTAGCTCTACCGATGAGCCCCATTGGGCGGCGACTGATTCCACAACAACCAAAGAATCCAACAAATCAAGCAGCGTCGAAGACAGCAGTAAACTTTGGTGGATCCATGGCAATGGATATGATCTCCAAGAGTTTGTGGATCGACATCCAGGCGGCAAGGAAGCCATCTTGTTGGGTAAAGGCCGTGATTGTACAGCTTTGGTGGAGAGCTATCATGCCTTTTCACCAGGCTACAACAAGGTTCTCGAAAAATTCCTTGTGGAAGAAAAGAGCAAATCGCCAGAGCCAGACTTTTTCTACGAGATTCTAAAAGAACGGGTGACGGGCGCTCTTAGAGCCAAAGGATTGGACCCACAAAAAGATCGAGGAGCCAACTGGGGTCGTTTCCTCTACTATGGATTGGTGGTTCTGTCTTTCTTGGTCACTGGCTATCTCCATGCTGTCAAAGTGAGTTCCACCTTCCACAAAATCACGCGAGTTTGTTTGCGGTTGGGATAATTGACCATCGGATACTGATACTGACTTTACTCGTTGATCTTTCCCACATCATAGGGTAGCATTTTGGGTTCTTTCTTGTTTGCATGGGCTGGTTGGTTCATGGGAGCCATTGGCCATGATTCTGGCCACTTTGCTACTAGCCACGACCACCCACTCCTCAATGAATGGGGTGTTTGGGCCATGAGCTTCATTGCAAATCCCATCATGTGGCAGCATCAGCACACCTATGCTCATCACTCCTTCACCAATGAACACAGTCACGACCCTGATTTGCACCATTTCAATGAATTCATTCGTGTTCATATAAAGAGCAAATATGTCAGTGAGAAACAGCGTCATTTGTGGTATGTGATGCTTTGCTACACTCTCCCCGTCTTTGCATCTTGCCTCAAGTATCCAATGGACATGATCAACGAGGGAATGCTTTGCATGGTCAGATGGCAAGATAAGGACCGCTTCTCAAAACAACTGGGAATGCGCTTTCATGTGATGTTGTACAGTGCTGTGGTGGTTGTGGCTCCATTCTTTTCACATTCTTCAGTCATCATGGCATTGGCATCCGTTTTACTGCACATGGTCACATTGGGTTGGCTTTATGCTCTGTTCTCTCAAATTAACCACATCAATGAAGATTCCTTGTCATCTGATCTGGAAACCAAAGCCAAGGGACAAGGAAGCAACAAGCTCGATCCCCGATTGGCCGGCTCCTGGGCTGCTGCACAAGTGGAAACAGCCAACAATTTTGCTCCTGACAGTTTGGTTTGGCACATTCTCTCCAATGGATTGAACATGCAGATTGAGCATCATCTCTTTCCAGGTCTCAACCACTGTCATTTGCACCTGATTGCCCCTGTAGTGAGAAAGACTTGTGAGGAATATGGAGTGCAGTACAAATGCTTTGGGAGCTGGAGGGAAGTCATGTCCATCCATTTGACTTGGTACAAAAAACTGAGCTACCCGCCATCACCCTTGGAAACCAAAGAATAAACCAATAGAAATAGAATGCCAATATTGACAAATCTAATTAGGACCAAATGCACAAAGGCTGCATCTTTGGAGAAGAGAAGAAAGTGAGCACATTTTGCCATTTCTTGGGCCCAAAGTTGTGCTAATCTAATCCTATTTATGTCTCTCTTGCTGGCTGAACGCTACTCTCATTTCCTAACTTGCAAAAGACCATGAAAGCTATTCATAGCTTGCTACGGCTGTACCAACCAAAACATTGCTAGCTCTCATGTAACCAGAGTTCACAGACCAGACGTCCGGGTCGGGGTTTCGAGCGCCTTTTTTGATCGGCCGCAAGCCAGCAGAGCTATCTACCGTACCAAGTCTTTCGTGTCGCTTTCACGTTTCCGTCATTGCTTCTTGTTGTCTGCCTCTAGAGTCTGTTGTCTGTCTCTAATGAGAAGTCAAGAACCTTCACCATGAAGCGAGCTGCGTCTCCATCTACCGCGACTAGCCGTCGCTCGACGCGAGCTTCCACTCGTCACAAGAAGGAACAAGACGACCGCAAGAAGGAACAAGACGACCGTGAGCAGGAAAAGGCAAATCTCGCTGTGCGGCTCATGTCCACGCCGCTTCTCCAGGCTCTACCGGCCGTCTTGTCCAGCGGATACTTGTATCACCATGAGTGTATCACTGCCGCATCGACTTGCCAGAATTGGTACCATCTCTGGAAGGAGGTCGAAGACGAATTTCCCGAAGACTCTCTGGTGGAAATCGAGGTGAAACACATTTCTTCTTCTCGCAACAACCGTGAAGTGACAGTCCCAACCTTTATCCAAAACACGGAGGGCCTACTGGAGGCATTTCACACTCAACAATTTTCCCGTCAAATCTTTGACAAGGCCAACGAGCTCAAGGTGGCGGCAAAGCCGGGCAAAACTGCCAAGAAGAGATGCCGTGAAGGTTTGCCCAAGTGGGGGATTGATGTGCGTCGAGTCAAAATTCTTTACTGGGGTCCCGTCTCTCGCAACCATGGAGGCATTTACATTTCGTATTGCAAGCACACTGGTGCCGTGATGCAAGTTCGCATAGACCATGAGCTTCCCTTTTGGACTTTGAATGGCATCCGCCAAAAGACCTGGGCGAAGGCCTGTCTTTGGGCGGGCTCTTTCACTGAAATTGAGCTTCTCTGATTTCCATGGGTGATCTGCAGCAAAGGATTTTGTACACATAGATGATTGTCCGAGAGGCGGTGCAAACCTCCTAGGCCAATGAAAAGTCAGTCGTTGTTTTGGTGGAGTTTGGCTGCAAAGTAAGCTCCTGATTTCCTCTTGCCAATCTTCAGCAAGGGATCTTGTACACGGAGATGCCTTTGCCTAGCTAGAATGCTAGCTCAAGGCCAAACAGGCGTCCAATCATAGGGCACCTTTTTGCCAAAATCCATGACAGCTGAACAGCAAAAGCTGTTGATCGAGCATGGCATCCTTCATCACTACCTACAGAGTGAAATTGCTCTGAAAACTGTTGTGCCAAGGTTTGTGGAGATAGTGAATGTGCATGTCGATTGTTCAACCATCGACATACATCAATCTCAGCGAGCACAAAAAAAATTATGACAGTGGAGAGTAACCCTAATAAAAATTTTTATCCCTAAGACCATACCAACTNNNNAGAGCGCTGGAATGCGCGAGATCTACAAGAGGCTGTGGAGCTCGCAGCTACCAAAGGGTACCGGTATGCGACAACCATCCACATTCCTGGTGGGCACTACTACTTTCATCACAGTAATTTCAATGTTACCAATTGCCATCACCTATCTCTTGTAGCGGAAGACAATGTCACTCTTTGGTTCTCTGGGGATTCCGGGATCAACATTTCACACTCAACAAACATCCACCTCCGAGGACAACAGGGGAAAGCAAGCATCATCATTGACTATGATCCTCCGCCTCCTCCCAACCCCACCTTCAAGGAGAAATCAGGAATCACCCTCCAGCTCTACAATTGTACACAAGTTGTAGTGCAAGATGTTGTCGTTAGGGCCGCGCCATTCATGGCCGTGACAGCCTTTCAAGGTGGAGGGGATCATATCTTTCGAAGACTGCGCTTTGTTCCAAGGTCGGATCGCACACTGGTGGCAGTCAGAGATGCTATTCATTTTTCCGATCTCAGAAAGGGTCCAACCATCCTAGATTCGAACATTGGGTACAGCGGAGACGACTTTTTGAATGTTCACACCACCCTGTTGTTGGTGCTGGAATGCGACAGAACTACACAGCTGAGGATGGAATGCTTGCTGGTCAATCCTCGAGTTATGGCCAATGCCAAATCCAACACTGTATATGGAACCTTTTCGGTGCTTCCATTCGTCGTTTCCGGCGACCATCTGTCGTTCTTTGCTTGGCCATCTACTGACATGGTCATGAGCCCCCTGATACAGAGTGCTGTGGTCGTTCAACTGGAGGATGTGAGTGAGGTATACGGGCACATAGCCCAAAGGGCGCTTCCTCCCATGCTGGAGTATCCACCATCCATGAGCTGGCACGAAGCAACCAACCAAACGCACAAGTTTGATGCCGGCGAAGTTTGGAGGGTCGTCTTGGAGATGAGACATGACTTTTCATCATCAGCACTACCCCCACCCGTTGGTATCGGTACCATTGCAACAATTGATACAATTGCCACAGCCGGCGCCAAGCTCATAAACAATACCTTCCTCCATAGTCATTGCAATCTTGGCCGCTTCAAGAGTCCAGGAGGTGTCATTCAAGGAAATGTCTTTCACCAGGCATGGAAGCCCAATCTTGAGCTCACTGCGCTCCCCCAGTTTTTGGAGGGACCAGTGGATGTGCGAGATATCCTGGTAGCCGACAATCTCTTTTTGGGAGTAGGGCCTGATGATCCCGTGCACTGTGGTCCGTTTTGCGAAAAACCGGAGTGTCATCCTTGCTATCAGTGTCCCCATTGTCACCGCGACACTCCCTGGGCTAGGAATATTACCCTTCGCAACAATACAATCATCAAGTCTACCGATTTGAGTGGCGAATGAGCGACTATCCGTATCATGAAGTTCTGAGCTTTTGGATGCTCGTGTCACGTTGTCCCTCTCGAAGATTTGGGCTTCGATGCAGTGCGAAGCTCGTGAAAGCATAGTCGCTGCTCCAACCCAACATTGTTGCATCGCAGGTGTTCCAAGCATCGAAGCTACCGGAGAGCCGCACTCCTCCCAACCCAGTTCTAACTGCCTAGAGCCAGTCATGGGAGGACACAGAGAGCGAGTTCGGACACTCTAACAACCGCATTGATAGGAATGCCATCAAAGGCACTGCCAAACATGGTTATTCTACTTACGGTGCTAGCTAGGAACCGACGGACCAACATAATCAGTTTCAAAAGTCACTTCGTTTATGCTCCAATGATGACAGCAGAGTCGAGTCCATCACGGCGTCGATTCGTTCGCATACAGATACAAGTCTTCCAGTTCACTGGCACGAGGCAGATCCAATTCACCCAGCCACCCTCGAAAGTTGGGAAAGTCCTTCCAAGCGGTCTGATTCACAGCCGTGCGTGTCTTGTATTCCATTTCTTCTGCCGCATACAAGGCATCGTATTGACTCAACAAAAAGTATTCGAGCTTGCGCGCTCCATGGGACCGATTCTTTTGCAGCATGCGCTGGATGCGATCGCCCAGGGACCGCGTGACTTGAAATCGAGATGCAGGGTCCACCCATGAAATTTTGGATGGATATTTGAGACGGAGTAAACGTGGCAAGGCGGCGAGAAACTCGGGGCTGGATCCACTCATGGCGACCTTGCAGTGGGAGCACACGTAGTGATTGGAGACGATCCAGGATGGTTTAGTGCCGCAGTCTCCAAAGACGGGTATGAGACGTTCCAAATGATCATAGACAAAGTGTCCTTTGTCACAGCGGGTGCACGGGAGACATGGTCGTTGCTTACTGTCATTGCTGTTGGAATCTGATGCGTTGGGGATAAATTGGAGCATGAGTTCCCATTCCAATAGCCAAATGGTGCATCCCGCCACCACGGCATAGTCGGGGCTCATGAGCAATGGTTGCGACCGCCACCCTTTCTTCTTGACAATGGGTGGTCGGGGACACGTAAATGCACCGGTGCGATTTGGAAAATTGCTACGAAACCATTGTTTGCGTTCGTCTTGCGCGGTTCTATTGTTGTTGTCTCCCACCACAACCACGTCCTTGACATCGGGACAGTGATGATGCAAGTAATAGGCTAGAACAGCGACCGGTTTGGGAGCACCGGATTCTTCCATGTATTCCAGAATGGATTCGTCATCGTCGTGTTCGTAATGTTGGATAGATTCGTCTTCTTCCAAGAGTTGTGACAACCACTTGGAAAGTGATGAATATTTGATTTGACTGATTTTGGCAGCTGCTGGCTTTTTGTCGTCGTCATTGCTTTGATCCGGTTTCTCTTGGGTCACCTTTGTGGAAATAGTTTCGTCACTCTTATTCTTGTCTTTCTTGCTATCATTGTTGCTGGCATTGGACCCATCGACCGAGCTCTGGCCAATGGCATCAGCATTCTCGTCTTCATCGTTCTTCTTTTTGGAACTTTGCAGAGAAATCTTTTTGGATGTAATGGTTGCTGCAGCTTTGGATGACTTGGCTGGTGATGTTTTCTTTTTGGGCTTTAACATGCGCAAAGGACACTTTGGGAAATGCCCGGCAGCGGCCACAATACCATCCACTCCACACAGTGGACATGTCAGAGGTTTCTCTTCTGGTGGAACGACACGAGCACTCTGCTTGTTGCCTCGAGTGGACCGACGACCTTCTCCTGCTTGGCCGCTCTCTTTTGCAACCTCACTGCTACTGGTAGGATTTTGCACCACCAAGTCTTCTCCTTCGGTGGATGGCACCTTGTCTGTACTGGTAGTAGTAGTCGTATCTTCTACAGATTGTGTCTTGTCCTTTTCGTCGGATGACACAGTGGTGCTCTTGTCGGGTACACAGACACTCACAGCTTCCTCCCACACATGTTGTCCAATGGTCCTGGCTGCCACTTGCAGTGAAAACGATTTGTGGTTGTCGTCGTCGTTGTCACTACGTGGGCGCTTCTTGCCTTCTTCTTCCTCGCCTCCGTGTTTTCTCTTTTTGCGTCGCGAACTTCGCTTTCTCGGTGATACTCCTAGTAGCTTGGCTTCGCTCGATGCCACCGCAGGAATGGGGGATTCTTCGGCTTCTTCCACTGCGAGCACCTGTGTGGCTCTTCTGGAACTACCACTAGTAGTAGACGCTCGACTGTTGTTGTTGCCCATGTCGACTTTGATGAAACTTGGTAATAGGTGGTGGCGTAATGTTGAGTAGCTTGTTGAGTGCTGAGTGAGTGGTGGGCGTATCTTTTCCTGTGATTTTCAATCAAGTCGCACACTTTCCCGGCGAAGAAGACGGCGGAAGACAGAGAGAGCCTTTGATACCGATGGCAACCATACGGTAGTTGACGCATGTACCGCATGCATACATGTAACTTGTTGGCATGATGGTCAACATGGCCTGGTAGTCTACCACTAGCTAGCTACTGGAGTAGGCTACTCTTTACTATTTTAATAACTTGCAAACAAGCCAAACTAGAAAAAGGTACGGTACCGTAAGTATTGTGTCACCACAAGGTATCCATCGGACCAAGATATCCGAGTTGCCTTCTTGTACGTGTAATATCTATACTTTTGCTTTTCAACCACTGTGGATTAGTTGATGCGGACACGGTGCGACGCACTGGATGGCTTGAAATGACTGGGAAGAGGAAATGGAGCTGCGCAATGACAGTGCATTCAAACGGTTGCCAGAGGAGGAGCTAGGACGACGGTAACCGTTCCTTGGATACATGCACGATGTGTATCAGATAATGCAGTTTTACATAGTTAGGTTAATGAAAGACGAATGCATGATGAGTAGCTAAAACATGGAACAGATGGTTCCATTCTGTCTGTTTGTCTGTCTGATTGCAATGCGTTGCCACAGAGTTAGGCTGCTTGACTTCGGATTCTCCTGTCGGGCGAAATGGACGGAGATCGGGTGCTCTGGTAGATATTTGCTCGGCGGTGATGAGTGGAATCGGACAGCAGTTTGCACCCAACCGACTCTTGTCGAATGGGGTATTTGGGAGGGTTCTGGATCTTGGATAATGGTGGGGGAAAGATGGGCTTTTTAGCACCAACGACATCGGGCACCAATGGCATCCCAACGGATTCTTTTCTCATGGGGATCCTGGGTGGGCAGCTGTTGCGGGTGCCAAGGGGACACGGTGGTGGCAATGGAGGTGCATCCGCACAACCTTCCACTATTGGTTCATTGACTCGGTCGGGAGACGACGACATTTTGAGGCCAGCCGATACTTGTCGCTTGGGAAACTTGGGCGAAACCAAACCCAACGGCAATGGAAAAGCAGGCGTCTTTTGACTGTTCCAGCGAGATACCAGGTGATCTTCCTCTTCTCGGTGGGATGCTTCTTGGTGGCTGTCTTCTTCCGTTCGATCGATGGTGCTGCTGTCCATGGTGTCGATGATCATCGCTTTTGGTTTGTCAGTTTGATGGCAGTGGATATTTTGTAAGACTAAAATCCAGTTGCTTGGAATTCGTGTGAAAGGCTCGGAAAAATAAATGTGAGAGGTCGAATGGGAAGGTCCGATGATCCGATGATGCGATCAAGATGCCAAGGGTCCGTCAACCCGTCAAACGTCCAGTTGAGAATTTGCCAGAAATGCTTCTCGTTGCCAAGAAGAAGGGCACTTAAAAACCACCACGTAATTTCTAAAAAATTGCCACCAAGATTTTTAGTTCATCGATCCAAATAAAAACAGATAACGTTGCCTTGACGTTAAGATAATCTTTTCTCACACCGTTGCTCACTGGTATTGGTACTTCAACGCCACTGGTACCGATACAGACACGAGAATATTGAAACCATTGCTGGGATATTTTACTAATCCTATTGCTGTTACATGAATATTATTTGTAGCAATCGGTTTGTAGCAGGGAATCAAGATCTCATTCTAAATTGGTCGCATCGACAGCTTCTGACATGTCTGCAGAAGAAAAATCTTTGATATCAGATCGAATGATTGAGTTCTACAATCAATCTATGATGCATATTTTATGAAAGGGAGAGTACTCATCATGGAATGCCTATTAGGTTCCAAGATTCAATCTCCTCATCTACAAATAATCTGAGCACCCGAGCCCGACTTCAGAAGGGTACCGGTACCATGGTACACTAGCACTGTAACTTCGAAACAAATGTTCTTAAAGATAAAGCAAAAGTACCATTTTCTATTTTTGGCTTCGCGTCAAAAATTTGTTCCCAATGCTTCACGATGGCCCTCTTCGAAACAGCACTAGCTGAGGTCATTGTAAAAGACCAAATGAATTACATCAGAAAGGAACATTATCAGTTAGAGAAAAGAATCAGAAGTTTGTTCCTCAAGGAGCACGTCTCTGGGAGAGTGGTTTCAGCTCTCCTTAGCTTTCGACCCACAAATGTTTATTCCATTGAACTGCCTCAGGAAAGAATTCTTCCTGATAAGAGGACACGCGCAAGATTGCAGTCGTGTCATTGGGTGATCATCTATTGGCATCTCGCTGTACTGTAGAGTTGAAGAACGCCAAGCTCAGGCAGTTTCTGTGCAGTGCGCCTCGAATTACATGTATTATTGACTGGATCAACAAAGATGCGGTTCTGCTAGAGCGGGCACGGATCCGATGATTCAGTCAAGTTTCCAATCCCACGCAATTCCAAAATTCACTTAACGTCAGCATCCAAAATTTGCATCCGACCTTGCTAATGAGCAAGATCTTAGCCGAAGATCTGCTGACACCGACCATGACGAACCCGCCTGGGTGCGAGAGAGGCGATGGATACGGTGGACCTCCCCACGGTGGAGCTGACGGCTTTGAATGAAGAGAAAGGAGCAGCCCCAAGGATTGCTTATCCGACAAATGGACAACGTTGACAGAGTTCTACTGGGAATTTGGCATTGGTACATTGGTACCAGTATTCCACAACGAGGGGGGAAAGTCGGATATTGGGTGCAGTATGATAATGAAAGCCAATCCAGAGGAAACCACAGGGCCGACTTTTTAAAAGTCCAACCCGTCAGTTTCCTTGGTGGCCATTTCCTGAATTTAAAAAGCAATGGTGAATCTCTAGATTTGTCTATTTACTTACTTTTGAACGTGGGAGATGTGGTGCTAACGGTCTAATGGGTCTCCGGCGGGGCATCTGGGTCCTGTCGCAGCAGCCCCCTTTATCTGGACCAGTGATGGCGCGGGCGCTCACAGTGAATTCGCCGCAGCGTATTCTACAAGGAGACATTGGAAACAACAATAATGCCAGCAACAACCAGGTGGTTGGGATGGGGGAAATGGTCGCAGCCCTATTGAGACTCCTCTCCTTGGGTGTCGCAGGAGGTGTTGCAGCAACCATGACGCCATGACGTAAGGAGGCAAGAAGCAATCTAACATTCTTCCAATAGGCTCGTGCGGTGCCATCGAGGCAACCTACCCTGGGCAAAGGTTTCAGTTATGGTCTGGGCAGGTTCCTTTGTTGCTTCGGCTAAGGTGTTCTTCGTTTGAGCAGGAGAAAACTCGCATCATACATGTAGATTGCTTGATGGTAGGTTCCTATGTTGAAAGCAACAACGTTAAGAGTGTCATCCTGGGAAACCTGGCTCCAATCGACTGCTAGCTAGCTGGCAGGCTGGCTGGACGGTCCTCTCCAGGATGGAGTGGAGCCAAAACAAGAATCTTGCACTGATGGCATCGGAGAAGCCGCACGATGGTGGCAGCGTCCTTTCCACTTATGGATCCCTTCTGTTCTCCTTCTGCAATTGCAAAGCTAGCTCGGGCTTCAGATTCCTCTGGTGGGGTGGGGAAGTTTTTGGGATGCACTAGCTAGATTCAGACGTCCTAGAGTCAGAGGTCCAAATCAAGAGGATAGAAACAAGAAGGAACACCAAACTAAATCGTGCTTGACGATTTTGAGGAATCGAATGATTGAATCACCCCGGAGCTTGTTCGAGCTGCTCGCTTTGAGTAGGAGAAGAATCGAATCGCACCATGGCGGCAACGTTCCTTCCAACTCCTCGCTCCTGTCGGGTCTTTCTGTTCTCCACTGTTGTTGCCTGTACCGGTGCGGTACCGTTACTCTATGTAGTTAACCGAAGGCTCAACACTAGACAGATGACCTAGCTACTGGGGATGATTCAATTCTGTTCTTGGGGTTTGCTCTGAGTGCCGGCAACAGCAAACTGTACATCTTGGTGGTTGCGGGTTGCGGGAGCCCTCTAGATCGCCGATCCTAATCACAACGATAGAAAGGAGAAAGGAACGTCAAGAAAGGTACATCTTCTGACACGCACCAGGCTCGAATTGATGATCTGTTGAGGAAACCCCAGAGCACGTTCGAGCTGTTCAGTAAGTCGGAGGAATTCCTTGGGGGCGAATCGAATCTCCTACTAGCGGCAGTAGACAGGCTTCTTGGAACGATTTCGATAGATGACATCTGTGCGGGGCAACGGTCATGTATGTTATCGAGCGGATCAAGACCTTTGCAATTTCATCGATCTGCTGGCACCTAGCTAGCTAGCAAGCTCAGTGAGAACAACCAGAGCCCATCATGCTAATCTACGATAAGGGGTACCGCTGGCTGCGATCTTAGTTGCTCTGCATGCTCGATTGATCCTCACGCAGCCAATGGCGAGTGGGCGGAGTGACGACGTTAGAGTGCATCTTTTCCCACTGCTCGGGGTAACGTTTGCTTATCTTTTCTCAATGTAGCTAGCTCGTCTTTTTGGGTTGCTTTTGATGCACTTTCAACAACTCCAGAAACTCTTTGGTAATGGGAAACCCAACCGAGGCTACCATGAGAAACCACAGCACGATAACTTGTGTTTGTAGCTTCAACGTTATTTTCGCATGGTAGACAACATACCCACCTTCTCCTACATGCGCCACAATGGCAAAAATCCAAGCGTACTTGACGGCCGCACTGAAGGTGGATGCCGAGCCAAAGACCATGGAAATGGTGTCATTCAATTTGGGTGCCTGTTCAATCATTTCGGTTAGATTGTCGGTTCCAATGACATGTGTACCGTATCCCAACAGAGCCACCACGATCAGAACCGCCAAGGCATCGATATGCGTGACGAGCCAAGTCGGTTCTGGTGCACACACTTGATGATGAATGGCCACCATCCGGGGTCGCACTTCTTGGGCACTGGCCAGAGGTGGTTGGAAGGGATAAAAAAGCTTGTGCATTTCACAGAGTTCTCCTTGACAACTCACGGCGGAAATCTCGCATCCTTTCAGCGTAACCTTTTTGAGCTTGAAATCGGTGATCTTTTTCTTGCCGGGTAGCAGGGATTTGGCCATTGCGTAGACGCTGACGGCATGATCCTCGTTCATGTGAGTGCAAACTCGTGTCGACGTTTCTGCCGATACTTCAGTGCTGTCTGTCATGGTAGGAACGCTTCGATATTGGTAGGAGAGTGCACACAACAAAGAAGCAACTCAGGCTTGGGGCAAGGTACGGGTACGAGGTGACAGAAGCAAAATTAATAGAATGACGGTGGCGGCTTTTGGAGTGATCAAGTGGTGGGGTCCTCAACGTCGACAATTCTTGGGGATGTTTACCCCTAACCCTACTCTTCTCGCGACCGAAAGAAAAACCCAGATTTGTGGCTGGGGTAAATCTGTGTGATGCCAAGGTGGTTCCATGGCTCCTTTAGAATAGCTAGAGCCATATTACCGTAGGAGTCTGGAGGTTGGATAGTTAGGGCCTGGTGTACCGGTAGGCCCATAACTTGCCGGATGTGAAGGTTCAGAGACCAGGTGAGGGTCTTGCTGTGGCGTCATGTCATGAAGTTTTGGATCCCTTTGGACGATGGACTGGTTGCCTTTGGCCGTTGCTCACCTAGACCGTTAATGTATGCTTGGCAAGCTTGCCATTGCTCCCTGCTGAGAAGTTTGCCGTTGTGATGTAGGTTTGATCATCTGGTTCTGCTGTACTATTTCTGCTTGAATCTTGCCCAGGCCATCCTGCAAAGCTTTCCAATTCTCTACAGTTGCAACAGCCTTGGTCATTTCAGTAAAAAGAGGCAGAAACGTTTTGTAAGCCCCAACTGATTTCATTGCTCGCTTGATATCTCAATCTTCCTGCGTCTCTAATAAATCTGGTTCCTCTTCTTCTGAATCAGTTTCGAATTTTGGAGGATGGCCCATATGCTTGGTGTTGCCTTTCTGTTTCTTTGGAAGAAAGAAGCGTTTGCGAACGGAACAAAAGTATACTTGAAAATGGAACTTGCAAAGTACATCCTTTCCAAATATGGGATAGTTAGTTTGAAATTCAGCATTGCCCTCCATTGGTTTGCCTTTTGAAGGTCTATAATATCTGTGCCTTGGACAAGTGATGGTCAAATAGCCATACCGGTTGTCATATTTTCCGTTGACTATGCTGAAGCCAGCTTTTTGACATGGTCCAGCAAACAAAGTCAACACTTCTTCTTTGATGAACTTCTTGTTATCACTGTTGTATTTACTGGGAAGCCAGTGTACATTGTCTTTGTCAGTAGTCGGGAAACCTAGCTAGAGTTGGTATTAGATCAATCACTCTGGGAGTATCATCGCTGAGAGATGTGGCCACCTCCACCATAATAGAATTGGGAGACCACTCTTGATTATTGATATTTGGATCAGCGAGATGGGTCTCCATAGTGCTGGCTGCTTTGTAGTGTTATGAGGACAATCTTACTGCATGGGGCCTTTCCTCCAATATTTTTGCCAGGTGTTGGCAGCGGAATCAATCAAGTCAATATTATTATTCTACTTGCTTTCAAGAAATAATAATACTTATTTGTTAGCTAGCTGTTTCTGGATTTGTGCCATGCCACGACATCCTCGTATTTCAGGTCTCCTCCAAAGCAATCCAGGGCACTGCCAATTGTCAAGTCCACCTTTCCGTTTCCCACCCTCTCTACCATTTCCATATCCTCCATGGATCTTGCCCCTCCTGCATACGTGACAGGGATGGGCGAATGTTCTCCCAACAAGGCGACGAGATCCTCGAGAATACCACATTGCTTGCCTTCCACATCGACACCGTGCACGAGAAATTCATCGCAGTAGGTTGCCAGCATTTGGAGTGTCTCGGCATTCACTTTGACGTTGGTGAATTTTTGCCATTGGTCCGTACAGACATAATAATCATCGGTAGTTGTTGTTGTGCTATTTGGTTTTCGACGACACGACAAGTCCAGTACCAAGTGTTCCTTGCCCACAATGTCCACCAATTTTTTCAAGTTTTCCATGTTGATTTGTCCATTCTTAAAAACGTAGGATGTAACAATAATGTGCGAGGCACCGGCATCCATCCATTCTTGGGCATTGGTATCTCGGATTCCCCCTCCAATTTGCATGCCTTGTGGGTACGCTTGTAATACTTGTCGAGCCGCTTCCTTGTTGGCATCTGGCTGTCCATCTTTGCTGGGGAGCATAATGACATGACCTCCTGTCAATGCGTCTCGTTGGTACATTTTGGCAAAGTCTCCTGCCGGACGATTCGTTTCAAAATTGGTGGTGGCAGCTTCATCCTTGGTGGTGGTCAAAGTGCTGCCGACAATCTGCTTTACTTTGCCGCTGTGTAAATCGATGCAAGGACGGAACTTCATGGTGGTGTATTGGTAACGTAGGTTGTTGGTTGTTGGAATGGCTCTGGGTTAGTGGAGGTGATGGCGACACAGCAGAGGTTCCACGCGGAAGCGACGTCCTTCATGTTGCTCTAACCCTACTGTAGATTTTCTTCGCCACCTAAACCTGCCACCCACCCATCACACCTCACAAACTGCCTCATCATTTATCAATCTTTGCCGTATTCGTCGACTCACTCTGACCAACATTCACATCAGCCAGCCTCTTTTATTTGTCAGCGGCACTATCCTCTTGAATCAATCGAAATAGCGATGGTAGCGAGCAACAGCAACAGCGAAGGCGGCGGTAGTGGAGGTTGTCCCGTGGCCAAGGATTCCACAACCACTGTCAATGACAATACTGCCTCCAGCTCTTGGTCGGCTTGGTTGGGATTTGGCAACAACAGCAAAACCACAGTACCGAGCATTGCAAGCAGCAACAAGGATGAACCATCCAGCAGTACTACTATCGATGTTGGCAATGGATGTCCCGTGCAGCACAGCGACAAGACACCGTCTTCCTTGGAAGAAGCCGCGGGCTATTCGCAACGGCCACATCCCGATCAACAAGGCGTGGAACTCTCCACCCGTCGTGTCGTCTCGTCCATTCCGCGTGGCAGTAGTACAACCGAAGAAAAGGGACCCCATCATCAACCAAAAACAGATCAACAACCACCCAACTGGGTGTATCCTTCGGAACAACAATTCTTTCACGCCTTGCGACGAAAGGGATGGGACCACGTACAGGCCAGTTCGGTACCCACCGTATTGGAAATCCACAATTCCATTAATGAACGAACTTGGAAACAAGTACTCGAATGGGAACAAGATATGGATCTTCCAGTTCCTACGACGACATCCAACGGGCCTGCCAAATTTGTGGAAACCAATCTCAAGTTGGTGCGATTTCTGGGACGACCCAGTGATTTGTCACCACAGGCATTCCTCTGGACCAAAATCATGCAATGGAACGAACCACCCTTTGATCGGCATGATTGGTATGTTCAAAAACAACCATCACGTCAAAATAATAATGTCGAAAGCGAAGTAGTATCCTACCCCATTCAACGTTATGTCATTGACTACTACATGGTGCCACCACCGCATCCGGACTTGCCACCGAAACCCTATGTCGATGTCCGTCCTGCATTGGATTCACCACGAGCCGTCTCGCTGAGGGCTCGAAGATTTCTCCAAGATGAATTGCCCGCTCTGTGGACCGCCTACGTGGATTACAAGGCGCAACAACCAAGATATTACGATGGGCATGGGCCGTACACCAAAAAGTAAGTACCGGTAGTGAATGATGGACGGACTGACTGACTGAATGGCTAGCTAGAAGGAGGATATTGTAGACTTGCAAACATAAGGCGAGGATCAAAGCTACTTTTTATGAGCTACTGCGTAGTTAGCTAGCTATGATGCACAGCGCGCGGTCATGGAAAGGCCGAAATTGGCTTTGGTTTTGACTCGACTCGACTCCAACAAGAGGCAATTCCCTTTGTGCTACTGTACAGGTATACCGCCGGCCAGGTGAAGCCAAAAACATGAGAGAGGAATCGCAGTCAGCCAGTTCTCAAGCAGCAAACGACTTATTAATTTTAAAAGCAAAGGGTAGAAGGAGGCTGGTCGTTGAAGTTCAGCCAAATAATGCAGTGCCGCCCGGAACCTATCTGGCTAGAGTTTGTTGCTCTGCCTGATGAATACGTCTAGCGAGACCTCCCATACAGTACCGTACGATAGAGCCACTTCAATTGGTCTGGACATGGAGCTCAACAAGAAGACCAAATGATGGTGAGAATGTGCTTTTGACTTCGCCGAGTTGCTAAACTCAAAAACCGCTGCTTTTCATCCAAAAACAAGCAAGTGTGTTTGAGAGCTGCTTTCTCCATAAATTTGATTTTCACTCTCCGGTTTTGCACCGCCCACAAAACAACTTTGGCCTCTTTTGTTTCACAAAGCAACCATCGACCATGGCACTCGGCAAGGAGAAGAGAAAGACGACTGTCGTCGTTACTAGTGGTGCCGATGACACTCCAGTAGCTCCTCCAGTTGTAGACGGCCTCCGCGAGCTTCCTGACAACTTTTGTCCGGTGGAGGAGGTCGTGCTTGGCGGTGAGTACTGAAAGGCCACTGGATGACTGCACCAGCGATCGCTGCAGCATCATGGTTGGCCATGACACATCATACATTTACTTGTTTCATTGATCGGATCCTTTCTACGATAACATGCATTTGTCCTTTTCTTTGCCTTCCCGCATTAATATATTTCATAGGCGACGAGAACATCGCCAAGATTCACCCAGGCAACCGACGTCTTCAAGCTCTCATCGAAGCCAAACTACCACAGTACGCCGCACCCAAGCGGACCATCAAGGCGAGAGTCGTCGAAGAGGTCATGAGAGAAATTGCCGAGGCCAGCCACGTTGGAGGATTCGTCCACTACGATCCAAACGCTAAGCGGTGGTTCGCTCTTCACGATGGACGCAAGATTCGAAATCTGATCTCCAGTTTGTTCCGCGTTGCCCTTGCCGAACGCAACAAGACTTCGTATGGGATGACGGTCGACTACAGCAAGCAGCAGGAACGACACAAGACGTCAATGTACCCACCCCCCAAGGCGAATGCACCAAACGCTACGGCTGGTCGTGCCGTCACCGCGGGACCGGATCATCTATCGTCGCCACTGCCGCACGATATTCTTGCATTGGTGTCGTCTCCTTCGCCACTCAAGTTTCGACCCTCTTCACCCATTGCGTCTCCACCCATCTTTACCATCTGCGAGTTGAATCAACCGTCCAACAAAAGTGCCCACGCGACTGTGCCCAATGGTGTTCATGCTCGCCCTGGACTCAACGTGAGGCCGACTTTTGTGGGCTCCTCCCCGATGGAGATTCCGCCTGTGCGCAAGCAGCCGATGAGTGGTGCTTCTAGCATCAGTCCAGCGCCCTTTCCCTTTGCTTACTCCCCGCGACAGCAAGCAGCCCAAGCAGCCGCAGGAGATTTGGAACTGGAGGACTTGATCAAGTTCTTGAAGGAAAGCGCATAAGCATCCGTACAGTCCCTGTCAAAGAGGTCGCCTGTTGAGTGGCACACCAAATTTGCTACATGTACAATCATTCTGCTGAACCCCTCAGAGGAAATCCGCGCAAGAACAGGACCATGTGCAAAACCAGAACCATTTGTTCAACCCTACCGGTATGCATACGTTACCTGGCAAGGCCCCGTTGTTGGATACAGCGTCCTCGTGGACGAGAGAACAAAAGCGCTACTATAGCTAGCACTAGCATAACAACTAACTGTAGAGCACGGAACACATGCACGAATTCAATCGTCAATAGGTTGATAAGATACTCGAACCTCGGCAACCGATGACATCAGGATTGCATAAACCCATCCTATAGGTTGTCCTACACTACCGTACCCCGACACCGCGACCGAAGCCTCTAAAGGTACCGGTACGTGGTTCACCATGTCACAACCGTCCCCACGACAGAAGCGCTGTACGGTACTACGGCACCGGTAGTAGGCATTTCACGCCAAAAGTAAATTTTGTATTCAGGAACTTGCTTTCCTCAGGCTATCCATAAGAGTTAAACGGACCACTCTATGTAATCAACTTCTACTTCACTATCTAATCACACAAGCACTTCTCTGCTGTACCTAATTTCTCAATTTCTCTCTTCCTCCGAGGCCGAGGCCGAGGCTGCGGGTGGGTGACTCATTTTGCTGTACCACTGCAAATGGATCTCCCAGACTTCTCTCCATCCACCATAACACTTGTACTGCACTCCAAACTCCTCACAAGTCTTTCTCACTACAGGGGCAATGAGGTGCAAATGACAGTGATTGAGACCAGGAAAGAGATGATGCTCAATCTGCATGTTCAATCCATTGGAAAGAATGTGCCAGAAAAGACTGTCCGGTGCAAAATTGTTGGCTGTTTCCACTTGTGCAGCAGCCCAGGAGGCGGCCAATCGGGGATCCCGCTTTTTGCTTCCTTGTCCCTTGGCTTTGGTTTCCAGATCAGACGACAAGGAAGCTTCATTGATGTGGCTGATCTGAGACATCAGACTAAAAAGCCAACCCAAGGTGGCAATGTGGAGGATGACAGATACCAATGCCACACTTCTAGAAGAGTGTGCAAAAAAGGGTGCCACAATCACCACAGCATTGTACAAAGAAAAGTGAAGGTACACTCCCAGTTTCCTTGAAAGCCTGTCTTGATCTTGCCATTTGACCATATGAAGCATCCCAGTTAAGATCATCTGGTATGGCAACTTCAGAGTAACTCCAAAGACTGTAAAGGCATACCAAAACATAACATACCACACATGACGCTGTTTCTCTGTGATGTATTTGCTTTTGTTATGCACACGAATATACTTGCGAAAATGGTGTAAATCAGGGTCATGATTGTGTTCATTGGTGAAGGAGTGGTGGGCATAGGTGTGCTGATGCTGCCACATGATGGGATTTGCAATGAAGCTCATGGCCCAAACACCCCATTCATTGAGGAGTGGGTGGTTATGGCTAGTAGCAAAGTGGCCAGAATCATGGCCAATGGCTCCCATGAACCAACCAGCCCATGCAAACAAGAAAGAACCCAAGATGCTGCCCTATGGACTCACATGGGATCGATAATAAGCAAGGTCAGTTATTGTGATAATACACAATTTATCCCAACCGCAAGCAAATTCTGTGATGTGGGGTGTAACTCACTTTGACAACATGGAGATACCCTGTGACCAAGAAGGACAGAACCACTAATCCATAGTAGAGAAAACGTCCCCAGCTGGCTCCACGATCTGTTTGTGGGTCCAATCCGTTGGCTCTAAGAGCATCCGTCACCCGTTGTTTTAGAATCTCGTAGAAACAGTCTTGCTTCGGTGATTTGTTCCTTTCTTCCACGAGGAATTTTTCCAGAATCTTGTTGTAGCCTGGTGAAAAGGCATGATAGCTTTCAACCAAAGCTGTACAATCACGGCCTTCGCCCAACAAGATGGCTTCCTTGCCACCGGGATGCCGATCCACAAACTCTTGGAGATCATATCCATTGCCATGGATCCACCATAATTTGCTGTCAAGTTCAGCATCTTCTTTTTCGTCTTGTTTGGGATCCGCTAATTGCTTCGTCCCATTTTTATCGAAGGAATCATTCAGTTGACTGTCGTCAAAAAGGCACACGCTGGGGCCGCGTTGGTTGTCTTCTTTGCAGGGAGGCATTTTGGGGTCTCTCAACTTGCGAGATGGCAGCTATGAGCTTGTTGTCGGTTTGGAAAGTGAAAGCTTTTGAAGTCCGCTATGGGCAGAATTGTGTCAACAGGCAAGTCTGTTCCATCCTTTGTATCGAACGTATTGGCTTGAGGGAACTGGGAACTGGGGTCAATGAATGAAGCTCGCTGAGAAACCAGGTACGACTGTACCGGTACTAGCTAGTAGCTGTGCTGAGGCCAAAGAACTGCGAAGCCTTGGTCTTTAGAACAATTCACCCACCATGCTAGCTACTACCCTTGCCAGTATGCTCTGGTGTGCAGGGTGCAGGGGTGCCATTTGCTTGGCTTTAAGAAAAATGCAGGTTGAGTGCACTACCGGTAGGCGGCTGCCCTCGTACTAATGTGCGCGGGATCTGGAAGTCTTCGCTTGCCTTTTGAATGGTTTATCCAACTGTGACTCGACTCGGCTCGACCGACACTCGATGTTTGGCTTTAATAAAGTTGCTACCTGGTAGCTACCAATTATGTAGATGCAGGGCGGCTATGCAGCTTGTCCAACCAGGTGTTGGGGCAGTATACAGCCGTACGACAGCCCATCGGGGGCCCCGAGGTTCCAGCGGTATTTTCTCAACCCATTGACGATTGAATTCGCTCTAAAACATCGAAACAAGGTACGGCCTGTGACGTAGACCTCATAATTCCCATAATTTCGATACTAGCTAGTTTCACTCTGAATCGTCACATACCGTAGAATCGAAATGATTATCAGACTTGGATGTCTCTGAGCAAGCAACCTGCGGGATCTGAAAGTCTTCGTCTTCCCTTTTGAATGGTTTGTTGACGCATGAAGTTGCTACTTTCCTCCAAGAAGGTACCGGAACCCTCGATTCAACGCTACCGGTACCTGGTAAGGCCCCTTGTTCGGTCCAGTGTGGTGGACGAGAGAACAAAAGCGCTACCGGTATGATACTAGTAGCTAGTACTATTAGTGCTATAACAACTGTAGAGCACGGCACACAGGCATGTAATGGATCGAATGATTCAATCGTCAGTGCCCTGAGGAAGATACTGGTTTGCCGTCATCAAGTACCCAGGAAGTAGCAACTTTGTATTTTAAAAAGCCCAACATCAAGTCACAGTTGGATAGATGCAAGTCAACAAACCAGAATCGAATCGAACGATCAATCAAATCGAATCAATCGAATCATGTAATTTTAGGTATCCCCACAACTCCATACCGGTACAGCTACGACTGTTTCCAGTCGTACCGGTACTGAAACGAGTACTGGTACGAACCGCCGCTCGTGCGCTTTACGGTCCCACCGGTACGAACGGTACCAAGCCAAGGGAATTGAGCAAAAAACATGAGTGGCGGAAGCTGGCCAACATCAAGGTGTACGGAACAACATGCAGTAACCCAGCTGGGCACCTGCACTGACCCGCACTTGATACTGTTTTATACATTAGTAAACCTACGCTGACCTGACCTTCATGCATGTGCTGCACTGACCTGCGTGCAGGTGCATGCATGGTATAACGTAGAAGTGCAGCGATAGATGCACTCATTTTTGCACACTCGAGTATTGCATAGGGTATGGCGTGACACGTTGGAAGAATTACGGTACGTACCAGTACGCGATTGAATCCATTCGTGTTTTGCTCGGCGTTACCTAGTTTCGCATTCCTTTGGCTACCGTGCATTTGACGGAAGTCGGAGCTGCAGCCATGATAAGCAAGTCATTGACCCCACAAGCCATGCCAAAGAATTGCCTGTTGACACAATTCTGCCCATACCAGACTTCAAAAAGCTCTCACTACAGAAACCAACAGAAAGCTCGTACCGGTAGCTGCCATCTCGCAAGTTGAGAGAACCCCAAAATGCCTCCTTGCAAAGAAGACAACCAACGCGGCCCCAGCGTGTGCCTTTTTGACGACAGTCAACTGAATGATTCCTTCGATAAAAATGGGACGAAGCAATTAGCGGATCCCAAACAAGACGAAAAAGAAGATGCTGAACTTGACAGCAAATTATGGTGGATCCATGGCAATGGATATGATCTCCAAGAGTTTGTGGATTGGCATCCCGGTGGCAAGGAAGCCATCTTGTTGGGCAAAGGCCGTGATTGTACAGCTTTGGTGGAGAGCTATCATGCCTTTTCACCAGGCTACAACAAGGTTCTGGAAAAATTCCTTGCGGAAGAAAAGAACAAATTACCAAAGCCAGACTTTTTCTACGAGATCCTAAAAGAACGGGTTATGGACACTCTCAGAGCCAACGGATTGCACCCACAAAAAGATCGTGGAGCCAGCTGGGGACGTTTTCTCTACTATGGATTGGTGGCTCTATCCTTCTCGGTCACTGCCTATCTCCATGCTGTCAAAGTGAGTTCCACCTTCCACAAAATCAGAGAGTTTGTGTGTGGCTGGGACAATGAATTGTGCAACTGCATCTGATACTGACTTTGCTCGTTGATCTTTCCCACATCATAGGGTAGCATTTTGGGTTCTTTCTTGTTTGCATGGGCTGGTTGGTTCATGGGAGCCATTGGCCATGATTCTGGCCACTTTGCTACTAGCCATAACCACCCACTCCTCAATGAATGGGGTGTTTGGGCCATGAGCCTCATTGCAAATCCCATCATGTGGCAGCATCAGCACACCTATGCCCACCACTCCTTCACCAATGAACACAATCATGACCCTGATTTACACCATTTTCGCAAGTATATTCGTGTGCACAACAGAGGCAAATACATCACAGAGAAACAGCGCCATTTGTGGTATGTGATGTTTTGGTATGCCTTTACAGTCTTTGGAGTTACTCTGAATTTCCCATTCGAGATGATCTTAACTGGGATGCTTCATATGGTCAAATGGCAAGATCAAGACAGGCTTTCAAGGAAACTGGGAGTGTACCTTCACTTTTCTTTGTACATTGCTGTGGTGATCGTGGCACCCTTTTTTGCACACTCTTCTAGAAGTGTGGCATTGGCATCTGTCATCCTGCACATTGCCACCTTGGGTTGGCTTTTTGCGCTGATGTCTCAGATCAGTCACATCAATGAAGCTTCCTTGTCGTCTGATCTGGAAACCAAAGCCAAGGGACAAGGAAGCAAAAAGCGGGATCCCCGATTGGCCGCCTCCTGGGCTGCTGCACAAGTGGAAACAGCCAACAATTTTGCACCGGACAGTCTTTTCTGGCACATTCTTTCCAATGGATTGAACATGCAGATTGAGCACCATCTCTTTCCTGGTCTCAATCACTGTCATTTGCACCTCATTGCCCCTGTAGTGAGAAAGACTTGTGAGGAGTTTGGAGTGCAGTACAAGTGTTATGGTGGATGGAGAGAAGTCTGGGAGATCCATTTGCAGTGGTACAGCAAAATGAGTCACCCACCCTCAGCCTCGGAGGAAGAGAGAAATTGAGAAATTAGGTAGAGTAGAGAAGTGCCTGTAATTGCTTCTTAGTAGATGGTGCAGTAGAAGTGATTACAAGAGTGGTCCGTGTAGCCTGAGGAAAAGCAAGTTCCTGAAAGAAAGTTGACTACCTGGAGGTATCCGTGTAACCTCCAATCCGCGGTTCGTAACGGACCGCACAGAACTTCAAACAGCTCAACTGGGGTTTAGAAAGGCGCTTTTCTGTCATTGCCTCCATGTTTCTTGGGGCTACTAGGTACTAGTACATCACAGGTCTTTAACAAGTATAAATAACAAGATCTCTGATCTGTCATTGCCTCCATGTTCGTCTCAGCCGCTCTCACATTATAAGACAGTGTCCTACCGTAGTGCTTGCGAGAATCCGCAAGAGCAGACTTGTATTGCATCCCCCTTCCAGTACATCTAGCTAGCTAGCTAGAATAGTAACAATCATCATGTCGGAAGATTCCGACACCGCAACGTCCAAAAATGACACAGCCAACAGCAGCATTCGCCGCAAAGATATGAATCATCCCCGTGATCTTGTCAATCAAAACCGCAACCGACCTCAAGGACAACGAGTCGAGTCGAACAGGCAGACTTTGTTTTGGAAGAACGATCGACTGCCTTTTTGCATCAAGCTTCCAGTGTGTTTCCTCAGTGCCCCAACAGCAAAAAGGCCAGCAATCCTTGGGCGTGTTGTTTTTGCTTGACTCTCTTTCATCACCCACATGACAAGACTACTACTCCTGCAGCAGACTCGTGCGAAATCGAGTCTTTGACAAAGTCGGTGGCTCGCTACATGGCGTGGTTTGCCCAGAAATCCAAAAAGGAACAACAAGCCATTCTGGTATGCGTCGAGGCTATATTTTACGAAAAACACCTTCATCTTGCCAACACTGCCCATTCCACAACCAGATGAAAAGAAATACTTGATTTGCTCCAGTGCTCTCACCAACATTCTTGGAGTTGGCCAGGGCTTTTACGAGACTTGCCAAAAGGCAGCCAGAGAGAACAAACTAGTCTACCCATTCACAAAAACACCGGGAAGCGGAATCGTCGAGTTGACAAGAGTTTGGAATATATTTGAGGGCGTTTTTGCAGGAAATGCTACAATTGGCCCAACAAAACACCCCGGCGCTGGAGGACAAGGAAGAGTATTATTATTCCTTGCCCGAAGGCTACTCTGGACGCAGTCTTTACCGGCAGTTTTGCTTTGTCAGAGGATGGAAAGGATCGCACGAAGGTTCTAGCATGGAAGAACGACAAGATGACGAATGGGTGCCATCAGGAAATCAACCACAACCAGTCTGTGTTAAAAGGGAACCTTTGTTCGATTTTGGCAAGAACACTGTCCCCAACTGCGGACACCTGTCAACAAGCACTGGCGCAAGAAACCACCCACGTTCACTACTGGCAATCCTCCAAATGGAGAAAGCACAGAAGTTGACAATCCACCACCAACCACCACCAAAAAGGCAATGCCGCCACCAACCACAACACGTCTGGAACCGTCCCAAATCTACGCTTTCTTTGGAATGGCGCCGCCACCATCCTCTTTGTCGGATCATGGCAAAACAAAATGCAACAGCAAAAAATGAATTCTGGAATGTGCTGATGCCACCACTACCTTGGTGAACAAAATGCTGGCAACAGTGGTCGATGGAAACCAAGCCAAAGTCAGGGCCGAAGTTGCTAGAAGATTGCTGGTGCAAGAAGAGGAGTAATAATCATAAAAGAGAAAACCAAGGATGGAAGTTTTAAAAGAAGCCAACAGAAACTAGCTACCATTACCTAGCCATGGTAGCTAGAAGCAAACCAGGACATGTACAATGCATAATGTTGGGTATTTGGCACCGGTAATAACGATCAACATTCCTCAGCAATCGGCCTTTGCGAGGATCCCAAAGGACCTGGCGGCTGTCCTTGGCCTGGGTGTGAGAGGACTGGCGGTTGTCCTTGTTCTTGATGCCGCCTCTAGTAGCTGATAACAAGGATAAATAAGACTGGGCCAATAAGAAGGACGGTAACTTATATACCGGGCAGACCCCGGTGATCTCTGACCCCGTTTATTGTGGTGGTGGTTGGTTGGTTGGTTATCCTTAGGGTTAGAGTTTAACTAAAACCGAGGCCCCCTCTCTTGGGCCCCCACATTTCTTACACATTCTCTTTTATAGCAACGGATCCTGAATAGTTTCCTCACATTTGCACACCTCTAAGCTCCCGTAAGCTACCATGCCACTTTCTCAGACGGAAAAATCTAACGTCTCACGTTGCACACCTCTAAGCTCCCGTAAGCTACCACGCCGCTTTCTCAGACGGAAAAATCTAACGTCTCATGTTGCACACCTCTAAGCTCCCGTAAGCTACCACGCCACTTTCTCAGACGAAAAAATCTAATGACACTACCTTCAGCCAAACTTCAACAATATTACTATGCAGGCCCATATTTTAAGTCAGCTCGCCCGGTATATCTATTACACCTCCGGTGTCCTTTTTCTGTCCGTCGTCGGTTTCGGTGGATCTTGAAGTTGCAGGAAACAGAGTTCGGAACATTGCCTCAACCCGTGTTCATCACGCTCTGTGGTTTTGCAATTAGATTAGAAAGTTAACTTATACCTGTCGGATCATACCAATGTATACATCTATGAATAGCTGAGATTCTACTTTATTAAGCAAGACTCAAAAGATTTTTTGACGTCTGTATGTCATCCGACCGAAAAGCCGACCTTCTTATTGGCCCAGTCTTAAATGAGAACGTGAGGCTATTGCAGGCACTTCCGCGCTTCGGCGGGATTGTAGTGGTTCGCCTTTTTGACCATGATGTTCCAAAATTTAATTCACGTTTCACAAAAAAAGCTTTGTGGCTTGGGAGCTGGATTGGGATAGTTTCTGACAATTGGTTCTGGGTCCTAAACGAGGGCTGTTATCCGCCTTGCATTCAAAAAAGAAGAATTGAGGCTTCAGGACATAGCTTGGGTTGAAGGGCGCTTCAACCATTAACCAACAGCTGACCAGCTCAGAGCATCGCTTCGGTTTTGCTGAGTTCGTAAGTTCGTAAAGCTTTCTCCAAAACTCGCTCTGTGCTCAATCTTCAATCTTTTCAATGCTAGACTACATGGAACCACGTGGTTGTGTACATACTACCTTAGTGCCCCACGGAGAAGCCGGAGAAGGATATCCAAGATGATCCTGTGCAGAATTGGACTGTGGACTCTGGACATCTCCAGAGCACCAGCAGGTGCCAGTCTCCATGTTGTGTTGCAGTGTTGTAGTGTGGCGAAGAAGATCGCGGTTCGCTTTGCACGTGCAGCTTTTCGAAGGGGAAACTCACATGTTAGGACTCCGCACTACAATCGTACACTGGAACCACCAGCTAACCACCTCACCTCATCAAAGCATTGATGGCTGACCCCCCATCCCCCATCTAGTTCAGGTAACAGCTCCAACAGCTGAGTTCGCAGTCCTGTTTGTCCAGTTCATCTCCTCTAGATGATAGCTATCAGGGAGCTTGGCCAGCCGAAAGGCAGGCTCTAGGTATTTAGTACTGACGGGGAGTAGGTCTCAAGCCTGAGTATCTTGTTGCCGAGCTATAATAGTACATGTATAGAAAAGTGATTTCTTATACAAAGTTTTAGTGATGTAGGGAGTAACAGTACCAGAGAAGGTATCATCGTCACAAATGGATGTAGTAGGGGTGCTCGTTGTGTTACTGCTGCTCCTTACGAGAGCAATCTGGCGGGGATTCCTTTTGTGCTGTTGTTGCCCCCTTGCCTTTGCTGCAACTGTTGCTGCTGCATCGCCTTGATTTGGGCTATTTGAGCAGGAGAAAGATCCCGGACGAAGCGAATGCCGTCTTCCGTGTCGATCAACCCCAACTGCTTGGCCGTCTTGGCCCAGTAGGGACGTCCCGCCACCGAACTGGATACCTTGTTGGCCATGGCCTCACTGAACATTTGTTTGTACTCCGGAGGCATCTCCGTGCACAAACCACTCTGCATGTGGGTGGTGTTCATGTTTTGGGCAGCCTGGTAGAGCCCATGAAGGGAGGCAGGGAAGTAGGTGGATCCCTTTTGGCGACGAGCGACCGGGAGGCGGGCACAATGGCGGCACCTGATGCCAATCTGGCCCATCTTGATAGGCTTGTTGCGGCCGCGAGTGTGTGTGGTCAAGTCGTCTTCCGTGGCCTTGAAAGCTTCGATTTGGTTGCGCAAGAGCACTTGGTGGCTGGACAATTTCTGGTTGTCTTCTGGAACAGCCAACGTCACAGGTAGGCAGACAGGGAACTTGGAACCATCTTCTCCGTCTCCCGCCCCCATGCCTTGCTGTTGTTGGAGGGCCAAGGTTGAGGCACCGCCCAGGCCTCCCATGAATTGGTTGGCAGCCTGCGCAGAAGAGGAAGGTAGCTGAGACCCAGCCAGCAACTGTTGCTGAAGAGACCGCGCGGTCCAGTCCCTGGCACCGGGAACATTGTTGCCTCCCCCGAGGAAAGGGTTCACCAATCCAGAATTGCCCGCGTTCATTTGGAGATCATTTGTTCCGCGTGCTCCGAGTCTCTCGCGCATGATGTTGTTGTCGCGCAAGAAAGCAGCTGTCAAGGGATCAAGGCCGCCGCTCGGCATACCCCCCGCAGCACCTGTGGCACCGGTGGGGAGACGATTCATGCCCTGCATTCCGCCCATACCACCCAATGATCCAGACTGCATACCTCCCAATGCTGCATGCTGCATGCCACCCAATGATCCGGACTGCATACCTTGCATGCCGCCCAAAGCTCCGGACTGCATCCCAGCCAAAGCTCCGGACTGCATACCCGCCAAAGCTCCAGATTGCATTCCAGCCAAGGCTCCAGATTGCATACCTCCCAACGCACCAGAGAACATGAGAGGGGAGGGATCACTGACGCCACCACTGGACTGTAGGTTAAGGTTGGAGTAAGGATTGGCACCAGAACCCGTTGACCCCATGCCCAGTCCTCCAGCCCCTCCAGTCGAAGAGGGCATCATACGGTTCAAGGCATCCGTGTAGAGGAGCTGGTTCTGGTTATCAAAGCCACCTAGACCGGCACCACCCGACTGCAAGCGAGCAGACTGAGAAAGCAGAGATCCAGGGGGGTCTTGGCGGTTTCCTTGCTGCGAGGCGTAAATGTCGGCAAGAATGGAGTTGGGAAGCCCCGATGGCTGAGTAAGGGAAGGCGGCTGGCCCTGAGGAGAGTTATTAGCAATCTGCTGATTCATCAAGGCCAAAGTAAGCTCCCTCTCACGAAGCTCACGGAAGGCATTGTCTCCCATGGGCGCATGCTGCTGGTTCTGTTGTTGTTGTTGCTGCTGCTGCTGGTGGTTCTGGCCCATCTGCTGGCCCATTTGCTGCTGCCTTTCGCGCTGCTGGTTCTGGCTATAGTCGTCATCTGAGGATGAATAGAAACGATAATGGAGAAGATACCGTGAGATACCATCAGATGACGGAGAACATGGGACTGAGATACCCATCACCAACACTGCCTGCCCAACACAGGGGATACCACCACAGACATCACGATAGCAAATATCAACATACCTCCTCCACCAAAGTTCATTTTTAGTCCGATCTTTGAAGAAGTCAAAGTTTGTTGATCAGTCATAAGCATAGTTACTTGTTTTGCTTTTTGGTAGAAGTGCAACAAAATTTATGAGCAGACAAACTGTGGAATTCGGTTTTGACGGTGCTGGTGAACCGATAAGTTTCGAAGTCAAGCCTTTGGTTTTTGCTGTTTGAGTTGCGTCGTTCTGACTTGTCGTCGAAGAAACTATTATGAGTGGAATGAAGAAGGAGAATATTTTTCACGATTCCAGCACCGAGATCGCTCCAAAATTCGTATTGCACCTTCACCGCCCAGTTTTGCTAGAGAACTGCTAGAGTAAGGCTGAATCCGGTAGGTTTCTCTACGCTCTGGTATAAACTACTGAGTACACAGTACTGGATGGCACTTCAATGAAGGAAGCTTCGCATTGAACAGCTCATAATGGGACAGTTGCCTTTCATCCCAATACCAGTGAAGCTCTGGGTAAGCTGCACTAGTAGAATTAGGAAAGGTCAAACACTGGCTAACTATCACATCAAGAGGAGAAATAGATGGATAGCTGAGGGTTTAACGCTAATAAGTCGTTTTTGAATTAACCAACTCTACAAACTAGAAAGGGAGAAGATTCATAAAGTAGTCATCGAAGCTCAGCGAGTGCCAAAAAACTGCACAGAGCACAGCAATTACTTATGTGGCGTTCGCATTATTTCAATGGATGGGGGCAACCAACTTATCAGTACTGGAAACAGCTGCATCTTAATCGAGAGAAACGTGACATAACAGGTGCAACTGCATTACTATTGGACCATTTGCCTTCTCAATAGCAGCTGTTCCATGCAAATTTCGATTCACAGTCTACACATTCACCTGAAACAAATGGGGGTTAATCGTTTCTTGAGGCTTGCTGTCATGGCGACGTGACGGTAGCATCAGTTTTCAATAGTGCTTACGGGTAGTTAAATACTCAGAGGCAGTGCTCTTTTTGGCTGTTCATTGAAACTTTTCCGCCTCTTCCCTCTGTTCTCCGGAAGTAACCTGAACAAACCCAGCAATATTCAGTGGTTCATCAAAATAATTATTAAATCTCAGCAGCTATCTCGCTATCTCAGCTCTCAGCTCATCATCCCACCTGCACCTTAACTAAATAAAACCAGCTATAAAAGCATACTGTATAACCTAGTATGTCAGCCAGTTTCCCAGTATGTCTTCGTTGATGACCTTGTTGAAGATCAAAGACTAGCGCAACTTTTAGACAATGAGAGAGCTTCTTTCTTTGTGACGTGTGGCCATCCTTTAAAACCTTGTTTCCCCAAACTGCCCTAAGCCGTTTTCAGAACAGTCTTCCATATCTTAGAAAAGTGGTGGTCTCGATTCGTGCATCTCAATACTGCAGAGCTTTTGGAGTTCCCTATGTCAATCCGTCAACCATTTTATTAGTGGGAAAGCTCCCCATCTGTACAGGAGCCCTGAGGACAGCACAGATCTGATATTTTAAAATAGATTGACTTCGGTTGGTGAACTGTTGGTACGGATGGGCTTTTTCTTGCTGTAGTCGTCATGTCGTCATGAGAAGCGGAACAGGCCGGTGCACGGTACCGGTACACCTAGCTAGAGCTAATCGTAGGTTAATCCGCGAAGACATGAGCAGCGAATACAGCAGTCTGGTTTTGGCACACACCCATCAAAATGTCTCTGAATAAGGGTGACAGTGACAGGGTGGTACCAGCGGAGCTCCAGCGATATCGGTAAGCTTATCGGTACAAGGTGAAGGGAACGGCAGACACACATCGTCTAAACCAGCAAGGTACATGTAGTCATAGAATGTCAGAATGTTGGTTCACTGAAGCTGAAATAGAGGAATAGCTCCGTGGAGGCCTGGAGCGGAGGTTCTCTAGGCTCTAGAGGACCAGTCTGAATGATCTAAACACCAAAGAAGACTGAATGAGGCTGAAGAGATAAGAAGCAACACCTTCTTTGTTGACGAGATGATGAAAAGAAGTGAGCGTGTGATGGCCAGTACTGCAGCACAAGTGCACAAGCACAGATCCTGCCTTCGAGCTTCCTCGAGCAGCCTTCGAGCAGCTCTTCGAGGAGTTATTATTAATAGTACATGCCAGAGGATAGAGGAGGAGGTTTTGATGGCAGGGCAGTAAGACACAGTCGAACCAGCAGCTCCACCAGCCGTATCTGCTGAGTTATAATGGCTCTCCAGCTCTCCAGTTCTCCAGTTGATTCAAAAAGAACTGGTTGGTGACAGTTTAGTTGTGCAGCCAGCCAACCTGAAAGTGCGCTTCCCGGGCACGTCGTAGATGTTTGCTTGTTGCTCTCTTCTAGCCAATTAATTTTTTTACATTACCACTATCATTATATTTTATTGCATTACTATATTATGACACCCAGAACCCTATCTGCTGAAATTAACTCAGCAGGTTGACATGTTGAGATAGTACTCTGATGTGTGGTGGGAGACACTCCACAACCTCCACAACGGGAGAGCTACGGGAGTAATTGATCCCAAGACTTGGGGGACCTGCAGCCCAGCAGCAAGAACTGCACCAGAGCTGTGGACTAACATGGATGGGCTGTGTATGACTGCTACCGGTACCGGTGGCTAGTTATCGAGGAGGGAGAGACCACTCTGTTGGCATTGTACTGTAGATCTGCTACTCGAATACTAGCTACGGTAGCTACTAGCTAGTAGAGAATGAATCTCACATAGATGAGCTGATAGTTTCAATGCGCCTTCCATTCGAAGCTCTCAAAGATCCAAAGATCCTGCAGCCCAATTAATTTATTTGTTGGCGGTACATCGTACCTTTACCGGTACCGCGGCGTACCGCCAACTCGGATGCTGGCATGTTGAATTTGAATCTCAATCGTTTCTAGTTTTCAGTGGTTGCGGCCCCTAACTCGATGTATTGAAGGGCTTATGAAATCGGTTCTGTAATGTTTTCTATAGTGTGTTTCTCTGCTTCAACGTCAGCTGTTCCTAGGGAAAGCTCAAGTTGCAAAAGAAAAAGAGCAAAGAGCACTCCTCTAGAATCTCAAATTCGGATTTTGGGGCCACGGAGCGTGGAGCGACGAGGTCAGTCCAGCTACCGTATACCGTACACAGTACCACTTGTGCCGTTTTTCTGGTCGATGTACGGTACCCTACTGGTACGGCCGTAGCCTCGTAAAGTACCCGCAGTAGTCTAGCTAGTACCAGTACCTACGTGTACCCTACGGTACAGGGCGGTAGGTACTGGGTACGGTACCTGTACGCTGTCGTACCGGTACCAGGTACGGTAGGGTTTATGGTTGCCCACTTTAATAAATTTGCGTCTCTAACCAATTGGCTGGCTTTTAATAAAACGTAATAGAATGAATTAATTCAATTCACTGAAAGCTGCAAGAACACCCGTGCGAATGCATGTGGGGAAGGGGAACATCGGTTGGAAGATCCTTGTCGCCACCCGGCACCAGTCACCGGTTAGAGGGCCATGATGAAAGCACCATCCTTCGTTTGGATCGCTGCCTCCATTGTTGTTTACAATGTACTGGTACATGCTACTAGAACAATAGCTCTGTCGCCGCAACCGTGGAGAATGGAAGAATTGCCCCCGTTGAAGGCGCAGACATTTCGCCATCTCGTTAGCGATCCTCCATCTAGAAGTGCCAAGTCAACAGCGCAGTTTTCGCTTTGCACCTACAATGTTCTCCATCAAGAGCTCATCAGTCCGGGTCGCTATCCCACCGATAAAAACACCGAGCTGGTTTTTGATCCTTCTCGTCGACGTCGGATGCTCCAACAGGATCTCCAGCAGCTAGAACCTCACACGGATATATTTTGCTTCGAAGAAATGAGCCCTACCACCTACGAGGATTTTGCCAAATCTTTGGGGAGGAGTGCTTTTGGTGGTCATTTGCTGAAACGACAAGCCAATCGACCTCTCTACAATGCCATGTTTTATCGCAAATCCAAGTTTCAATTGGAACAGCACCACGAGATCAATCTCCACGAAGGACTTTCATCCCTCCATCTACAAGACGACAATCTGAAAGAACATCAAGCTATGGACTTTTTTGCCATTTGCAACCACTTTATTTTTATTGAAAACGACAACAATGCGGGTGATATTCCAAAACAGAACAAGAAGAAACATTTGCTAGTCATGATGGCCCATCTGCACCATAATCCTGTGGATGATGTCATCAAGTACGCTGAAATGAGCCAGTTGCTAAACAGCGTGGCCCGCATCCGTCAAACAATACGAACAAACAGCAATGGCGAGGACGATGTCTTTACCATTGTGGCCGGAGACTTCAATGCACAACCCACCAACCAAGTTTACCGCTTGGCGGTGATGGGGGGAACACCTACCCTTTCGAGTCTCCAGGAGGAAACCATGGTCCTCCCCACCTGGTTGGAGCAACGTCAAGCATGGCTTCCCTTGTACCAGCAAATCTACCAACAGACAACCATGGTTGGAACATTGGATAGCGTATACAGTGCGTACAACGAAAAGGGTGGCGAATGTGGACATCCTCGTTACACCAATTTGACGGACGGTTTCAAAAACAATATTGACTACATCTTGTACGACAAGAGCAAGCTGTGCCCTATCCGCTTGCTGGAACTGGATGTCGCAACCTATGAAAAGGAAGACTATTTGCCGAGTCAGTTCCATGCGTCGGATCATGTCCCACTTTGGGCGGAGTTTGAATGTAGGTGACAGGAAACTACAATGTACTATAGTACGTAATCAATCAGCTAGCTAGCAGTCTGCATGCATGAAAAGTTTGCTGTGCCTCCCTCCTTTGTTTCACGTAGTTTCATCCTCATAACAAAGATTGTTATCGACAATTCAGAGGACTTGGTCCAAATTCCATAATGACTTGGTACTTCATTGGGCAACATTTTCATGATTCTAAATTCGATAAAACTCCTTGGCAGTGCCATAAAAGATACGATCCACGTCTTCTGATGAATAGCCTTCCAAACAAGTGGCAACGAATTGGACATATTCCAGGGGTGCCGGACCAACATCACTCAAGAAATCGGAATCAGATACGGCTCCATTCTTCCACCAATTCAATGCTGCCATGCATCGTTGTGGTGAGAAGAGCTCGACCACTTCTCGAACCAAACTCTGGAGTAATGCACGCCGTTGTGGTGTCTTGATCCATCCCGGAATGGCATATCCCAGCATGGAGAGTTTGACATAGACATGAGGGACCTCTGCCATGGCTTTCATTCCGGCCCGCCATACTTCCAGTTCTTGTGGATTGGGTGTTGAATTGTCCTTGTGTTCCTCATCATCTGGACCCAGCAAAGTCCGTGGTTTTCCCAAATGATCAATGACAACAGGAACATTTGGATGACGGGCACAAAGTCGAGCCGCCGCTGGCAATTGTGCTGGGGCACATTGCAGATCAAATGACAGCTTGTGCTTGGCCAAGAGAGCAAATCCATTTTCAAATGCAGGTACAGCTTCACCGTCGTATCCACCGTTGGAACCACGAAGATAGTCGACACCATCGTGACGAGTGGTAGCCACATGGGTGGCAGTGTTGGGTTCAAATTTACCCACACAATCCACAATCCAACGAATGCCATGGACTTTCGGGCTAGTAGCGCAGAGTTTGGTCAAGTCATTGTCAATAGTAGGACTGGTCAAATCGGCCGATCCTACAATCACTGCGACCGTGCATTTGTGGTCGTTACTAGCGATGGATTCGATCCATGCCGCTTCTTGTGCCCCATCATCCGGCATGCATTCTACATGGACCGAAGTATCTAGGATAATGCCCTCTTGCTTTAATGGTTCCACCACATCCGAGTGATATTGGTCCGCCAGGTAGACTTCATCCTTCAAGAGAGAACCCAAAAACTTTTGAAAGGTCTGGATGTTGCCAAACTCACGGGTATCTACAAAATGGTGATGAGCATCAATCACTCGGCTGGGAAGTTTCAAGGACGACATGGCTACTAGGGTATTCGTGTTCGCAGCGGTAATAATGGGGATGGCAGTGGTGTATCTTGAGGAAGAGAGGGACAATGACCACGTTGGGAGCTCTCTAGCTCTGTCGTCGTTTGGAAGGGTTGCTTGTGGACAGTCGGTTCTTCGATCTTGGATCCAATTAGCTGCACGCACATTGCCCCACTACTGGTGGTACCGTGTACCGTTTGCAGCGTACCTGGTACCGTTCGCACGCAGACCTTGCAAGGTAATCCAATGATGATCCGACCGTTTTTCCTTCCTCCCACCACATTCCTTTTCCAACCCCAATACGGTTAGTAACCCTCTTTCATTCTCTACACAGCGGAGAGAAACCATGATGGAAGCATCAGCCCTCTTTGCTGCAATTGACAATCCAGTGCCTACCAGCAACTGGAGTGTCTCCAAGCATCAGCCATTGGAAATGGTGTTGATGGCCAAGGCTGATTTGCAAACTGTCAAAACTTTCTACGAATTCTATCCTGAAGCATTGACCAGGCGTCTCTTTCACAATGTCCTCAATTGCGGTGCTAAACCGGGAGTGGTTGGTTTTCTTGTCACAAAGTGTCCTGAGTTGGTGGATGAAGACGCTTTTGAGATTGCGGTGGCTCAAGGACCAGGACCTGATAGACCCACTGACGATGAAATCATTACCATGGCTAATATCAATCCAGAAATATTGGTGCCAGAAGGCCCACATTATTTTCTTCCGGATTGTTTGGCTTTAGTCTTGAACTGGAAATACACCCTTCAATTGACCCAAAGCCTCTTCAAAATGATCACTGGGAAGATACCTGAACTCTCTTTGTCCAAACACACGACTGATTGTTTCGAAAATTTTTATCCGTGGATTGCCCTTGATGAAAAGTCGACCTCAAAACGGACAGCAATGGATATGGAGGCTGTGCTGGGGTTGGCGCCAGTTCTGAATGGCAAAAGCATACACACTTTTTCTGGTCTATGTGAAACTTGGGATACTCCAGCTGCTTTCTTTGAATTTGTCCGCAAAATCCTCTCAAATCAGGGAATTGAGACTCTGGAGCTTCAATTCCCTAAACATGGAAAATCAACAGGGTTCAACTCAGGTGCATTCCAGCAGCTGCTTCCAAAATGTAAAATCCAACTTGTACGTCTGCATCTACATTCAAACCATCCGTTGTCTTTTGATTTCCTGGAGCATTGCTTGGGTGGGATGCCTTGTCTAAAGCGGTTGAGTGTAAACCTCGAAACTGATGTTGATACTGCATCACCAATTATCAGCAATTTCCTGCGCAAGAATTTCTTATTGAAGACCTTGTCAATCTGGGCTACCAGTGACACATCAGCAAAGGGGCTGGATCCAATTCTCAATTCGCTGCAGAGCAATCATACCCTCCAAGGATTCTACTACCGTCAACGTGATGTACAAGTGGACAAGTTCAAGAGATACCAGGAAATTTTAGTGACTATTCTTCAGTCCAATACAACATTAGATGTTGCAGGATTTTATGATGGCTGCACTGATGAAAATATGAGGGGCAACCTCTGCAATGAACTTCACCCAAGCCAACACTTGCTGCCTTTCTACACAATGCTCAATTTGCTGGGTCGCAAAGAAGCACGTGTATCAGACTTCAGCACCACCAACACAGGATTTGTGGATCTGCTGGTGAGAGTGCAGGATGCTACAATTTATCTTGACAATGTGCAAAACGAGCGAAATCACCCAGCCACAGATGACGATGTTTTCAATCTGCTTTATGGGTTTTTGCATGAAAACCCAGGCAAATGGAGTCATCCAGGCAACAACTCACAAGACAGCACCACAAAGAGTGCTGCTTGCGGAATCAAGAAACGAAAACACAGTGTCATGTCTTGATGACTGGTGCATTGATTGATTGGATCTGCCATTGATTTTTGAATCTCTGTCTCCCTGGAAGCCTTCAGTACGGTACCGGTATGGCTTTTACCCACCGATACCGTATGCTGCCCAACATTTACAGAGCTCAGACACCAGCGAAAGGTAGGGTCCTCATTATTAGATGTAGAGATAATCATCCATTACTTCAATAGCCGATGAAAATAATGGATACATTGGGCATGGCTATTCTTGTTTATTGCCAGCCCAAGAATCGCACCGACGACCCTCCCTGTACCGAGACTGCTGGCACAAATGCCGTAGAGGCAGGTTTCTTAAAGTTGCTCCACGGCATTTCAAACAACACTGTGGCCTGTTGTTGATTTTGATTTTGGGATACTGATCCGTACAAGACAATTTTGGTGCGAGGTTGGAATTCCAAAGTGAGTGTCACAATCCATTTGCCCTCAGCAGATGATGTTGTCGTGTCTAACTTTTTTCGTTGTTTGGCATTGCACCACAGTGTGTCGTCGTTTCGATAGGCCCATTCTCCCTTTTTGTCACCCAGCAGCCACACCGTGGTATTGTGTGGTTCCCATTTGTAGGCCGAGGAGGACAAGGCGATTCCCACGGCCCACTGTCCACCCGACACTTCGATGCTCCACGTGTATTGTCGATCTGTGGCAGCTTCTTCGTCCGAAACAACCATTTTCATGGGATAATCGATAAACGAGGTGGCATCTGTCGATGTAGTGGTGGCTGGCAGTTGACCCAGCATGGTGGTCCCATTGGAATGAAAAGTTCGCTGGGCAAACACTTTGGGTAGAATATTGGTTCGAAAGTCATCGAATTCTTTTTTCAGGGATTGTGACTGAATAACCTCTTCATTCTTGCAATCTTGGTCGGAGGGACTTGAGTCATGCTCATTATCGTTGTCGCTTGGTGTGGAAATCTCCGATTCTGGTGAAGTTTGTTCTACAGTGACGTTTTGCTTTGGGTTCATCTTTTCGTTGTTGTTGCTGCAGCAGCATGGGCACTGACATGTAACACCAGATTCTTTGTAGTTGCTGACTTTGATCAAGGCAGCTTCAATGTCTTCTTCCTGCTGTGCCAGTGCGTTGCCAATCATGCCCACCAATTCCCTACGCAGCTTGGCCAAATTGGCCGGCGTCGCTTCGGTCGTAGCGGCTGCTTCTGTGGATGGTTCTTCTTCCCCGCCACTGCTGACCAGTCCCCGCTGTACCAACCGTTTCATGAGCCGCTTTTGATCTTCTAGTTGACTCGTCAGCTCTTCAATCTGTTCCTTTTGCTCTTTTTGTTCGCGTCGGAGACCCTTGACGGTCGCCAACAACTCTTGAACGAGACCAGTCAAACTCTGTTGCGTCGCCACATAGCCCTTGGCTGTCAACGGGGCAGAAGCGGATAGTTTCTTGACGGAACCTCGCTTCTGATTGCTGTTGTTATTATTCCCACTATTGTTGTTGTTGCTGCTGTTGTCGCTCATGGTGGGGTTTCCAGAGATTGACTTGACTTGCTGACTACCAAAAAAAATAAAGAATGAGAAAAGGAGGGAGACTTTGTTTGAAGGCGGGAATGGGATGGCGGCAGAGTGTCAGTCAGTCAGTCACGAACATCGCCCCGAACAGATTATTAGCTACATGTACCGGTACTAGAGTACCAGGTACATCGTACCTGGTAAGTACCGACCAATTGGTACCAGTACTGGTACTAATAGCTACTGTAGCTAATTTTGTAACTCCAAAGATCCATCATGCCTGGGAGGACACACCGTGAGGCCAGCTATATAGATGAAAACTGCTCCGTAGTAAAAGCAATTTGCAAGCAGAACGAAGGATGTCAGCATCCAACTATCTACTGGTTGGCTACAAGCTATTGCCATGGTATCAATGGGACCGTAAGGTGCCGGGCCATTTGAATTGAATCTTTCAAACCTTTCCTGGCACCCTGACACTACATGTACCTGGTACGGCTGCACCAAGAATACGCTGCGATGGAATAAGCCAGAGCCCACACATCCCTCTACTCCGGCTTGCCACATGAGTATCCATACATCCATACTAGCCAGCAGCCGATACTGTACCACACTGCCCTCCGTCGAAGCCAAACCTTGGAACATTAGCGTCAGCACCATGGCATCCACGTGTAAGTTTTGAAGCACGCCAGCGGGCAGGTTGAAGTGTTGGTGGCAAAGAACGCATTTCGGTCTGGCCTTGGTCCTTTTGGAAGAAAACCCGAACAAGAAAGAAGAAAAATCGTCATCAATTGAAGCCAAGTGGAGAGAGCAATCCAATCATCGAGAAGGAAGGAAAGTTGCAGCAGATAGATCATCTCCAAGCCCATCACTACCAAGAGACCGCCCGCCAATCTCTCTAGCTAGCTCGTTGCACCACAATTGATTTTGAGGTTGCAAGAGTGGCTGCCTCCATCGTTCCATTTCTTTGTTCTTTCGAAGAACAATTAGTTTTGCAACGGATTGCGGCTTGCCAAGCTAGTAGAGATAGTATTTCCTTGAATTCATTCCACGTAAAAGAAAACCAACAATGCAGCTTCGGACTCTGACTACACCAACAGTCATGGCGATAGTCTCAATAATCGGATTGACGAGTGGAAGATTCGCCAGGGTATGTTTTGTGGTGGTTGAAGTCCAACAGAATTTTTGTGTTCCTTTTCGTGGGAACCATTATTATGCCAAGCCCTTGTTGTGCTTACTTTCTTTTTCTCGGTTTTCCAACACTATTAGGCATTTGTCCCTGTGGCACGTCGGTCCTTGTCAACTTCCAATGCCAGATCCCCTCCTGCTTTGACTGCTGGTTTGCGTCGTACCAAAAAGAATGCCGACAGTGAATCGCTCGGTGCCCTCTTGACCAAGGTCCAAAAGGGCCGTGGCCATTTGGCTACTTTGGCAGAAGAAACTGAAGCTACGGCAGCCGAACTACCCGATATTATTTTCCCCTTGGCGGGCAGGAGCCAAAAAGACATTTTGGGGTCTCTCGCCCGGATGCGTTTTGCACCTTCTCCCACGGGAAGTTTGCATGTGGGTGGAGCTCGTACGGCCTTGTACAATTGGTTAATGGCCAAGAAAGGACAACTGGACTTTGAAGGCTCCGAATCGGCCTTTATTCTTCGTGTAGAGGATACCGATTTGGCTCGGTCTACCAAAGGTACGTACGTGGGTACATATATACATACATAGTTGCGCAAGAGAAATTATTCGGATATTGGGTATTCCAATATCATGGCTACTTGCAAACACTAACTTCTGTTCTGTTTTTGATCTCCGTAGAATCCGAAGCATCCGTTTTGGCTGACTTGCAATGGCTGGGACTTAGTTGGGATGAAGGCCCGGACATGGAAGGTTGCAACTATGGACCTTATCGTCAGTCGGAACGAAATGAGATCTACGTGGCTGCTGCCAACCGTCTTTTGCAGGAAGGCAAGGCCTACAGATGTTTCTGCACACCCGAGGAATTGGAAGAACTCAAGGCACAGCAAGAAGCCGAGGGTATCCCACCCCGATATGACAACCGCTGGAGGGATGCTGATCCAGAACTAGTCAACAAAATGCTCGATGCGGGAACACCCTTCACAGTCCGCTTCAAGGTTCCAGATGGAGCCCGTATTGTCATTGAGGATGTCGTTCGCGGCACTGTTGGATGGGATGCTTCCGCCACAGTTGGAGATTTCATCATGCTTCGGTCCAACGGTGTCCCCGTATATAACTTTTGTGTAGCCATGGATGATGCTCTCATGGGCGTTACAACCGTCGTCCGTGCAGAAGAGCATCTCACCAACACGTTGCGACAAGCTCTGATTTTGGATGCCCTTGGCGCTCCTCGTCCTCGATATGCTCACTGTTCTTTGATCCTCGGAGAAGACAAGCAAAAGCTATCCAAGCGTCATGGAGCGACATCTTGCGATCAATTCCGCTTGGATGGGTTCTTGCCGGATGCCATGATCAACTACTTGGCCTTGTTGGGGTGGAACGACGGAACAGACAACGAAATCTTTACACGGGATGAACTGATTGATGCCTTTGAGGTCAATCGTGTCGTCAAGAGTCCTTCTGTATTTGATATGGAAAAGCTAAAGTGGGTCAATTCGCAGCACATGAAATTGCTTCCCATTGATGAGATCGCAGACCTGGTCAAGGATCAACTGGAATGGGAGGGACTGTTGAAGGAAGGAACCTCGATGGACGACCCCAATGTCAACAACTTTGCCCTGGCTGCCACTGCACTTGCTAGACAAATGATGGAAACAACCAAGGATGCAGCAACAAACGCACAGCAAGTTTTGGGTTACGGTCTTCCCGCCACCTATGCTGAGCTCCAAGATCAGCACGCAAAGAAAATGATTGAGAAGGGAAACTTCTACCCTTTGGCAATGCATCTAGTAGAGCAGTTCGAGAGTGGTGATCTGCCTCAGCCTGACACGGAGAACTTGTTGGCCGCTTTTGGGGACGCCATTGGTCCAGCCAAGGAAAACGTTCTGAACTGCGAGTACACATCGACCTACCAAAAGTACATGAAAGCATTGGCAAAGGAAAAGGATGTCAAGGGAAAGAACTTGTTCCACCCCGTGCGTTTGGCCTTGACCGGGGAAATGAGTGGTCAAGATGTAACGAAGCAGCTCTCTTTGCTTTCCATGGCTGTCGCTGAAGATAGTGTCATTGACAACGAAAAAGCTGGTGTTGTTAGCTTTGCAGAGAGAATGGAGCGGCTCAAGGCATTCTGCGAAAGCATTCCCGAAGAATTCCATGTTGCTGTCAACGACAAGGAGAAGTCGAAGAGCGCAAAGAAGGAAGCCGAGGCACAGAAAGCTAAACAGGAGACAGCTGCAGCACCAGCTGGGGCGGCAGCTGATCCTAAGGACTCTTACGAAGGTCCACCGATTACGGCTCTAGACATTCGTGTTGGTGAAATCAAGAGAGTCTGGGCGCATGAGGAGGCTGACAAACTCTACTGTGAAGAGATCGATGTGGGCGAAGACGAACCCCGTCAAATCGCTTCAGGTCTCAGACCGTACATGAATGCTGAAGACTTGGAAGGCAAGAAAGTGCTTGTCCTTTGCAATCTCAAGGCACGCAAACTAGTGGGTTTTCCTAGTCACGGCATGGTAAGTTTGGATTAGTGATTTAGCTACTCGTAGATGGGGGGTCGCCTCAACGATCGTGCTGACCTCGATTGTTTGAATCTTCTTCGGGCAGGTCTTGTGCGCTTCCAGCGAAGACCACACCGATGTCAGACTGGTGAATCCTCCCGTCGATGCCAAGATCGGAGAACGCGTTACCGTTCCTGACTTTGATTTCGAAGGCGAGGACGGAGCGCCGTACGCAGAAAACAAGGTGGGCAAGAAGAAAATCGTTGAGAAACTGGCTCCTTTCATGGTGACCTCCAAGTATGGTGTGCCCGAGTTCCTTGGTCGCCCATTCCTGACCAGCGGGGGAGTTTGTACAAGTGCTATCCCCGATGGAACTGTTGGTTAGGCACTAGGTTCAGGGGGGCTGTCCTTTGCTACTAGCTAGCTGCAACCAGCCGTACGACGTTTGGGTGCGTACTACTCAACGAGCGAGGATGATTGCCCTCGGACGACTACGAGGACAACAGGTCTGCTATTACGTGTACATTCATATAGATACAGCCGCTGCAAGATCGCGTGCTTGATGAGGCGAGCCATGTGCCGACAAGAACGAGAATCGCGTCAAATGAGAGGACAGAGTAGTTTAGCTAGCTACTGTAGTAGGTGGTAGTAGTATGTGGCTGTGGCCTCAACGTCGTCCTGCATATGCGATCTGCTGGGGGGCTGCGTTGGTGTTGCGTGCTCCGGCCCACGTGGCTCTTGGGCCAGATCTCCGTGACGCAAGGTGCAACCCTTGCCTTCAGCTGGTACGTACTTTGGAGCTGGGGATGCTCTGGATTGTTTTACGCCCGTACTCGACTGTAGTGCGTACCGTATTAGACTGGTAGTACCACTGCTCCGAAGCGCCCAATCCTTTGTCGAAAGAAGAAAGCAGAGCTAATGCGCGTCTTAATCAATGAAACAGTCACTCGCTTGCCAAGGAGAGGATTCCGGAAGACAGCTTTTGGTTTTAGGTAGATGCGGTAACATATGATTTTGACTTGAAACTTTATAGCAGCCAATATCCTTAACCCTTTGTTTACCGTAACTACCAGTATATCGCGATTCCTGCACGTACGTGTTCATGTGACGTTTGTGTTCGCCCCTCATTTTCATGACGTTGGGCCATGGATTTGCAATGGGTTCTTACTAAAAGTTTGCCTTGTATCTTAGTTTCTCATACTTTGTATCAGCAATTAGTTGTGAACAAACTAACAATGAAGACTGCCATCCTTACCCTCTGTGTCGCCTCGGCCGCTGCTTTTGCCCCTGCTAGCAAGCCTGCCTTCTCGTGAGTTTCTGAGGCCCTTTGAATTTTGCATAGGTTCCCGCTTGGGAATATGTGATGCTCATTGACGTGAAAGAAATGTTTGCTCACCTCTTTTATGCGAATCGATCTTTTGTTCAATACAGCACTGCCGTCAACGGCAAACAGGATTTCTTGGAGGCCGAGCCTTACTATGATCAATCTACTGTCCCCGTGAATGTGTACAAGAACAAGGCTCCTTTCACCGGAAAGGTTGTTTCCACCAAGCGCATTGTTGGACCCAAGGCCACTGGTGAGACTTGCCACATCATCATCGACCACGATGGTGACTTCCCCTACTGGGAGGGCCAATCCTGGGGTGTCATCCCCCCTGGTAACCGTGAAAAGGACGGAAAGCCCCACTCTGTTCGTCTTTACTCCATTGCTTCCAGCCGATACGGTGATGACATGACCGGGAAGACTGGATCCCTTTGCGTCCGACGTGCCACTTACTGGTGCCCTGAGTTGAAGGCCGACGATCCGGCCAAGAAGGGTATCTGCTCCAACTTCCTTTGCGACACCAAGCCTGGTGCTGAAGTTAAGATGACTGGACCCGCTGGAAAGGTTATGTTGATGCCCGAAGAGGACCCCAACACTGACTACATCATGGTTGCCACCGGAACCGGAATTGCCCCCTACCGTGGATTCATCCGCCGTCTCTTTTTCGAAGACACACCCGCTGCTGGCGTCTACAAGGGAGAAGCCTGGTTGTTCCTCGGTGTTGCCAACTCTGATGCCCTTCTCTACGATGACGAATTCCAAGAGGCCAAGAAGAACTACCCTGATAACTTCCGTCTTGATTATGCTCTTTCCCGTGAACAAAACAACGCGAAGGGAGGAAAGATGTACATCCAAGACAAGGTCGAGGAATACGCTGATGAGGTCTTCTCCAAGCTTGAGGGAGGTGCCCACATCTACTTCTGCGGTTTGAAGGGAATGATGCCCGGAATCCAAGACATGCTTAAGGGTGTCGCCGAGAAGAAGGGTCTTGACTACAACGAGTGGCTCAAGGGCTTGAAGGCCAAGAAGCAGTGGCACGTTGAGGTGTACTAAGCGCTCAATCACCTTTGAGCGGCTGTGTACACGCACCGTGACTTGATCTTTTGTTAGATGATGGCACACTACTCACTTGCTAATAGAAGCACACACCACTAAAGTAAGAGAACATGAAAAATACAATGGTTTTTGGTGCTAAAGGTAGGCATTAGATTGAGCATGAGCTAACAAGAAGGGAAAATTTGCGGGAGCAAAGAGCTAGCTGCCGGTGGTACGAGCGAGAGGCATTGATGAGGCTGACAGGAGGACCTGGGCGGTGTTGCGAGCACGAGCAAACGATGGTAGGGGCGAGACAACTTTTGCTTGGTCTCCGCTCCTTCAGCCAGTGGCAGAGGCTGGTACCAAACTAGTGTCGCATACGGTAGACCTACTAATGATGCTTGTTGTTTGAAACGAAGGCACCGTCCACCTCCTTTCAGGGTACCGGTAGGTTCAATTTTGATGTATGTCATTCCAAGGTGTTTCTGGATACTCGTAGCTATCCTCCGAGCATCATCTGTTTCGTGCGTGCTTGTCTGTCTTGCATGCAAAAGCCCCACCATGGGTGAGCAACGTATTCTGGGAGGTTTCTGCTGTGATACACCACCTGTGGTCTAGCTGGCTAGATATCCCTGGGCCCCGTTTCCTCATTGATTGAACTATTACTCAATACTACAGAATACCGTCAGTTTCTGTACTGTACGCATACCGCAGTTGTTGATGGCGGCGGTGGGAAGAAGGTCGCTGCAAAATCTTCGCTGTCAAAAACCGCATGAGGTCGTGTAGGGTTAGAGTCTTCCGTACCGGTCTGACCCACCGTACGTCTGACAGTGACGTCCGTCTTCATTGTTTTTCTTTGTGGAAGGGACAGTTGGCATCAGCTCCGAAGAAGCAAGGAAGATTTGCCATTTGAAATTGTGATTACATTGAAAGATCGACCATGATGATGAAGTGCTTGGCAATACTATTGGCTTCGGCCTCGTTGGCTCTGTCGTTTTCTCCCCAGAACCCAGCTTCCTTTTCGCAAAAGTCCACTGTTGTTCAAAACACACTCAACTCAAAATGGACCATGATGCCCGAGGAACCCATGCCCGAGGTGAGTAGCTTCCAGGTGGAAGGCAGAGTGATTTTGTAGGGACTGCAACAAATAAATGTTGTATTTGTGCTGTTCTTGAATGCAATGGCTCCCCTTTGATGTCTCTAATCTGTTGCAACTTTATTACAATGTGATATATTATACCCACCACTGCTCCTCTCTGCTACTAGGTCGATCCTCGAAGGAAGAATCCTGATGACAAGCCTCCAGCCAACCCTGTTAGAATGCCTGTGATTGACGGTGATAATGGACAAATGGATGTTCTTAGTCGTCTGTTGAAGGATCGAATTCTTCTGCTCGGACAAGGAGTGGATGATGAAGTTGCCAATGTGTTGGTTGCTCAGCTTTTGTATCTCGCCAATGAGGATCCTGATAAAGATATTACTCTGTACATCAACTCTCCCGGTGGCAGTGTGAGTGCTGGAATGGCGATCTATGATACCATGCAATATGTCCCCTGTGATGTTTCCACCGTTTGCTTTGGAATGGCTGCCAGTATGGGAGCCTTTTTGCTGGGAGCAGGAGCCAAAGGCAAGCGCCGTGCTTTGCCCAATTCACGTATCATGATTCATCAACCTCTTGGTGGGGCTCAGGGCCAGGCCGCTGATATTGAAATTCAGGCCAAGGAAATCTTGTTTATTCGTGAAGTTTTGAACACCTACATTGCCGAATACTGCGACCAGCCAAAGGACAAGATTGAGGCTGATTGCGACAGAGATTTCTTCATGACTCCCGAGGAAGCTGTGGAGTACGGTATCATCGACGAGGTTGTCAAGACAAAGACCAGCCACATGCCAAAGCCTGTGATGCCAGTTCTGTAGACTTTCACGACAACAAACTAAAGCAAATCTTAAAGCTTGCCAAATGGCGCGTGATCCTTTTTGCGTTGACTGTGTGGTACAATCAGGTCCGACTATGTCACAGGTTAGTTACTCTTTTGATGCTAAAGTTCACACAAGGACATGTACAACTACGACGCTCTAGCTGCATTCGATGGATCGGAATCTCGCACACGTGCACCGTGGCCACAGTGGACGCGTCCATACAGCCAATGGGATACGAAGAGTCGTATCCCTACCGGGAACTGCGATGCTCAGTTCATTGCGACGTACGGTAGCGTTGACTTCAGTAGGGGCCCTTGCCGTATCGATATGTGACTTTGCCGTTGTATCATGTTTGTTCATAGTTGCGTCACTAGTTGGTCAATACCGCTCTCGATGTCATAAAAGTCAATGCTTTCCTGGTGGTCTTTTTCTCCTGTCAGCTCAAAAGTAGAAGCCAACGCTTCTGATTCTTCCAGTACGCCGCCTTGTAGGTCCAAATGACCAGGCGTCAATAGCCAAGGAAACTTGTCGAGGTAGTAATGAACGCAATGGAGGTTCTCTTTGCTCAATTGTTCAAAGGTATCAGTCCATTGGGTCATTGAGATTTTGTGAGGATCTTCTAGGAGATCCTTTCGACCATGCCGATTCAGATGGATGTACATGTCAATATCCTCGTGCAAATGCTGTGCCCGTGAGATTACTTTCAAGGATACCGAATCGGCATCCTCTTCTAATCTCGCTCTCAGGGTAGCGACTTCAAAGCTGAGTAGCCTGCTGTTTGCCTCAACGAGCCGAACCAACGTTTTCACATCGCGAGTACCCATACCACCAAGTGGAAAATATCTCCAAGGGATCTTTGCCTTGAAATGCTGGAGCTTCGAACCTGGACTTGTCGAAAGGGTCTCTCCGAGTGCGGTCCACAAGTCGCTCAGAAGGTCGTAGTCCGAAGACAATCTGCAGTGGATGTCAAAAACGAGCTCTTCCAAGCTCGAGTTGTCCCCAAGAGCCCGGACCAGCCTTACGAGACGAAACATGGGCGGAGACGCGCTGGTGCTGTCGAGGTAGACACCAAGTTCAAGCCTTCGTAGACCCCTTGACAACTGAATGCAATCAGCCACGACATCAATAACTGGATCGAGACAATGAATCCTGAGTTGTGGGCGAGAAAGGTCGCAAAGACGGCGGCATTGAGAGGCAAAAAAGCGGACGAACCGTTACAATACATCTTTCCTACACGTACCTGCCCAAGGACAGAGTCTCCATGTTTCCTCTCAATAGCAAGCCACGGAAAGTGTCCGTGGATACGGAAGATGGCCTAAATCCTCGCAACGACGGACGTTGCCACCATGGGGAATGCAGCTCGAGCCAGGACAGCCTTGGTAGTTTCGAAAGAGCTCCGAGCACTTTACTCATATCGATGTCTCCATCGAGTCGAACGCGGCGTTTTAACACGCACTTTTTAAGACGCCGTAGACACCCCAATGCGAGAACAAACTCTTCCAGCATGTACGCATTGCCATTCAGCTGGACGCCTCCAATTTCAAGAGTCGTCAAGCTCTCGTGGAAGCTCATCAGCAACGATGTCAAATGCCCTACATGCACTCGTCCTGGAACCCCTCCCTGTGCTTCAATGCCTAGATATTGGACGTTGCCCACACTGCCAATGGCGCCGAAAAAGTCGCGAGCTCTTTTGTCGTCTGAGACCCTTGAACGACTGAGATCCATCACAAGAACGACGCCGCGAAAATTGGATGATGGGTCAAGCATTCGTATCGCCTTTGTCAACGACGGATACTTCCTCGAATCACTTCCTATGTACAAACGAAGAACTCCGTCATCAGTTTGTGCCGCTCGCTGGACATCGACTGCTCTCGAAGCTTTGAAGAACAAATGTCGTCGCTCGCGCTCGCGCTCGTCGCGTAGTCCTTTCAAAATGTCCCAGCATCTATAACAATTCATGCACATCAAGACGGTGCAACAGGACATGGCAGTACTCAAGACTAAGAACATGCCAAAGGCCATCATGTCACCATACTGTTGACGATCGTCCGCTGAAAAGTCACTCATCGTCGGTCCTTTTGGTTTCTGAGATCGAGGACGAAAACGGTTGAAGGAACGGAAAAAATGCTACAGAAGCGAGAATTATTGTTGAGTACCGGATTGAGCTATTAAATCTCCATTCGATAGGTTTTGCCTCCACTTTAAGAATGCGTGGAGGCGTCCAAGCTGCTGCTGATCAATACGATAGCAGTGATGCTCCCACACGGAGTCAATAGTCCTTCGCCTGCACTTCACTTTCCAGAAAATTTCTAGACTGGGCCACCCCCCACTACCGGTATGCTGAATGCCCAGGAGACGACAGCCTAAGTATATGATTGATTGAAAATTCAATCGACCAATCAACGTGCAACTATGAACCGCCCGTGCATCAAAACGGTCGCCCAACTCAAGGGACGCCCAAAACCATGACTATATGTTACGCATGATGAACTCCAGCCGTTTTAATGTGCTTGTCATTCGAAGCAAAGTCTGCATTTGCTGAGGTGTTTGTTCGGCTGCCAAGACCAAAAATGCGGCAAAACTGAATAGCTCTTGGAGTTCAGCGGTGGGAGCCCCGACCATTGGTTCCGGTCCCCCCCTAGTATCGTTCAGAAAAGCGCCAGAGAGAAAATCTGGAGTGCAAATGCTTCTTGAGGCAGTCTTGACTGCTACATCTCCCGAATCCGAAGTCTCCCCTTCGCTCTCACCGTCGTCGCCTTCACTGCCCACTTCCTCGCCATTGATCGTGCCGGTACCAGGCGCCGGGATGGACTCTTCAAGCATCAGATCTATCAGGTTCTGTTGAAGATCCAGTAAACGCTTCTCCTCGTCACTGCCTGGTGGAGCAGGTACATCCTGTACCCTACTGGGTTCCACCAGAATGAATGGAAACGGTGTTTCGGCATTCACTTTGCTACCGGTACAAGCATCGCCCCCACCATAGCCATTTTGCAAAATCTTTTCAATACGAAATCTTCCAATTGCTCTGCCCAATATTCGTATCCTCCTACCCAAACTCTTGTCATTTCTTCGGTGGCCCTCGTCGGCATGCTCAACACAGAAAATGGTGCCAATGTCCCCTGGCTCGTAGAGTGGAACGATGGGCCCAGTGCCACCTGGGACAATCTGGGGCTTCTCAGATCCATATATTGCTCCAAATACTTTCTTGTGATGTTTGCCTTGTGGATCACTTCTGCTGTTGAGAAGAAAGTCGCACATGGCCAGGTATCGTTCTTCGTACAAATTTAAAGTGAGCGTCTCAGTTGGCAGCTTGACAGATTTTCGAAGTGGAAACACAGGGAGAACGGCAGGAATAGGACAGTACTCGTCATCATTCTCTTTGCTTTTACTATGAAATAAGGACCCATGTCTTGTGAATTGACGCCGATCTCTACGGGGCCCTGTGCATGTGGAGACAATTCTACCAACAAATACTGAAAAGGCAGCTGCACCCAAACCCTGGGTCAATAGGAAAAGGCTCCAGCTATGCAATGCTAAACGACGCAAGCCATTCATAGTCAGTTTGCTTGATCGAAGCTTGTCCTAGCTAGCTCTCTCCCGGTTGCCGAGAGCTCTGGTGGGATATCTGATCATCGAAAGGAGAGGACGAGGTGGGAGGCGGCAGAGAGATGAGGAATGAGGAGTTCAGGGCCGGGGAGCACGAAGGAGCCGATTTAACGGACAAGTTTGCTTTATCTCTTTCAAAACTGTATACTAGTAACAGTAACAGGAACCGATTTTTAAAAGGCACGCGTAAGTTGGATGGTTTGGTACGGATCCATGTTTGATTGTCTTTTGAGTCTTGCTGTCGGCCCTCTCCATCATCCATGTTTCTTTCTTTGTCTGCCATTGTGGACAACAAGTTGAATGACACAAACCTTCTCTCTCTACCCAAAATGAAGCTCTTTGAAGACGACATACTCGAAGACCATAGAACCCCCCTTCTTTCTTTTGGTATTCCTGGAATCGATGGTGACTTTGGCCTATTGGCGCCTCGGTGGGAACCATGGAGGCAATTCCTTTATGTGAGTTGTATTAATAGTCTGAATTCAAGTTCCTACAGTATTGCCAGGTTCACTAACCATTCCTCACCTTCTGTTGCTGTTTCTACCAGATTGCTATTTTAGTATTGCTCATTCAATCCATTCTCGGAGCCTTCAACTATGCATTCATCGTTTCCAAGAGAGGCTCCATCTCAGCTTACTTGGTAGGATGGGGTTTCGTCATCCCCTTTATCGCGTGGCTGCCGTTTCAGTTGGTTGAAATCTTCGAAATACACAACAAGATGGCCAAGATTATACCTGCTAATATACTGATTGCAGTTCTCTTTCGAACCATCGAGGCAATGTATGGAACCTCGCCACCCCGGGTAGAGGACAGCCTGGCAAGGTACATTGAGTATTATGGTCAGGGAGCTCGTCCGAAACTGGACAAGAAAACAAATCAACCTCTCCAGGCTACCCTGATTCAGTTCATGGCACCATTACTTCGAATTGCCCTCTATTATCATCTCCTGTCCTTGACGACATCCATTGGAATGCACTTTGATTGGGAGGTTTTTCCGAGTCCAGTGAAAATAGAAAGATTTCATTTCAACCTGGACTTGCTACGTCCGGCACATTTTGCAAATTCATACATCAACATTGGTAAGTGGCCAGCTGGCTGTTAGTCTTCTGTATCATTTGTTGTCGGCAGACTCCAGCGTCAAATTAGACGCCAGGCAACTCACGTAAATCCATCAATTCACCATGACTACCACGACCAGTGCACACCTACTTTTATGTCCGATTTGCTTTTGAAATCGTTGCCATACAAGAAATCTTCAAGGGCTATGTGATTGAGAAACCCTTCAAGAATCCCCTGTTGACCTCCAAATCTCCATCCGCATTTTGGGGCCGGCATTGGAACAAGGTCATTCACGACAATCTCAAGACTGGAGCATACATGCCAACCCGAAAGTTCTTCCCCTCCTGGGTAGCTGTCATGGTAGCATTTTTTCTGTCCGGTTTCATTCATGATTATACCTGGGTACTGGCATTCTACCATCACCAATCGACCAGAGACCCCGTCACGGGAGTTTGCGAGGATTGCTACGAATCTACACCAGGGAAACTAACCCTGTTCTTTCTGTGGCAAGCAGGCGTCATGACTGTGGAACGTCTTGTTGGCAAGTATCCACCATTCAGCTGGATAGGCCAGAATCTTCCCACTCCTATAGTGTCTACTCTGGTCGTCATGACATCTCTGCCCGTCAGCCATTGGTTTTTTGGTGACTATTGCATGGGAGGTACGTATCCGAGTATTTCCCAGAGTTTGTGGATTGTTCGGAAACTATAGACGAAAACCAGATGCTCCAAGAGAGGTACCCTTTTAAACTGGAGCACATTGCTAGATGCTCCAAAGCTACCGTACCGTGCTGGAAAAAGGAGAGTGCATACAGATGTATACGACAGAGAAAAGAGCTACCGATTTTCGGCAATCGCGAATAGCATTCTCAACTCGTTGCTTAGCATTTCATTTCATAATAATTTAACGACATATTGTTGATTGAATCCACTGTTCTGGCTGCTAGTCGTTCCTTGGTAGGAATACGACTAACACATAAATAGGTTGTTGCGTGGTGTGTTGATATTTGGGGAATTGTCGCTTGCTTCCAGCAAACAAACAAAGCAAACACAGTTGGTTGTGTGTTTAATCTGACTTTTTCTGGGGTGTTTCTTCCTTCTTTGCCCGTACAGCAAATCCGTACTTGGCAAAGAAGAATTGGCAAAAGAGGAAGAAGTAACTTCCGTACATCAGCAAAGACGCCATGTTGCTCTTGGGCTTGGACCAGCAGTTATCTCCATCCCGGATCATGGTGACAAATGCCAGGACTGAAAGAATGGTTCCTGCAAACATTTGTGTAATTTGCAAAGCCGTGATCCACTGTTGTTTTTCGCCCAAGTCAGTGGTTGGTTGGATATTTAGTTAGTGCGGGTGTGGGTAACGTGAAATTGGACCTCAAGCATCATTTTTGGCGGAAAAACCTACCTGAGGATTGAACCACTTGGGTTTGCTCTTAATGGCCATTAAAAAGTAATAAAAATACATGATGCTGTGTAAAACAGGTGGGAACAAGAGTGGGGTAAGATAAAAGACAACCAATGACACTTCAACAACCGCAGCAAATATTTTGTCATGGACGTACCTGTGAACTCCAAAGTTCATGGTCCCAAAGAATAATCCGGTAGGAGCCTTGGAAACGAATGAATGCCAGCAGCAAAGTAGGACTGACATGTGATGGTACCAATGCAAAAACATGAGTTTCTTCTTGTGAATGACAATAAAGAAGGTGTCTCCAAATTCTGGGATTTTGCTCAAGACAAAGAGGCAGCACCAAAGACCCGTCGTGGAGGAACCAACCATGCTCTCAGGATCCAGACAGAGCTGTCCCCACAATCCATAGTAGTACAAGTTGTGCATCAACTGGGGCAACATACGGAGAAAGCCCAATGTGGAAAAGGAGCTCAATGCCAAGTTCCAAACGGCCAAAGTCCCACGCCAGCTCCAGGCGTCGCGAGTCGCAAAGTACTTCTGTCCAACGAAAATTCCAGCGCCATAGACGAAACACAGAAGAAAAGGACACCAAACGTAGTTGTCGCGCATCCAAATGTAAAAGTCCTTGATATCGTAGTACTCCCAGCTCATGTAAGACTTGCCCATGGTCGGGTACAGACACGAAATCTCCTCATAGGGAGTTCCAAACACCGTTTCCCGAACGCATCGTCCCGAAGGATCTGAAGGAGTCCACTCTACCATCTTGATAGTATTATCTTCTGCTTCTTCTTCTTCTTGGTGTTGAGTGGCTTTGGTATTATTTATATTCAACTCCGACTTTGGCAAGGCTTGTCCAAGCAGACGACGCCAAAAAAAAATGGTGAAGCGGACAAGCAGGATCGTTAGCAAAGACGTGTTCCCTCCACCGTGGTTTTCTACCGGATCAGAGAGTTTTTGTCCAGCATTGGTCGACAAAATTAGCTCACAAAGACAAGAGTACGAAAACGGCGCACCTCTATCCGTTCATCTGGCTCTCTGCAGAGCTGTTAAAAAACCTTGACGTCACTAACAGTACGTAAAAGTACAATCTTTTCCTTCCACCACGCCAAACAATGAAGAGCTGCAAAAACGGAACCTTTCGCTGCCAGCTGGAAATCGCCCAAACCCACGTTGATACTGTTGTTTTCGGTGACTATGGATATCGATATCGAGAAATCTTAACCATGAACAGCAACGCTGGTACCGGTACGAGCGACAATGCAGGCAGCAACAGCAGTGATAGGAAGCGCTAACGTGAGGGCGTTGAGGCATTTGTCGATGTGTTCTTGAAGAAACACGGCTGCGTGCTGCCTTCAGCCCGGATTCAGGACCTTCGCTCGGGTGTTGTTGACGCTATACATATATCCAATTGCCGCTCAGAAGCAGAGATGGAGTCAATGACAGCTGGTAAGGTCAAAGAAATGTTGGAGACGACCGAGGAAAAGCTCAAGAAGCAGATGTACGGAAGTACGTTGGATCATTGCTAGACGACGCCGTGAAGTATGTCAATTGGGCACTTTTCAATGCATTGTCGCAAACAGGGCGAGAAATTAAAGAATTGATGGTGCGACCAGAGGCGAATCTGTTCTCCAACAAACCTGATCACCTTGTGGTTTTCGCCCATGCGGCTTCCCAATACCCATTCTGGTCGTGGAGGTCAAGAAGGACCACAAGAAAGTCTTAAAATCTCCCACGGTAAAGGGTCAAGTATATGACTACGCTGTACATCATGGTTGGGAAGTTGACGAAAGGAAAACCTACTATGGGTGTAATCACCACCTTCAACGCGTCAACGGTGGTATGGCCGAACGATGAAGACTGCAATCGAGAGGTGGAAAAGGCAAAGCGTCTACAGAAGGGCAATCTTAAAAGTCTGGCTGCTGGGCTTTCAAAGCCGAATCCTGCTGGCATGGGCTCTCCAAATGCTGATAGACAAGGAGATACCACCCCTCAACTGGTTGAAGCCACAGACAGACAAGAAAGCACAGCTCGTACCATCAAGGAGTCCACAGATACGTATACTCCAGGTCAACTCTTTGCAGTCTTTTGCAACGCAATTCTTGCTTCCTTGGCCGCGGGACAGGGCAAGCTGAAGCTTACCGAGGACTACATTGCAGAAGGAAAATTGGGAAAAGATTCCCTAGTCTTGAAACTGCTGGGAGGCAGAAGGAAAATTGGGAAAAGATTCCTTAGTCTTGAAACTGCTGGGAGGGGACACCGCGAAGAACATGAAGCGTGGATATCAATGGGGAAAACTTGCGATGGAAGTGTGCATCAAAGGAGAATGGAAAGTCAAAGAGAAACAAGAAGAATTTTTGATTGTTCAGCTTTTGGGAGTTGGCGGGACGTCCAGAGTCTGGCAGGCCGTCGTCATGGATGGTTCCAGCAACAGACAAGCGGCGTTCTTCTGTGCAATCAAGTACTGGATCAAAGTGTACAATAAAGAGAACCACGAGACCTTGAGTTCCATGGATGCAGAGAAGGAATCGCAAGTAGCCGCAAAAAAGGAGGTTACCTTCTATCGCCAGATCTACAGCAACCAAGATGGCGTTGATCTCTCCGAGTATGTGGGGAAAGTCAAACTTAACTATTGCTGGTGCGTGATCCTTCCCTTCTTCAAGCCAATTCAAAAACCACAGCGCCAGGAAGCCTTGCAGAAGATTGAACAGTTGCTCCGGAAACAGTTTTACCGGTACGACGAGACGACCAAGAAGCATGTATCCTATCAGTTCGGCGAAAGCGATCGGCGCTGGCGTCATGTAGGCCTGTGGGGTGAGAAAGTTGTGCTTTTCGACCTGGCGGATCTGGATGCAAAAGACGTGAATAGCGAGAATGATCACTTACTTTGACTATGTGAAAAAGCACGTAGAGGAGTTGAGAAAGCGGGTTGGTATGTAACAGAACAAGGTCGCAGATGAAGCCGGATCATCTCTCTCGAAACTTTATTCGCTTCGACTCATTCAGCGAGCCAGTATTTTGGTGGGGTTCATTTTGAAAACAAACTTTACTAGGCCAGGTATATCTTGTACAACCCAGGTGCTACCGGTAGGGTACTTTTGGTGCTGAACTATTGTAGGAATATCGTTTGCACCTCGGACGGCAACAAATCGACCTAGTTCACATAGATTCCATTCCGGGCAATCCCGAAGTGCTCTGCTTTGTCGTGAATCTCATCTGGAATTGAAATGACGAGAGGATCCTGAATTCAGCCGACGCAATTTAGTCAGTATAGCTCGACTCGACTGGCAGTTCCCGTGGTGGCAATTCGAGTCATCAGATCTTTGGTGTCTCAAGTTTCTGTCAGGGTGGTCTCTGTAGCAAACGCAAATGCAGTAGCAGGCAACCTCAGAGCAATCCACAGATATTTGGCTCAAGTCCACAAATTCTTGCAGAGCGCAAACATCAATGAGTACTAACATCAACATAATATTTACTATTTAGCGAACAACATGTATGATACGAGTTGTCTCCTTGGAACCAATCAAGCGTTGGCCGATTCGGTTGTAAGGTCAGGTGGATGCCTTGCCTGGCACCCATGGTTCTACGCAAGCGCCCTGTCTGTGGGATATGGGGCCAATTTTCTCATTTCCCTTGGCGTGGCGACGCACACATTTCTGTTCAGAGCTTCCATCGTAGAGACCCTTCATAATCCCGGTCAGCGCTGGCAGTATAACATTGGATGCCTGTCGGGAATGGAAACTATCCCACCGTTGGCCATTTTCTTCATGATAATCGTTTTTGCTTGGTCTGGGGATGGTTCCGTTGTGTTGCTTATCTCCGTGGTGCATCCTATGCCGACGTTCGGTTGCTTTGACCAAGTTCGTATTTCGAGTTTGTATACCTTCCCATTTATCGAACTCACAATAAATATTTTCCGAAAGAAAGTTGTTCATGTTCATTGTTGTCTTCGTGGTTTGTTTTTGTGGATATGATTTGATTTTGTGAGTATCGTACCGGTACGGACAAACGAGCTTGAGAAGAAAGCGGTTCAATCGTTTGAAAGCAGCGCACGGGATCGGGATTGTGCGAGCTACCGTACGACTGTGATTGCGATTGGTTCATGAAGCAATCGTTTGCCGGAAAAAAAGGGGGTGTAAGTAGTACAGCGTAGATGGGGTATGGGGGGTCTACGAAGCTAGCTAGCTAGTAGTCTAGCTAGCTAGAGTAGATAGGGAGGAAGATATCTAAGGAATTTTGGGGTGGAGGGTGTGGGGGTGAAGGGGGGCAAACTTATTGCGTCCGGGCACCAGAAAGGCTGTCCTATTGTATACAGAAAACGGTACGGTACGCACAGTGCTCCTGGGATGATCACAAAGCTTTCGGTGCATTGGAAATCTTTATCTATGGGCAGGCAGCGTTCTACGCTGTACTCCTATTCTGTGTGATCAGCCGCACTACTGGTATGGTTGGAGTGGCAGCCAAGCCGCTGGAGAATCTCCGCACATCCATCCCGAACCCCGTCCTTGCTACACGTAAATGTAAACTTTTCAGCTACTTTTCTTTAGCAACCCTCTCGAAAGGTCTGGGCTAGCTATGCTACATGTACTAGCTGCTGATAGCAGGTACCGTCAAATGAATTGAGCAGTCTAGGAAACCAAATCCATGCTCCGGCAGAGACTAACTCCATTCATAGTGAAGCACCAGTAGCAGAGCAAATGAGGGTCCACAACCTTGAAGCCAGCATGACCGGCAGGTAACTGTAGGTGGTGCCTGCTCACCCAGCATTGGCATTGGATGAGCTGGCACCAACAAGATAACAAGCACCAAGTGCTTATTCTCTTGTCTTTGTACACCAACAACAGTTGATGTACAAAGCCTTCGTTTTCCTGCATCCCAACACCCGCCCACCCGGTGGTCAGAAGAAGCTTTTCAGTCCAGGTTCAGGTTTCAATCCTGACCTTGACTTCAGATCTCCTTCTGGGTCATGCTCAGCTCAAGCGTTGTGAGGCTCTCCCCCAGACTGAGAGATAGCCAACAACCAACCACTTGACCATGGATGATGAGCAGCAGAAGGAGAAGTCGACCGAGGGCAATCCCGAAGGGATTGAAGCAATTACCGTACCTGTACTGTATTGCGTCTTGAAAGTTACAGTGGCGGTACCTGGTAGCTCGAAAGAGCTCTAACCTTAGTGAGCCATGCCTAATCGTACGACGTACAGGTATAAAGTCGGTTTTGGTCCATCGCTTTGAGACATCAGCGATACTATAGCAAAAACAGTACAATATCGGAAACCTTCTGTCTCACTCTCTATTTACTGAGTTAACGGGACTCAATAATGGACCAAAATATTTAACTATCTCACAAAAAGTATAACGAAAATGAAATACACGGTTAACATAGGGTATGTGATGTTAAATCATGTGGTCAGTATGGGTAACATGCTATGAGTGAATGGTACTTGAGGTCGATTTCGTATTAATCTACTTATGGGTCAATCGGACATTGAGACAGTCATTTGCTTATAGACGGTTTTGGTCCATTTTTGGGCTGTAGCGCTGGTACACTTTCTACGTGTCTCACCCACTTCCTTTATTAAACTCGTATGCGAATGAAACAAGAGACCCCAGCCAATTTTTAAAGACCTCCCACGAGTCCGTCAGTTTTTATGGAGTTCTTTCATTATAAAAGCTTTTTCGGTTCGGGTTCATTTCCCCTGATTATTTAATCAGTCCCGTTCTCCTTATTACGCCGAAGTGTCACGGCAGGGAATATGAAGAACCATCAGTACCGGGATTGGATAGTCGAAAATTTTCATTCTGGGGAATTCACTTGCTTCTTGCCTTCCTATTGGCTATTCGGAGGACATTAATCCATGGTCTGTGTACACAAGATAATCGAAAACCTCTTGTTAAATACAAGAAGTTGTTGAAAAAGAACAAGGCAACTGTTCCTCGATGTCACGGTGCACACGGAAGCATGACTTTTTGAAGTCGAAAACAACTCATTAATTATTCTACTTAACCATCATCTTCCCTATTGGCAAAATCTAGAAATATCGGAAACTCCCCTTCTCGAACAATTGTGAGAAGTTGTTCTGACTTCTGACGATCATCCACCATCTGCCACCATAAGCTTCGCAATCAACGACCTCTTTCAATTTGCTACTGGTTTCAACGATCTCTTCCGCTTTTTAGTACAAGGGTTCAACACGCTATTCCAAAGCCAAGAAACTGCATGAGCACCCTGAACTGATGAGAGCTGCAGACAGCCACGGTGATCCACCCCTGACCACCACGAGTAAGCAACCACTGTCCTCATAGGCAAGATAATCCGCAAGGAGGGACAACTCACCTTCAACCGTAGGCAATAAGTTAGAATAGCTTCTAAAAAAGGAAGTTGTAGATCACCCACAATTAATCAAACATTCACAACCAAAGCAGCAGCTGCCAACATGACGGAACCGAGGACAGCCATGCAACATGAAGCCGCCAGCGGCGACGCCCCTGTGGATCGAGCGGTGTACCTCAAGAAAGAATTGGAAAACAGAGTTCAGACGGAACCAGCTCTTTTTGAGTTTATCCAAAGTGCTGCTTTGGATGGCTTGTGGTAAGACAGACAGATGGATAGATAGACAGACAGAGAGATGCTTGCTAGCTACGGTACCGGTAGGACGTGCCCTGTTACGCGATTGCCTTTCGTTCCTAACATTCATTGCTTGCTTGTGCGGTGCTGTAATGATACCGTAGGTACTGGGACCTTGAAAACATGGAGAACGAATGGCTGAGTCCAGAATTCAAGGCACTCTTTGGCTACAAAGATGACGAAGTGCCCAACACGAGCGCCTGGTGGCAAGACAACATCCATCCCGAAGACAAGGATTTGGCCATTAAAAACTTTCAAGACCACGTGACCAGCGGCGTTCCCTACAGCTCGATTGTCCGGTATCGTCACAAGGATGGCTCGACCGTGTGGGTCCGGTGTCGAGGACAGGTACTGCGCAACAGTCAGGGAGTCCCCATTCGCATGCTGGGGGCTCACAATGACTTGACGCAACTCATGAAGATCCAACAAGAGCTCAAGAAAAAGGAGGATGTTCTGGACATGCTCTGCACGACAGCTCTCGATGGATTTTGGGATTGGAACATGAAGACGGGAGAAAAGATTCTCAGTGTCCGATGGAAGAATGCTCTGGGATACGAAGAAGACGAACTCGAGAATACACTCGAAACCTGGGAGTCGCTCCTGCATCCCGATGACATGCCCAAGGCTCTGGCGGCACGGGAGAAACACATGCAGGAGGGAGCTCCGTATTCTCAAGTGCTCCGATACAAGCGCAAGGATGGAACCATTGCGCACATGCTGGCACAGGGTGTGGCGCAAAAGGACGAACGAACGGGGGAATGGATTCGCATGTTTGGTACCCACACCGATGTGTCCTACCTCGAAGAAGCCCGCGCTGCCAAGGCCGCCAATCAGGCCAAGACCACCCTTCTGCGCACCATGAGTCACGAACTTCGCACTCCACTCAATGCCATCTTGGGCATGTCCGAGGTCCTGATGGGGACCAACCTGACTCCGGAACAACAGGAGTGCATGTCCACACTGCAGAATTCGGGAAAACACTTGCTCAGTGTCATTTCCGATGTCTTGGATTATTCCCAGTTGGAGAGTGGCAACCTAACCATCAACAAGTCCGAATTCAGCGTTCAAACATGTGTTCGAGACGTCGTCGCAGCACTAGGGTTGGAAGCGTCCAAGAAGAGTGTGGACTTGACGTTTGATTCGTCCATTGATGCTGGAGCCAAGTTTGTCGGTGATCCCGAACGAACGCGCCAAATTGCCTTTAATCTCGTAAGCAACGCCGTCAAGTTTACCAGTGAGGGTTCTGTCAATGTATCCGTTTCGATCGAGCAAGACAAGGACGATCCACGCTTGAAGGGCGTCCGGGTAAACGTCAAGGATACAGGTTGTGGCATGTCACCCGATCAGCAAGCTGTCGTCTTTGATGGCTTTACCCAAGCGAGTGAATTGATTCAGCACCAATACGGAGGTTCGGGTCTTGGTTTGAGCATTAGTCAAAAACTCACGTCTGCCATGGGTGGCTCCGTCTCTGTCGAAAGTCAGCTTGGCAGAGGAAGCTTGTTTTCCGTGTGGCTACCGGGATTTGTTCCAGAGACAATACCGAAACGTTCTCTCGCAAAAACGACCAAAGTCATCTTGTATGACAAGAACGGAGCCCCTTTTGACGTTCTACAGGACGACTATGAACAAGGCTCAGCCACCAAGGCCATTCGAGCTGCGGGCCTAGATGTGTACAGGATTTCAACCTTCTTTGAGCTACAGCAAACCTGTCGCCAGTCGTCCGTCGAAGCTGTGGCTGTTCCTTCCAAAGATGCTTGTTCGGACGAAATTCGGCAGTTTCTGGAGAAGAACAGCACGGCGCTACTTTTGGTCATTGGCAAGTGTCTCAAATGCAATCTACAAGAGTCAAAGTACAAGGATCGCGTGCTGACTGTCCCACACTTTCCAACCAGTGATGAGATCAAAGAAGCCATGTCGCTACATCGCAAGAAGGCCGCACCTCAATTGGATCTTTACAACCTGGGGAATCCAGGGAGAGATTTGAGGGTGCTTCTCGCGGAGGACAACCATATCAACATCAAAGTCATGCGGAGGTTTCTTTCCAAGTTCCCCTGCAAGGTAGACGTCGCGTGCAATGGATTGGTAGCGGTTGAAATGGCAGGAAGAAACACATATGACATCATTCTTATGGATATGATCATGCCAGAGATGGGCGGTTTGGAGGCAACACAGATGATTCGCCAGATAGACGACAAGACTCCGATTGTGGCATTGACGGCAAATGCAACTACTGATGACAGGGAAAGCTGCTTTGAGGCTGGAATGCATGACTTTTTGACCAAACCCATCAATCTGCAGACTCTTCGCAAGACATTGACGCGGATTGCTGACAGTGTCATTGAAAAAGAGCAGACCTTGGAAAAAAGAATGAAACCTTCCAAGACCAAGCTTGATCTTGGTTCTCCTGACAGCACATTCTCATTGATAACATTGGCCGATGGCGCGCAGCTCACTTATTCGACTGACGCTGCCTAAATCCATTCGTCAGCTGGCCCCAAGCGACTTTGTTGGTGCAACGTTGATCCCCAATTTTGGGACGAGCTTCGATAAAGTTAATCCCAAAGATTTGAATGTGGCTTCTTTAAATTATCCTTTTAGTGTGAAAGGAACTCCACTGAAATGTTTAGATCAACACCCTGGTGTGCTTCGATGCGTAGTACATTGAAGTAGATCCCTTCGGGCTGCACCCCCACCTAGCTGCTTCCTCCCGCTAGCTTCGTTCAGTCGACCGACAGATCACAGAGTTCCCCTGTGGACGGCCCAAGGAGTCGATGGAGTGAACGCACAGAACACAATCCATTTCACTGTTTTGATGTGTTATTATAAACATAGCTAGATAGCGTTTTCGTTTCAAATGCCTACTGGCTTTGAGCGTAGAACCGTTGCGGTCCAATGCGGAATCCACGAAATCGCCCCAGTGTTGCCAGTTGAAGTTGTCCCTGTTCGTTCCTGGCACGTTCGCCTTAGTCTCTCCATCCTGAAAAAAATGAACGACTGTTGACGGATTCAGACAAGAAGCGCTTGAGGACGACCCACGAGCCGAGGCCCGTGTGATTCCCGCAGTCAAGAGTGCTCACCGACCACACTAGCCCCTTGAGAGGGTGCGACGAAAGAGTCTTTGCTTCTCCCTTGCCTTTTCAATTTCATGCATGGCTCCCAATACGTGATTTTGCCGCTCCTTCTCTTGCAACTTCAAAAGCTTCTCTTGTACTTTCAAAAGCTTCTCTTCTGCTTCATTCTTTAGTCTTTCAAGGCGATCCGTGATCTCTTTCTTCTCTTTCTTCTTCTTCAATTCCACATGCTCTGGAATAGCGTGTTGGATAAACGGCGGTTTGCTCATGGTGTATTGCCAAGCCTTGTAGTATTGATTACCCTCTGGATCGTGAATCATCTCATCGAGGCGTCCTGCATCCTGGAGTACCTGATGCCTCCAGTACTTTAAGAACATTCGTTCCCAGCCTGCATCAAATGTATTATTCAAGAACGCAGGGCTGAAGATGTAGTCACGCATAACTTTGACCAACTCTGCCTGCGAGTACTTCCAGCTCTTCAGTTGAATGATGGGTAGATCTTTGAAGAGCTCGTCATACTCCGGGTGGGCCTGGACTATAGGAATGACACCGTTGAAAAGCAGTTCATACGTCCGGAAGCAGTCCAGCCCATTCCCGGGCGGGGATAACCCAAAGAGATATTTGGATGCTGCTGTATAGGTTTGTCGTGGACCCACGCTGATCTTCTTGTTACATGATATGTCATCCAAAGGCTCCATGTTGCGTTGTTTGCAGGCCATATCCCAAGGGGTGCTTCGATGCAATGCGTTGACGTGGATGCCAAACTTGACAAACAGCAGTGGCGTGGTATCTTTGGCATTTAACCACAATGTGATATTCGTCCAACGGGACTTGTCACCCCCAAATGGGTTGGCATAGTTCCGTGCCTTCATGAGGAGGTCAATGTCTGGTTGTTGCCGATATTTGTTTCCCGTTAGACCGAGTGGCATCGCGCGAAACTTGGGGTGGTTGCCCCCCGTCTCATAGTTTGGATTGATCCCATACCATGCCAGAAGCAAGGGATCTGTGCTCAGTCTTTCCGTAAAGAACTTGATTGGAGTGTCACCATCTGTCTTGGTTGTTATGAAGATGTACGGTACAGTCAACTTGGGACGCAACTCTGTAAACCATCTCGTTATCGGGCCGCGGTAGCTATCAGCATGAATGATAACCCCGGGTTGCAAACAAGGTATCATCTCCTCTGTCAGTTCGGACGCAGCAAACTTATGAATGGACGGCGGTGTATGCCCAAGGAGCAGGACATCAGCGACATCTTGTCCATCACACGCGTTTATAACCCTGGTGTCATCTTGCTTAAGAGAAATGGCCACCGATCGAGCACAGCAAGTATCATTGCATATCTTTTCCCCTTGAAACCACGGAGATTGGCTCACGACGGTGGACTCCAGGAAGGCTGTTTTCATTACTGGATCATCTTGCGGCACTTCTTGCAGATTCAAGTCGGAAAATCGAAGGTGCCGCAGGGGCTCGTCATCTGTCTTGCTATGACTGAGCACAGCATCTCTTCCAGCTTCGGAAACGTGGTTCGCCTTGAAATGCTGTTCGAGCGAAAGGCCCGGCTTAGCTTCTTCAGAAAGGTCGTTCACCTTGAAGTGATCTTGGCGAAGAACGCTCGGCTTACTATCTTCTTGGGAACGTGGATTGATTGTATTCGTGTTAGGCGATTCAATTTCCTCTGGCTGCTGATCCATTGCAAGAGCACGAAGAAGAGGCGATATTTTGCCGTGGTTCAATGACGACAGGGATCGTCCCAAGCTCTCATCGTGCTCGAAAAGGAGTCTTTCCGTAACAGGGGCATCAAACGCAATCAAGAAGGAAAGTGCTGCCGTAACCACAATCATTGATTGGATCACTCGTCCAATCGTCGGAAGCTCTCGTCGCTGTAAATGACGCCTCAAAAGGTACTGTCGCAGCGGGTGCGTCTTTCTTGTTGCCACCGTCACCATTGCGAAATTGGCCCATTCCAAGCGAAAATGTGAAGGAAACTGAAGCAGCAAAGTTGCGAGGGTGACAGCTCTGTGAGACTAGTTAGTTTGTTTGCTTGTTTGCGTGTGACGGCGCAGCTTCTGGGCTTGCTACCGGTATGTTACCCTCCCATCCTTTGTATTATGGCAGCAACACGAAGCTCTCACAATAAACCGGAGCTCCAAGGTCGAAGGACTGGCTCGATCGCGGGATTGCTCAGCGCACCTTTTTGTGCGCTGCAACCAACGGCAAGAGCTTCGTGGAGGAGCATTTTTCGTCCACTCACAGGATCCGAATCCAACGCACAGTTTCATTGGGTTTGTCGGCTCACAACATCCATCCATCTTCGAGCACCAAAGGATTCAATTTCAAGGGCCCATCCTGAGCCCATCTTGTCCACAAAGGGTGCTCTCTCGTGCAATAGAAGCAATTCGCGAGACCTGAGAGAGATGAGAATGAACTGCACAACAGAGTTGGATCGAGCCAAGATGACGGACCTCAAGATAGATTTGGCAGACGGTTGTGACGCTGTTCTGGACTTATTGGGACAGCAGCTAGACAATGGAAACTGCAATCGCATTGTTCGTGTTGATATTGGATACTTTCACTCGCGTCGTCATGGCCCCGCAGCCCTCAACAACGCAAGACACGACCGCTTTTCTCGTCTCTCCAACGACGAGCTCAACCTGGTTTTTCAAGGTGTCGTCTGCTGCCTGCCAAAAATGAAGACCCTTGTTGTCATGTCCTATTTTCGTGCAGATGCCATGTCGCTGCCCGTGTCTGCCCTAGAAATGCTGTTTCGACGAGCCACTTGTCTGGAAATCCTCTTTTTGCACCAGATCAAACTCCAAGGTAGCCCCAATGACTTTCGGATTATGGCAAGAAGCTTAGACCGTCACCCTGCCCTTAAGCGAGTCAATCTCCACTGTTGTGGTGCTTCCAGAGACGATGTCGACTTCCAACAGGGACAAGACGTGGCTGCAGCTCAGCAAAACAACAGCACCAGCCTGGATCCGCTCGTTTGCGGTCTTGCTAAGCTGCCAACGATGTACTACCTGTCATTGGACCAAGTTCCAATATCGGAACAATCAATTCGGGCCTTGTCGCAATCTCCTAGTTTGAGAGATATTTCCTTCTACAACATGCCACAAATCAAGACGGCTCTTCCGATCCTGTTCCGAACGCTGCAAGTTCACAGCCATAGTAGCAACGGTGACAATCAATGTCGAAGCTTATCTCGCTGCACTCTACGTGGTCTACGTATCCGGTCTTGTGATTTGGAACAAGAAGAAGCCATTTTGATTACCAAAATGTTGGAGAACAACTCTTCCCTGGAGAGTGTTGTATTCTATGTTGATTCGTGGGATGATTATGGGGAATCCTTGGCAGCGGCTCTGGCACATAATACGTCCCTCAAACGACTCGAAGTGGGCATTGGAAAGAATCAAGAAAGCGAAAACAGGACGCATGTTGCTACTCGAGAAGCAGCCGGCGCCAGTGGTGCCAACAACAACAACCACAACAACAATAGAGATGCCACTCACAACCCCAACAATAGCAACCTCAATGACACTACGAACAGCACGGACGAGTCTATCAAGACAGACCTAGAGAAAGAAGTCAAGGCTGGTGTCAAACACAGGGAAGCTGCAAATAGACTTGCCAAAGCTCTCGAGAAGAACCGCAACACCGTGTTGCGTCACTTTTGTTTGAATCTGTTCCATGCCGACTCCAACCTAATTTACGATGCTTTCATGTCCTCGTTTGGAACGATGCTGGAATCTAACTACGTTCTGGAGAACTTTTTGTTGCAAGGTTCCAACAGCTTTTCGGTGATGAGTCCCAAGGTTGGCTTTCTCCTGCGACTGAACCAACGATCTGGTCTAGACCGTCGCAAGTTGTTTCAGGATGTGGTGCGGCATGATGCCAACAAGGCCGACACTCGTCAGTTGTGGGTCGATACCTTGGAAAAGCACGTGGAGGATGTGAGTATTGTCTACTATCTGCTTCAAAGGAATCCCAACCTCGTTGGAAGTGCCGTGGCAGCATTGGGGACGGCGTACGGTTAGTGGCTTGCTTGGCCTTCGTGGGCGCCTTTTTGTAACCATACACCAAAACCGCCGGTTATACTTGGCATGCCACGAGAATGTAAAGAGCCTTGGCATGATACTCTAGCTAGTCAGTGCCATATACTGCAGTTGAAATTAGCATAATAAGAGTATGTTGTAACAATGCTGCCCATCCAAAAGTAGCTGTGCGGGCTCTGTAGTTTGAAATGGAACATGCAGCAGGGGCAAGTGCCTTGTTGGATCTAAATCCGGAGCTGCTGGTTCCGGGCGACCACGACTTGCAGCTCCGTCCGCTGCACCTATTCTAGCATGACAACCACACATACCGGTACATGTACATAGTACGACTGGTCTGCCCAAGTCTTGCTATCCACGGCAATTCGGAGCTGCACCAAGCACAAGCTTTGGATCTGCCTCATTTTTAGTCGCAGGAGCCAGTCACACGTACCTTATTGTGACTTTTGACACTGGGTCATCGATGATTCCTCTCAAGTGGATTTCTACGCGAAATCGGTACCAGAGGGTATCTTCCCCTACGCGGATCGCAATCTTGGTTCGGAAGACACCAAACAAGAAAGAAAGAAACATCCAATAACAAAAGCTATCATACCCGCAGCTCTCGCTGGGCACTCCATTGAGCTCATCCTCAAGACACCAAGCAACATCGATCCCACAATATCTGTTTGCTAAGGGTTCAGAAGATCTTTCGAGTATCTCTCGTGTCGGAAGATTTCTTTTGCTCGAATAGGTGGTAAATAATTATGGGCGGCGACGACGAGACCAAGGGCAAGAACCACGCCTTTGTGTACATTGCCTCCAAGGACTACGCTTGGATTCCGGCGACACTGCTGGATACGGATAAAGGCAAGGCTCACGTGGAGGTTCCTCATTATAAAGACGAACAATCGATTGTGTGCGATGGCGGTGCCTCGGCTAGCAAAAAGACCAAGGAATGGGTAGACCTCAAGAAATACCCCAACAAGGTTCTGCCACTGCAAAATGTTACCGGTGGTGGACAACTCATTGAGTATCCGGATATGGTGGATATCCCCTTTTTGCACGAGGTAAGAGTGTCTTGAGAAATAAATGAAATGTCAAGAAGGTATATTTATTTGTTTTCTAACTAACTTGTTCCTGATCTTTGGGTATCATTATTTCATATCAGGCTGGCATTCTGTTCAATCTCAAACTCCGCCATTTGCGTGGACGTCCTTACACTCGAACTGGGGATATCATTATCGCCATTAACCCCTTTCAATGGTTCACGGAACTCTACACGGAAAAGAAACAAATCATGTATTCCAATCGCCTCGTCTGGGAAAGTACCCATACCGAACAAGATCCTCGTCGAGGATTGGAACCACACGTCTACGAGGCATCCGCGTTGGTCTACCGAGGATTGGCATTTGATAGAGAAGATCAATCCATTCTGGTGTCGGGAGAATCCGGAGCCGGAAAGACGGAAACTGTCAAAATTTGCATGAATCACATTGCCAGTGTCCAAAAGGGACGCGACATCAAATCCGGAGGCGAGATCGATCCCGTCGTCCGACGCGTCTTGAATTCCAATCCACTCCTGGAAGCTTTTGGAAATGCCAAGACGACCCGAAATGACAACTCGAGTCGCTTTGGAAAGTACACGCAATTGCAATTCCATCGACCCGAAGATGAAATGGCGGGCAGTATTGATTTGGCCAACACTATTTGCAAACTAGCCGGATCGAAATGCGAGGCGTATTTGCTGGAGAAGAATCGAGTGACTGGTCACGAAGATGTCGAACGAACCTATCACATCTTTTATCAAATCTTGGCGGCACCCGATGCGGAGAAAACCAAACTGTGGGATGGTTTGAAAGGGACCGACTTTAATTCCTACAAGTACGTTGGTGATACCGATACCAAAAAGATTGAAGGCATGACGGACGCCCAACATTTCGAGAAAACTCGCGAAACACTGGAATTGATTCACTTGGGTGGCGACAAATACACCATGTTGATGCGGGCCATTTTAGTCGTCATGCAGACCGGAAACCTTACGTTCGGTCCCCGCGAAGGCGATTCCGACAAGTCCGACTGTACCTCCAAGAAGGAACTCAAAGGCTTGGCCGAATTAATGGGTGTCCCGGAGGATGCACTCAACAAGGCATTCACCGAACGGACCATGAAAACACGCGGGGAAACCTACAAGGTACCCCAAGATGCCAAAACGGCCAAGGAGTCTGCCGATGCCTTTGCCAAGGAAGTTTACGGAAAACTATTCTTGTGGCTTGTGAGTGGAATCAACGAAGCTACCAAGGCCGAGAAGAACTTTGAAGGAGGTGGTCTCGCCAGTTCAGACTTTGGCATTATTGGATTGTTGGATATCTTTGGATTCGAATCCTTCTTGATCAATCGATTCGAACAACTGTGCATCAACTACGCCAACGAAAAGCTACAACAAAAGTTTACCGAGGATATCTTCCGAAGTGTGCAAGCAGAGTACATTGAAGAAGGCATTGCCCTGGCGGAAATCACCTACGACGACAACACGGATGTCCTGGATTTGATTGAAGGACGAACGGGATTGTGTGCCCTCCTGAATGAAGAATGCGTTCGTCCCAAGGGTAGCGACGAAGCCTTTGTGAACAAGGCACTGGCACAAAACAAGAAGTCGCCCTGCATTGTGGTCAACCACATGGACCGAATGAGTTTTGGAATCCACCACTACGCAGGAAAAGTCATGTACAGTGCCGAGTTCTTCGTTGTCAGAAACCAAGACACACTCCCGACCGATGTGGAAGAATTGATGCAAATTTCGACAAACGAAATTGTCTCCCATGTAGCAGTTGACAATGAGCCTGCCAAAGCCAAGCCCGGTCGTCAAAAGAGTAATATTGTGGGAAAGACTATTTGGACAAAGTACAAAACGCAATTGGCAACCCTCATGACTGATCTGCGAAAGACCACGAGTCGCTACATTCGTTGCATCAAACCGAACAAGCCAAAGAAGCCTTCGGTTATGGAGCATGTAGGTACCGTCGAACAGTTGCGATGTGCCGGTGTTGTGGCTGCGGTGACAATTACCAGATCAGCATTCCCCAATCGACTCGATCACGCACCAGCCTACAGACGATTCTTGCCGCTCAAACCAGCGGCTGCTGGCAAGGCCGACAAGAATGACATCAAGGCTCTGCTTGCTGAATTGATGGATTCGGCCTTGGCGAGTCTCGTACAGGGTGAAGGCGAAAACACAAAGAAAGCCTACGTGATTGGAAAAACCAAAATCTACTTCCGCGCGGGAGCAATGGAATATCTGGAGTCCGAACGCCTTAAGGGCTGTGACAAGTGGGCCGTGATCATGCAGCGTGTCTACCGTGGTTACTGCGTACGAAAGAAGTTGGGCGGCATCAACGGATACAAGATGCAAGCCAAGGCACCGAAAGCCATCACCATCCAATGCTGGTACCGTCAACTAGCAGCCAAATTTAAGCTTGGAAGGCTCAGGAAGAAGCACAAAGAAAAGAAAAAGAAGGCCAAGAAACGCGTGCGTGCCGCCATGAAGATCCAAGCATGTGGTCGCGGTTACTTGGTCCGACCGAAGTTCAAGAAGAAGCTCAAGTTGATGAAGGAACGGGAGCGCCTGAAGAAGCTTGCCAACGATTTGGAAGAGAAGGTGCGTGAAGCGGAAATGAAACGCCTTCAGAATGTAGAGGCTGCCCGCGAGGCTGCCGAAAATGAAATTGAAGAGTACAAGGAGGTTGTCCGCGAGGAACTCAAGAGCGACAAGGAGAAACAGAAGAAGTATGCTCAGCAACAAACATTGATCGATGAGAGTTCCAACATTATCGAATTCTTGCGCCGAGAGAATACGAAGCTGAAGAACCAAAGCGAGGGCATGCGCAAGGACTTCAAGGAGCTCAAAGACAACAACAAGCGTTTGCAAGAAGAGAACGAGGCGGCAACATCGTCGTTCACCGCATTGAACGACCACGCCAAGCAGCTCAATGTAAAGAATGCCAAGCTCATCACCAACGTCCAGGAATACAAGAAGAAGCTGGAAGGTCTAAAGGACGATCTGAAGGAGAAGCAGTCGTACTACATTGCAGAAGCAGAGGCTCGTCTAGCAGCCCAGAAGAGGATGGCTGCCATTGTGGGCACCATCCAGGACAAGTGCAGAGACCCGCAGCTGATTGAAGATGCGGTGATTATGGCATTGGAGTGCGAAGCGGAGGCCAAGGCTGAACGTGCCGCTTTGGATGCCCAAGATGGCAAGTCCGCCCCAGCAACAGGCACCACAGCGGCTGTCGCAGACGACGATTCCACTGATTACGGTGACATCTCGTCCGATGAAGACTCAGATGATGATTCGGACTAGACTAGAGCGTACGGTACCGGTAGTAACTGTCAAACTATGCATGTTTTTGATGCACTTCCTGTAGACTAATAGTAGCTATCTAGAGTGCCGTCGGAGCCTTTCAGCAGCTGAAAACATACCTTGTACTTTGCCTATCCAAGCCCGGATAGCAGTTTCAACAGAGAAGTTGTCGACGAAGTCCCAATTATTCCAAACAGCTCTGACGTTATATAACAACAACTCTGAAGGCTTTGAAAAAGGCTTCTTTACTTACATGTACTTGTACCAAGGCTGGGGGAAAGGGTTCTGATCGTGATCGTTTTCACCCTTTGGTTTCCCAGTCCCAGCTTGGTGTCAAAAAAGTTCCCTGTGTCCTTGGGAAGTTAGAGACACAGTGACATCAACGTTTGGTTGTGCCGCCGTCATCGACCAGTCTTTTCATGGTAGAAAGTTGCTTCCGCGATCAAACTCACCACCAGCGGTAGACTACTGTACAGCGATACTAGTACATACCGCGACCATCCCGCTGGTAACCACCGCACCCTTGCTAGCTGGACTACTATGCATGTGCATACCGGTAGCTACATTCATAGCGATAGCGGAGTAGCCAGAATCAACTCCGTCTCCTTCAACTCCTTCAACCTCCAACTTCCTCTTCCCTTGGTGAGAAGGTGGTTGAGTTCTTGTTTCTTGTAGAAAAGTCTAATCCGTTCAGCATCTATCTATCTAGCTAGCTACCTGGTACCGGGTAGATAATACGGAAACACCCCGTGCTGACATGTCCCATGGCATTGTGTTTCGTTATAGAGCCTGCTGAAAACGTGTCCTCTCTAGCTAGGTCTGTTTCCTCTCAGGATCTCATCTCGTCGAGTTACCGATAGAGCTACTTTAGCACTTTAGCAGTACTGCGGTAGTACCGGTAGCCGTGGACCGGGAGTTCCTATCAGGCCTCAGACAGACTGGCTGCTCCTCTTCATCAGAGCATCCAGCTCGATCAGTTAGTTAGACTAAGCATAGTTGCTTTGGCTGCGAGACTCCTTGCGGTTTATTATTGGCTGTTCACTTCCCCCTTCGACCATCAAACTCCGGCTTTCCCTTGTAGCTTCAGCCAAAGTGAGCAGAACTTTCTCGCAACGTAATAAGCTGGCCAACATACTTTCGTCTTCATCCGAAAATCGGAAGGGAGCTCCATCAAACTTCTTCCGGCACCAGCTCTCACCATGGTCTAAACCTGGAAATGTTTTTATCAATTTTGCTGTGACGTATTTCCTTTTAAGTCTTATTTCTTTTAGAGGGAATACGATTTTGCGAACGCCGCTCTTACCTGACAAAAAACAAAACGAAGCCCTTTTTTGCATTCTCGTCTCTCCACACGACGAAGCTGATCACAATACCGGAGCGAACGGTGTCAGTCAATGGCGAGGTCATTGCGTCCCCACTATCATCCAGCTGATCTTTGAATCTCTTGCACCAATAAAACCACAAGCTGGCCACAACAGGAGCACAATCGCCTGGTTTCGTTCAATACGAAGCCCAGTGCGAACGGGTTAATCTTGAGTTGGAGTTCCGGTATCGGAAGGGGTATCACATTTTCCGTATTATCACCATTCGTCGGCCACACAACAGCAATCCCAATCGATGAAAGCGAAGAAAACGAGCTGACGCTATCCAGGAAGAGACAATACGTTTCGCCATCTGTGAAGCCAAGAGACAGTGTACCCAGCAGGAAGACACGGCCAACAGCTCCTTATCCTACCCTCCTTGGTCACCTCCTTGGTCACCTCCTTCCAAAGCCCAACCAAGCCTATGACACCTGTACACAACCACCATGATGCCCATCATCTGGAGATGCTACAGAGCGACCATGACGGTGACTATGGGAATTCCAGCAAGCATTCCATGGGCAGTCTTCTGGGTAGCACCACCACCAATAGCACCAACACGGGCAAGCGCATGCTGCCCAACGCTGTGACCAACGCTCTGGGCCTTACGTCGAGTCCTGCTACTAGTAGTTCTCACGGGCGGAGTGCAAGCGAAGCTAGCACCACATCCAGTCACACCAGTGTGGATCACAGTAGCACTCACGAATACAATGTGGGAGAGGAAGAAGACGGCCATGATAGTGCCATGCTTGCACGGGTTTCGAGCATTGAAGTGACGCTGTCATCATCGTCATCTTCTCCAATGGAGGAAGTAGCAGCCACAGCATCCAAGTCTAATGGCAGTGAAACAAAGGCAGACGAAGAAAATATCCAATCCACTGTTGTAGAAGCGCTAGTACCGAGGATGGAGAGCTTACCGCACCAGTCTACTGGGGAAGCTTCAGCAGATACCTCATCGTCATCCTTCAACTCACAGATGGGAGAACTGACCGGGGCCTGCTCCCCTCTCCCTGTCCCTGAGGCCCCAGAACACCACACCATTTCTGAGAAGAGGCTCAGATCAAGTTCCGAAGAAGAAAAAGTGGAAGAAGACACTGATGTTCCGGCTTCCAACACAGCCCCGCCATCTCCTAGCACTGCTGCTACTGCTGCTGCTGCGGCAAGACCTCTGCAACGGAGCAAGAGAATGGCGCACCAGGCGCCAATGATAAAACATCACAGTAGTGGCGACAGTTGGGACATGCAAGAGGAGGAGGAAGCACATGATGCACTGACAGGCATGAAGGCCGCTCCTGGTGATATCAACAATCCACTGCAACGATCCAATGAACTACCCAAAAAGCTATCACTGAACAGTCGTCGCAGCGTCGAGTTCTCTCACGTGCACATTCGAGAGTATAATGTCGCTATTGGAGACAACCCCTGCTGTTCCTATGGGCCACCAATCACCTTGGATTGGGACTACAATGACGACCAGGGTGATATCCCACTCGATGTCTACGAACAAAATCACTTGCTAGTCAAACATTCCATGAAACGACGAGCCCGACGATCACTAGTTTTGAATTATACCGAAAGACGCGCACGGCTGTGGAGAGCGGGATACTCGCTAGAGGAAATTGATGCAGCCGCCAAAGAGCTGGAACGTCTCAAATGGCGACAATCAATGTTGGGGAACTTGGAGGCATTCTACCGACTTCAGGAAGCATGGGTGCTCTACGTCAAACCGGTAGTCTTTCCCAAGGAAAGGAAACGACAGGAAATGAACCGGCGGTTGGATTTCATTGAACAAAAGGTTCGGGACGAACATTCGTCACGATCATTGGCACTCTCCGAGACGGTCTCAATACCTCACCACAAGGAAGACGACGACCATGTAATTGAAATGGACGATGACGATCTCGAGTTTCAAGCAGGCGGTGTGCCTCAAGCCATCGTGATAGAAGGGCTCGACGGTCTAATGGACCAAGAGCAACAACGAGAAGATAAGGAACAAGCGCAACAACAACACCAACCAGGAAGCTCCAGTGATGCACAGAACAATGGAGTCCGGCGCGAACCCAGCAGCGGCAGCAGTGGGGATAATAGCGGCAATTCACACAACAATTACGGCATCCGAGTTGACAAGAAGCAGCAAGACAAAGCCACTGAAATCATTTTGTGCAGTCTCCGCCGTCCTCATATGCGGGCCTTTCATGCTTCTTGGTTCTCATTCTTCGCCGCCTTCTTTGCATGGTTTGCCATTACACCTCTGCTTGGTGAGGTTCAAGAAACCTTGAACCTGGACAAGGCAGATATCTGGATGTCTAGCCTGTTTGGTACCGCGGGGACCATTGTCTTTCGAATCGTAATGGGTCCTGCCTGCGACGCATTCGGCGCGAGACTCTGCATGGCGTTCATCTTGGTCGCAGCTGCCATCCCAACAGCACTGACCGGTCTTGTCCAGTCATCAGCCGGCTTGTCGCTGGTGCGACTGTTCATTGGTATTGGCGGGGCATCCTTTGTGGCCTGTCAATATTGGACTAGTGAAATGTTCTCCCGTGAAACGGCAGGGACTGCCAATGCGGTAAGTGAATGAGAGACAAACGATTACACAGAATTGTTTAGCCTGTTCGTGTGCTTTCGCTAACGTTCTCCTTCTTTCCTTCGCTCAGTTGGTGGCAGGATGGGGCAACTTTGGCGGAGGAGTGGCCAACCTTGTCATGGGGTCCGCGCTCTTTCCGCTTCTTCGGTGGTTCTTCCGAGGCAGAGATGAAGACGAGGATGATGATGCCTTGAGCTCCGAGTTGGCATGGCGAACAGTGTTTGTGGTGCCAGCGTTGCTTTCCATCGCTACGGCTTTGATGATTCTTTTGTATTGTGACGACTCACCAAAAGGTAGCTACAGAGATCGGATCAAAAGCGAAAGCCTCACTAAGGCCAGCCCTATGGAGTCACTGAAGAAGTCAGCTCGCAATTGGAACGTGTGGATTCTTACTTTCCAATACGCATGCTGCTTTGGCGTGGAGGTGACAATGACAAATGCGACAGCACTGTATTTCAAGGACGAGTTTGGCCAATCTACTGTGTCCGCTGCTGGGATTGCATCAATCTTTGGCCTGATGAATTTGTGGGCTAGAGGGTTGGGAGGCTTGGGTTCCGACAAGTGTCAAAACATGAAGGGGGTCAAGGGACGACTCTTTTGGCAAATGTTTACTTTGATCTTCGAGGGTATCGGAGTGGGGTTGTTTGCCATTGCTGATTCTCTGGCAGCATCCATCATCGCACTCATCTTCCTTTCCTGCATGGTGCAAAGTGCCGAAGGTTCTACGTTTGGTATTGTCCCATATGTAGATCGGCGGTTTACCGGTGCGTTTGTTGGTGCACAATGTCGTGGACGTACTCCAAGACATTCCAATCCACGTCTCACTCCTTCTATTCTTCTTGTATTGATAGGGTCTGTTGTTGGTATTGTCGGAAGCGGTGGAAACGCCGGAGCTGCAGTGTTCTCCGTCTTCTTTGTGCTCTTCAGCTACAGAGCAGGGTTTATGCTAATGGGTCTCGCTGCCATTGGGAGTTCCTTTCTGAGCTTTCTGATGAAGACGGACAAGCTTGCGCAAACTCACGATACGGTCGCCCTGGAAGTTGAACAAAGGGAACAACAAGAGGAGGAAGATCGCATTTTGCAGAATGACAACAGTCGTAGTCATCACGCAGCATCTTACCATTCGGCAAATTTGACTGAGCTGCCCCTCGAATTGCAACAACCGAAAGACAGGCGAAGTTCCAATGACGAGGAGGCTGATGTATCCGCATGATTTCTTGCATCTTGAAACAGTGATGCCCTCCTCCATCTGCTGCGCTAGGGAAAAAGCAATCCCGCATTGCTCAAACGGTGGACGGGTCTCGTAAGGGGTGGTCGTCCCCTGTTGCAGTGATCTAGAATCTCGATGCAAAGCGGAAGATGGCAACGCACGGCGCTCTCTGCCCAACCAGCGCTTACTACAAGCCCCACTCGAGGTGCGAAAGCGGACTCCCGAGAGTTCCTCGCCTACAACTGGAGCAAAGGTCACAGTTTAGAATATCCTAACGTTGGGACTCCAAATCTGAATAGCGCGCCGAGCAGCTATTGGGAGGTGTTCTGAAAGTCGTTTCGTAAGGATACCAGTGTAACTGAATGGCACTATATATGGACCTGTTTGGAAAGGACTCCACGCATGGAACTTCTGTCCCCGGGACAATGGCGAATAGGAGGTGACACCTCCACAGTGACGAAATCGGTGAGGTCTGTTACTCGAGTGCCATGTTTGGTCTTCAGATGACAGTCAATGATTCTTGATCAGGTGTCATGTTTCATATTTCCGCTATGACAGCCAGATAGGCTCCGGCTGGGGAGCAAAGCAGAGCCGGACCCCACCTCCCCAGCCAGTGTAGAGTAACAGCAGTCAATAGGTACCCAGAGGCATCGCAGGAGGAGCAATCGCTGAGACTACTCTTATAGCTGGCCACAAGTGCTTTTATGTTCTGCTGCAAGCTGCTCCGGGATATCTTTCAGACGTGTTTTGAATAACAATAATAATGCAACAATGAATAACAATAAAAATGCACACCATTTGAATTTTGACGGTTTCCTTACTTTTCCTTTGATTGCCGATACCATCCAACATCCGCCATGGTCATGTCAGAGCCCAAGCAGAGATTGTCCTCCACTTCTCATCAACTAGACAATCAAAGAGCAACGAGATCGTTACTATGGAGATCTAACAGCGACGGCGATAGAAGCAAAAACCGTCGGGGTTTGCTCCATCGATTTCGCAACTGGCGGTACTACCGGACACTGGTAGTATTCTTGTCTTTATCGGTTGCTTCATGTATTCTTGTACTCTGGCGTCCATCCTATCATCCCTGGAACGAATACGTTCCTACGTCACCAACACAAGAAGAGGCAGAACCTACCCATTCATCGAAGACACGAGGAAGACCTCTGAACATTCTGTTGCTGTATGCCGACGATTGGCGCCATGATTCCTTGGGAGTAGCTGGCAATCCCTTTGTCCAGACGCCCTTTCTCGACCAACTGGCGTCTCGAGGTATTCGATTCACACATAACTGTGTCACTACCAGCATTTGCTGGATGAGCCGGGCAACCTTGCACACTGGAATGTACGCCTCCCAGCACCACGGATGGATGCCAGATACACCGTATTGGTATCAGCATTGGTATCAGTCCTTTCCGTACTTGATGAAGACGGCACAAGAATATGCCACGGTTCATGTAGGAAAATGGGATTGGAGCTATTTCCATGACATACGAGAAATCTTTGAGACTTATACCTTTTCTCGAATCTATCAGGGGAAGCATTGGTATACCAAGGAAGAAGTGCTGGCAGACAATGTAGAACAGACCAAGGTCACAGGAGAACCACTCTACAACCAAGACAACTACCTTGTACACAACCACGAGACTGACCAGATCCACATTACCGACCGTACCGTCCACGATGCCATGGAATTCTTGAAACACAGACCAGACAATAAACCTTTCATGATGACGGTTGCCTTCTTTGCACCTCACAGCGTTGACGGGACACAAGAACAGTTCTACCCTCAGCCAGAGACTGCTGCACACTATGACTTGCAGCGAGAACAGATTATACCACCTGTTCCACCCGGGTTTGATATTGCTAGCATGAATGCTTCCTTTGACCGGTTACCGCCGAGCATCTTTCACGAAGAAGGCAACGAAGCCCGAGTCCGGTGGCATTTACGATTTGACAATACCACCAAATACAATGCCGCCATGCACAACTACTATCGCATGATTACAGGTGTGGAAAAGGCGTGTCAAACTCTTGTGGAGGAAGTCCAACGTCAAGGCATTGAGGATGAAACCTTGATCATCTTTACCACCGATAACGGATTCTACCATGGAGAACACGGTCTTGCCGGCAAGTGGAATGCGCATGAAGAGAGTATACGGGTGCCCTTGATCATTGTGGATCCTCGTGCAGAACACTCGATGAAAGGAACTGTGCGGGATGAAGTTACACTCAACATTGATTTGGCACCCACGTTGTTGGCTGCCGCCCAAGCCCCCATTCCGGCTCACATGCCAGGACGTGATCTATCAGAACTCTACCTAAGGAATGATGACGACAATGCTGTGGATACCTGGAGGGACGAGTTCTACTATGAATATCCACAAATGTGGGATGCTGAGGATATCTTTTTACCGGCTTCGACAGCCTTGGTTCGCAAATCCTACAAGTACATCCAATGGGGTGCCAAGCCAGAACACCATGTGGAGCAATTGTTTGATCTTCGAAAGGATCCGAAAGAAGAGTCGGATTGCAGCGCCCTGCCGGAATATGCAAGCATACTGGAAGAGATGCGACAACGCCATGGCGAATTGAAGGAACAATACGGTGGGGATCTGTTGGGGTACCACAAAGTGAAAAGCCATGGTTCCTCCTGGCTTCCAAAAGAAAGCAGGTAACACTTGAGGGCGTGATGCTTTCGAGCACTAGCTACCAGGTAGCGATCCGTATACGCAACTTTCCCTTTCCCATCGGGTCTTCTGCTAGGAGTTCACGTAACTTTGTAACAATTCGACCCTCGAATGGGTATGTCCCCTTACTCATTGGGCTGAACAGTGCGTGGATTTGATGCTTCCTAGCTAGTCTAACCACAATCTTTTGGTCACGTATATACAACTTTCTTTGAATTAATTTTGTGCATACTTTTCGATAGTCTGAAACGAAACTTTTTGGTGATTGTCGAGTTATAGTGTGTTCACTTCCCTAATAACATTGTCGAATGTAGTTGGTTGTCGTTTTTTGTTTCGTGTGCCTTTCTACAGGAACGACGCCGCCAATAGCACCATTGCGCTGGTCGTCATCATAGTCATGCCATTCACCAACAGTGCCGCTGATTCTTTCATTTCCTCATCATCCGTATTCGTATCAATGACTTGTCCCGTGGCTGCGGAAATAGTGGGGCCTCGATACAGTCCATGCACGTTGCACCATTCATAGGCAGTCAATGTGGTGGCATTGGATGGCACCTCAAATTGGATTTGTGCAATATCGACATTGGATGGATTCAAGGATTGCATGGTCAAAATGGTGCCATTTTGGTCGACCACATAGACATCCGTGATCCAATGTGGTTCCTCGTTCAACAAATCTCTTGACGAACCCTTCATGACGTGATAGTTCCCCTCGACGCCCACAGTGACAGTGGCAGTTCCATTGTCGTGCAATTGAATGTACGGAGTGTGTTTGGTTCCTACCGTATTCCATATTTCAATCAATTATGAATGTTGTGGCAAGAAACGTCAGTGAGAATGCAAAACCCCAACAATAATAACAAAAAGAAAGCAGCTCTCGCACTTACCATCTTCTTCATCGTAGGGTTCCAATGAGTTGAAGGGCGGCAGTGATTGTCGCCTGACAAAATCCGCAGCAAAAGAATCAAACGCCACCGGGACGGGAGAATCCACATGGCACATCATGGAAAACTCCATGGCTGCAGATGGATCATCGCCCGCTCGTTCCACAGCCGCCACTGTTGTTGCGTTATCCACTTGTCCCAACAATGGCGTCTCCACGGTAGGACCCATCCAGAGTCCATGTAGATTGCAGAATTCAAATGCCGTCATTGCCGTGACATCCTCGGGGACCTCAAAGACCACCGTGGCGGGTGCCGCTTGATTGGGATCCATCGTCTCAACAGCAAAGATTTGATTGTTTTGATCTACCGCATAGATGTGTGTAATGAAATGGACCGTCGTGGGATTGTCACTGGCCACCATGGGATGATATACACCACCCACATCATCTCCATTGCCCACAATCACCGTGGCCAGTCGAGTGGATGCATTGAAGAAGGAAAAGGGAGTGTGCTTGGTGCCGTCTTCCACGTCAAACGGTCCATTGCTGCCCCATTCGTCCGTTTGTCGACGAACCAAATCTTGATGGACCGTCAGACAATAAACGTCTTGGCTACTGCTGCTAGCGTCATCTTGCTGTTGTCCGTGTACAGAACAAAACACGGTGCTCCATACCAGAAACAACAACAACAACCGAACCGCTGCGGACATGGCACTCTTTTATTATGCCTCACAAAGAAACTGCTAGCTAGCTGGAGCAATGCTGGAGCTGAATTATATTATGTCGGTAGGGTTGCTACTAGATTGGCAGTCCAAGGGTTTATGTATTCCTGAACAAGCAATGGTCGATTCAAACAGTGCGGTACATGCCGTGCCGTATTCACTCGTTATGCGTTCTTCGCTGATTCGATTCTGATTCAGGGTTTCCCATGCAGGATTGCTCTGTCAATCATGGTGGCACGGTGGCACGGTGGTGTGAAGGGTGAAGGGAGATTGTGGTCGGTGTCTCGAGGTGCCTAAGCAAGCTATTTAAAACCGGAACGAACCGAACCGAATTCTGAAAATCGATGTTACGGCTTCGAACCCTTTTAGTACGGTACCGGTACCGGTACGGTAGCAGGCAAACCTCGGAAACTTTCACGAAGAGCCACAGTTCCGGCCACAGCGACGTCGGGACGAACCCCTTCAAGCATAGAGGCGGCGAGCCGATGTTCCCATCGCAGAGCCCCTTGCCACTTGCTTTCCCGTCATCCTCTTGTGTGCCTCAGTGCATGTTTTATAAAACGTCAACACCGCCCCAATTCATCCAGTGGCTCCGCTTGCTTAGTGCATGATGGTTCAAGATAAGGATCGAATTTTTAAAATACAATGTGCTTGATGAAGATTGAATCTTTCGTCACTAGCTAGCCAGTCAACGACAGCGGCGCACTAGACCAGCTTCCAGGCACTGTTCAGGCTCATCCAGGTAATTCTCTTCTTCTGTCATGACCAGCTCCATCCCGTCCGCGTCCAGTCCAAGTTCCATTCGTAGTTTGGCACATGTAAGGCCCTCTTTTTCCACACGGAGGTTGAGATACAGAACGGTCGCAAGACTGTAAAAGGGAGGAGCCAGTGAGGGCACCAGCAAAACCAAACAGCGCAGGTGCACAAAGATACGGTAGACTTACATGCAGGATAGAGGCAAAGAAAGCAAGTTCCAAAACAAGTTCACCAAGGGAATCAGGCCCGCTAGGAAGTTCGTGGTGGCAAGCAAGAAAGTGGCAGAAAAGATAGTGCACGGAAAGATAGTGCAACGACGTCCTCTGGACAGCTCCCAGACACGGCCAACTACACCAGCTACAGTTGTTGAGCGTTCCAAGACAAGAGATGGTGGGGCCATTTGAAATGGAATCATCACATAAAAGTAGGCGATAGACCACACAGGAAAGAGGGCCAGAGCTAGAACAATCCCAACACTGTGGATGGCTTTATCAGATTGCTGCATCATACCAATGACAAGCACAGCCAATGCGGAACCCAGCAGGGCCATCCCAACGAGGGGAACCAACAAAACAAAGCCAAAACAATACAGACGGCAGATGTTTCGGATACCCAACCTAACCGCAGACCCCAATCTTGGCTGTTCACCACAATAAACTTCTGCAGTGGCACGGATGATTGCGGCTTCCGCAAGAAAGACGACCGGAGCACAGAGCCCAGCTGCAAGAGCAATCACAAATAGGGAACCAGTGGAGGGCTGGTCATCATCAGGTGTTTGACCACCAGCCTGGGATATGCTAATGATTGCGACCACGAGAGCCAAGAGTGGCAGGTAAAGTAGCCCAAGGGCGAAAAAGGTGCAGAATCTGGCAAGGCTCCCAAAGAGGATATCGAAAGCTCTCATAAGGGCTCGGTCTGCTTCCAGCACGGAGAACATGCGGTCAGCGCCAGCCCCTGTTGGGGGGGTTGGTTTCATCATGGTCGCGAGAGGAAAATCGTTGCCTTGGTTTAGGTTTTGGTTCAGTCACTTAGATTTTGTTTTGTTTTCCCTTGGTGTTGCGAGGGAACGAAGTCACTGAGGAAAGACAGAGAGACGTGTGTTTTGGTTTCCCAGGGCCGCCCATGATCACTGGCGTCACCGGTACCAGGTACGGTAGGTACGGTAGGTATATCTGAATACGTAGCTCGCAGCACAACTCGAGCCAACTCGAGCCAGCCTCGAGACTGACCTGAGCAACTCAACCTTCCTCCAACAGATCTCCAAGCATTTTTAGTGTCACGGGTACGATACGCGGTAGTTCAGTACCCGTACCGTACATGCTTGTGTCGAAACCTGGTCGCCGAGATGAAAATTGGTTTAGAAGGTTCAGTATTAGTAGTTTCATGTTAGTTTTTGTTGTGGGGGCTTTGGTGGCAGAACGAAGATTCCCCCTCGTTCCCCGAGAAGAAGAGAGACGTGACCTTTGGTTTGCCATGACCGCCCGCGATCAAAGGCATTATTGGGATACATGGCTCGCAGCGTAACTCGAGCAAACTCGAGCAAATTCGAACGACTCAAGTCTTCTCGAGCAAACTCAAGAATCGAATCGAATCATCTGGGCGAACTCGACCTTACTACTGGTACCTGGTACCGTAGTACTCTCCAAGCATTCAAGCACCTTTGCTACCGTACTCGCAAGCCGGTTGTGTACGACTGTACCGGTAGTGTACCGGTACCAGTACAACGTACCGAACTACGGTACCGTTCTGTACATGCTTACTGTGCTGCCGGCTGCGTGGGTGAATCCTGCGCTCCTGAACGACAAGCAACGCCTGGTACCGGTAATGTACATGTACCTTGCAGGCCTGGTGTCCGTGGTGTCAAACTTATTACAATTTAGTTCAGCAGTTTGGTGCACCTTCGAGATCCTCTTACCGAAGCTATTGCGATGGATCCTCGCATGTGGCATTCATTATGTTCTTTGCCAGACCCCATTCAACGGAAGACTTCGCAGTTGGATTGATGGTACCGGTAGGCTTTTGAAACGGGGGTCTAGATAGACTGCTTCCCACACTTTGTTATGAATGCGGCCGCTTCCACAGAGCTTGGTTTGGTTCCATTGAAAGCTGAAAATGTTGACCGCCGTTGCTTTCATTTTGTCATTGGCTCTCGCCCTTGCTTCTTGGACCCCTGTCAATGGACAAGACATTGTCCGAGTCGAGGGACGTCGTTCCAACTTGATAGACGTATCGCGTTTGGGGGATGGCTACGATCTCTATGATACCAGTCATCTCGATGTACAGCTTCTGCCGGGAGGACCTGTATGGATGATTGAAAAGTTGCGGGGTAGATCCGATGGCCTCATTCCCTTCCATGGAAAGACTTCTGACGAAAAGATCACAGCAGACTTTTATAAGTACATTGCGCCGGATGGAGACCAAATACTCACTGGTCATGTCCATGACAACAAGAACAGTGTTGCCTACGACATTTCGAGGGACGAAAGTGGGCAATACGTTGTCAAGACAACCAGACCCAAAGATGTTCCCCATCCCGGCAGTCCACGAATTACGAAGACAACAAGAAATAGTCGCGAACTAGAAGGCACCAGTTCAGTTGATCCTGTGCCCGAACAAGATGTATCAGCAGTGACAATAGACCTCATGGTCATTTGGACTCAAAGTATGGCCTAGCTAAGCTTTCCTTTCTTGATTGATACTCTGCTCAAGCCACTATTTCACACTTTTCTCCCTGCTCCTCACTCAGACGCTGAGTGCGAGCTCTCTAAATTGCCTTTGGGTTGTGCGGTCACAAGCACCACGGAAAACACCATGATTGCGGTGAGTTCTTGCTTCTCGGCTGCACAGTTCCATTGTTTTCAACCTTCTAATCAAAGACTGGTCGCTTTCCTTGCGTTCATTGGTGCTTATCATGCAGCGAGTCGACGCGCTTGTGGCAGAAACCAATCAAATCCATGTCAATTCAAACACGGGCGTCACGTACAGCCTTGTTCACCGGCAACGAGATACCAGTGGCTACAATTTTCCGGAAAACGATATCAATGCTGCCCTTGACGACCTTACGTTCAACAATGGCACTGATGATGGCACGAAGCTAACTTATGTGAAGGTACTGAGGTAAGCAATTTCATCGTTTCCTGTACGTTCGTACTCCATGGACTTGGCGCATAAAGACTAGACAGGACACTCACATGCTGTGCTTGGCAAATATCACGCACCAACAGGGAAACTCACGGGGCGGATCTAGTGCACCTCTTGATTGAATATCCAGACCAGAGTCAAGTACCTGGAATTGCCTTTATGAACAATAATACAGAGGCAAAGGATCAAGAGTTGGGCTTTGGCGTGACCCGATGGCTAGACTTGGGAAACTACGTTTTCGCTCATGAGCTGGGTACGTATAGTCCAGTCTGAAGGCAGACAAAGTAGCAGACAACAAGAACAACTCACCTTTTGCTTGGCACGGAATGTGAACAGGTCACAATATGGGGTGTAAGTTGACGCTGTGGTGGCTTTGATAGATTGACATATCCCACACGCTTCTTGTCTAACTTTAGAACAAACATATTCCACGCAAAGGCAATCACGACCGGGGGACGAACGTAGACCAAGGAAATCCTGGTGGTTGTACCGACCCACAGACCAATACTGGGTATGTACATCCTGACGGAGATTATTTCACCGTCATGGCATATGCATGCAGGACAGGCCTTTGTGGTTATTCTGGTACTGGTGATTGTCCTATTATCCCCTATTTCTCAGATGGTGGGACCTACGGAGGACCCCTCAACAACAATGTTGCCGAGATCAGAAAGAATAAGAAAGTCATTGCAGCTTTCAGAAAGACACCTGGGTCAACCCCAGCTCCAACTGCAGCTCCATCCCCAATGCCCGCCTGCAGCTCACTTGCTGCTGCTGTTGGTTATTATTTGTTTTCAGATTGGTTTTGGTAGGAAGTCTCTTCAGCCAAGGCTGGGGGGAGCCATGTGATGACCGAGGTGTACATGTCCCATCTCTTATGCAGTAAAACCAAGCAATGCCATTTGGGATACAGGTAGAATCATGATAGAAAGAAGAAGAAGGCAACCAATCACAAAGGGAGGAGGATCACCATTGCAATATCATAGTTCCAACCATCTGGACAACTTGATTAGATCTACTAGGTGAGGTACATAGATTGCCGTGTCATTCCCAAAACAAACACCACAGAAGTTCAGAAGTTTATTCTCTCCGCGAAATGAGTTTTGCCGGTGCACGGGAGCAGCTCGACGGCTCCATGGCCGCGGTGCCACGGCGGTGAAGCTTGAAAGCGCAAAAGCTGCACAGAAACCCGCCTAGTTTCACGCGAATACCAAGGGCATCTATACGTTAAATCTATGGAATCAAAAAGAGTCTCATCCATAAGTACCGTAGACTGTCTTCTGTCTACTCACCTAAGTAAAACTAACCATCCAAAATTTGACTTTGCCTTGACTGATTGCACCATAGTAACGTACGGTACCATTTTTTAAGAGATCAAGGGATCCAACAAGCTTACCGTAGAATCACGTAGGCGTTGGTGACGATGTAAAAGAGGCATTCTTGGATTCTGGCTTCGGTCGTCACGCAGTTTCTTGGAAGCGCTTCGTTTGCTAAGCTTGGATCCTTCCTTGACACACACATAAAATGCCAAAGGAGCTCATTATTATTCAGTTTTCTGGGCCGCCAATTAATTAAAAAACAATCGAGACAATACCAAGATGGGCGGTGACGAAGAAGCGCAGCCAGAGCCGGCGGTGAAGGAAATGACGGAAAAGCCCCGTCGGTGGGTGATGGATCGCTGCGACGGGAAGAGCCAAATACAGAAAGAAGAATTGGGACGCCCCTTTTGCCCCTTGTGCTGGCCTCCTCCTTGCGTCAAGTTTCTGCCGGATCTCTTTGAACAGAATGCATGTTGTGAATTCTTTGGGAAAATTGGTGTCTTTCCAGAAGATGATCCCCTCACTCGCATTTGGTTAATGCGAAAATCCATGGTGATCCATCTGGCTGGTCTGATTATGAGTATTCTGGCAGCCACGGCCATCACGTCGAATCAAAGTCTCTTGCAAAAATTTCCCTTTAGCGATGGAGTCATCACTGGGTATGTGGCGGACATCAACATTCAGCAAGTCATCATGAAGGTTGGTCTGACTACTGTTTTCGTCCAGGACGATTATCTTGGAGCGCGTACCCAAGAATTTGATGAGCTTTGCACTGGGACCACTTTGGGAATCCCATTGACTTCTCAAGCAGAATGCAATACCTGCAAAGAAGCTAGTGCCGGATTGGTGACTTCGATGATCTTGGGTGTTATCACCTACATCCCCACCATTGCTTCCAATATCAATCGATCCTACTACAACTACGACGTCAACTGTCAAAAAGTATTTGGCACTGTGATCGCATTCTTCAACATGATCATGTCGCTCTATGGATGGCAAGTCTATAAAAATGCTTGTTTTGCTACATTTTACGAAGGAGAAGTTGCCTTGCCCGTCCTTGTCCCAGTTGGATTCAACGCCACGACCGTATTCGACCCGCAACCCTTCATTGCAGCCTTTCAAAGTCTCAATGCCACCTGGATGGAGGCAACCGTTGGGGTCGATCCCGAACTTTGGGATGTCGGCAAGATCAAGGACGCCCTCGTCGCGGCTAATAATGGAACCTTCTTTGACAGTGACGTGGAGACGGAAGTTCGTGTCGCCCGTGTTCTGTTTGATTGGAAGCCGGGTGTTGGATTGATTCTGTGCGTCGTGGCTACCTTTCTCAAAATGATTGATATCCTCAATCACTCTGTCATTCGAACACCCAGTATTACACGGGATTTGCAAGAACAACTGGAATACGAAAAACTATATGGTGGCGATGAGGCGGAAGCGAATGCTGATGATGAGGACGAGGAAGCCAATGACAAGAGCAAGATTGATGCATAAGAAATGACAACAATTGATACATCGTTTGACACGACAACCACGAATTGGTAGGAATTGGTTCATGTTTGTGTTGGATCCCACCTGTACAAGATACGAAATTTCCACTCTCTTTTATTCAATCCGCCCAAGAGGGCTATTGTGTGCGTAGGCAACTAACTATATTCATGGAAAACAGTAACATTCGTAATGAGATTTCATGACACTTACGGGAAGCATCATCTGTTCTATCTAGGATTTCCAAAATTAGTTTTCTATTGCTTCATGGCCCCACCTCTCATTATTGTTTCAATGAAAAGAGACCATTTTTGTTGTTGTGTATTGTACAAGCACATACATTGGAACCTCTCCTGTAAATCCAAGTTCCACTGTTTGCTCCCAATGTGGAATGAGTCGATTTGTCAAGCTGTAGCCAAGCAATGCCGGACTTCCAATAACACGCTGGAATGTTTTGTCTTCTCCATAGCATTCTGCATAGAACTGTAGTGTATTGTCAATGTTACTGCAACTAATACAAAAGAGAGTCGGCATCTTCCCAATCATCTTCAACAGATCTTCTTCGTCCCGTTGGAACTTTGCGTGGATGTACTCAAGCCTTGGCTCAAGTGAGCCTGAGATGCTATGACTGAAAACTTGGGCAATGCGTGAAACCACCTTTTTGGCTGCTCTGTAGCTGAGCCGATTCACAAACCAGTTGAGTTTTGGCTCCAGATTCTTCTCAATGCTCATTACCAAAATAGGATTGGGAACTTCCAAATTATCTTGGCAGCATCACTCTCAGTCAAGTCCAGGCTTGATTGTAGCCACTTGATCCACGAGCATTCAAACCCCTTTCACGTCGGTCCTGTCTTGCCGTCGGCGTTGTTATTGTCGTCTATGCATTCTTCGAGTGGCGGAGACTTTGTGTCCATCAAATATTCCAGTTCACCAAAGTATCGCTGAGGGGTAGACGGAACGGCCAGCTTGCTTTTCTGCCCCCAGAATCCGGTTCGTTTGAGCACCGTGATATTCTCCCTGATTTGTATTTGACATGCCAATCGGAGCTTGGTATTGTTGTGCAAGTTGTGTGGTGGTAGGTTCAGACGGAACTCCTCCACATCATTGCGTTCGGGTGGATCCACGATGCCCTCCACAATTTCCACGGCACATGTGCCACACGTTCCCAGACCACGGCAATTGATCAGATTAGCTCGCCCATTGTGTGGACTGGCAATATTGCGGCGCAATGCCGCTGTCCGAAGCGTTTCGCCACCGTAGGCATCAAATGATAAAGATGATTCGGCTTGGTCGGTGGTCTGAAAAGAGACAGTGTGCCTTGCAAGTCTACCACTATCGGCATCACACGAGGAAGTACTGCTGTTGGTATCTGATTTTCCAACAGCTTTTTGTACGCTGCTGTCAGGTGCTGATGATAACAGACGGATGCGGGAGAAACTGGAGGTCGCCGCAGAAGATACCGCAAAGGAACGTGCTCCAGGGATCGAAATGCAGGCTTGCACTAGCAAAATTAGCATCATTACAGTCATATTGAAGCGCCGTCGCATAAAAGTCACTAGCTTGCTAGTAGCTCTAGGATGTCCTTGCCAACCTCTCTGCATCTGTATCGGTCCTGCCCAATCTTGAATGCATGTTGCGTGCGAGTAGCCCTCTTTCTCGTCACTGTTGTCGCTTCCAGTGTCAAATAAGCCCACAAGGCTGGAATTCGTAGCTAGGAAAGCCAAGGACGCGCGGGAACACAAGAAAACAGGGAACACGTACCGTATGCAAAGAAACAATTTGTGAATAGATTCAATTTGGCTGACCACTTGTTTACTGTGCTGCTACCGGGTGCCCTAAACTGATAACATGGGGCAGAGAGATTTGACCCCACCAGCCAGGGAAATATAATAAAAGTCAACATATGAAGTTAAGGGACATGGGTCGCCTCGTGATTGACCCATCCTCGTTGCTGCCATCATCAGCACTGCTACTAGCTCTGCTACAACCATTGTCTATTTTAACAGTGCCCGAATCAAAACAATGTCAGACTCAAATGCAATTCCTATAACTAAAGTTGCTTCAGAAAACAGCTGCAAGTTATCTGTTTTTTAATAATGATCAGTAATTATTGGCAATAAAACTAATTAAACTAGTAAAAGTAACAAAATAAATAAATAATAAAATAAATAGATTATAACAATACAACTAATTTATGTATATTAAAATATTTTCTGTTATATACACAAGTTTTTCTACAAACTAATATTATTCAGAAATATTAAAATACATCTAAAATAAAAAGATAAATACTTTAATTCTCTATTTTAAATATTCTTAATTGAGAAACCAAAAAACAATTAATAATGATCTATTAAAATCATTCATGTCGCCAGTGGGTATACCCAAAGGGGACCCCATACCCACTGGCTAAGTCTAATTAAATTGAAATACATCATTGTGAGTATTCTATTAAATATCCAAAAAGTCGTGCAAAAATGTCGGTAAAAAAGTCGTTAAAATGTCGCGTAAAATCGCAAAATGAAAAATGTCGCGTAAAATTGTCGTGCAAAAATGTCGGCAAAAATGTCAAAAATGTCGTGCAAAAAGTTCGTGAAAAATGTCGTGCAAAAAGTTCGTGAAAAATGTCGTGCAAAAAGTCGTGTAAAAATGTCGTGCAAAATGTCGTGTAAAAATGTCGTAAAAATGTCGTGTCAAAATGTCGTGCAAAATTGTCCGTGCAAAATGTCCGTGCAAAATTTCGTGCAAAAATGTCGTGCAAAATTTCGTGCAAAATTTCTGCGTAATTTGCTAATTACCACACAGCGTAACTTTATCGAATTAATTTTAATTCATATGGAATTGCAAAGTTATCTTAAATTTCACGTAATATAGTTGTATCCGTATGTCATGCAGCTGATTATCGCATAATACAGGCAGCTACATTCTTATTATGAGAGCTAGATTCTCGCGCTAGATTCTCGCGCGTTTGAGTTAGTTTCGCGTTAGTTATATTACTTGCTTGTTGTTACAGCTCGATTCTTATGTTTTTGAAATAATACTCGCATATTTCACTTTGTTGTTAAGCAAAATTCTATGTAGAGATTTTTTTTTGGCACACACGTAAGAGAATATATTCTCGTCGCGTTTTTTTGCTTTATTGTCTTGTGAATTACATTGGTTGTCGTATCATACTTGTGCACGAGCAAGAGCTATATTCTTCATATTTTAGATTTCTCGTATTATGTAATGCAAACTGACTTCAATGTCGCGTGATAAATTACATTTTTCGTGTTAAGCTAGACTTTTGTGTGTTAGAGCTGAATTTTTGCTTTTTTCGCGCATTAGGGCTATGTCTTACATTTTCTTGTGTTACAGCTAATTCTTCTTGCATGTTAGAATTATATTCTTGCGCATTTTAGATTGTCTTTATGCAAATTTCAGTTCTCTTTCTAAATGCACACACGCGTTGCAGAGCTACTTTCTCATATGTTTGTGTATTAGATGCATGAAAAATACTTTTTCTCGCGTTTTATTTGTGTCTATATCATGACAGAGCTAATTTTGGTTTTTAAGTAGCTTCCTTTTGTAGTATTAGAGTGCCGCTCTCGAATGTCAGTTTTGACTAGTAATTCTGATGAGTATTTTACTTTGTTGTTGTATTCTATTGAGTCTCTTTCTAGTACACACGTAAGAGAACTATTCTCGTGTGTTTTATTAGCTTTATTATCATGTGAAATACTTTATCTTTGTTATGGTGTTACACGAGTAGAGAGCTAGACTTTCGCGCGTTTTAGCTTTGGAAGTCTATATCATCGTGCAATTTGGCTTTGGTGTCAAGGAGTTGTAATAGAACTACATTTTTGCATGCTGTAGAGTTTCTGAATCATCTGTACGTTAAAAGTCTACTACATTTTGGCGTTTGTGTGTTAGGATTACATTATCACGTTTTTTAGATTTGTTGTTGTAGCATATTAGAACTGTGTAAATTTCTGTGCTGGTGAGACGCTCACAGAACTATTCCAATGTATGTTAGCTTTTTGTTGTCTGTGAAATGCATTTATTCGTGTCATAGTGGAACTTTTGTCTGTATTATGCCATGCAATTTAGCTGCCAAGCTATATTTTTGGTGATAGAAGTATACATCATTGCGTTAGAGTTACATTTTTCGCGCAATAGAGCTACATTTCGCGATTAGAACTATATTTGTGGGTCAGAGCTGTGATTGATGTGTTAGAGCTATGTTCTTACGTGTTAGAATTATCTAAAATTTTGTATAGAGTCGCGTAATGTTGTCGTGCAATGTAGCTATATAAATATTTTGTAAAAACGTCAAAAACATCATATTTTACATTAAAATGAATTCATTTTTGTATTTTTATTTTAGAAAAAATTATTTAAAGTCCCAGTACAACAGTAAAATAACGACTGCAACAGTCAACAAAAACAACGTTTTGCAATTGGAATATTTGCAATACACAGTTCACCCCCCAGCTTGAGCAGCTACAGATAGCTGGAGTAGGTATACATCTGCTTAACTCTCAATCGTTTGGCACCAAGCCTTGCAGCTGCGACGTTCTAGCAGCACTTTATTCCACTCTTTTTGAGCCTTCCAAACAGCAGTTAGATGCCCCATACAATTTTCTACAGTACCAAAAAGCACCTTATTGTTTTACGCGCACTACTTACAACCAAGGCAGCTACTGACTTCCCGCTCATATAGATGTTGAGGAGGGCTACAAGCTTGATCCATCCTGCACTGGTTGTACGCAAATACCATATGAGCCTCTCACCCATTGCTTTCGTTATTTGCTAGTCTACTTTTTGTTAGCTCCTGGTGAGTCGAATTTGTTATTTACATTGTTTTGCTTTTGGACTCTCACTGGGCCCCATATCCCAGCTCGAATGGCTTCTGGCCGGCCGGGGACGCTCGCGCCGCCGATATACCTAGGAACCCATCCTCTGGCTTTGACCAACTTTCAAGTATTGAAGCAAAAGCCCATGGAAGAATCGAATCCATTGATTATTAGGAGCGCATTGAGTTGGTGAAAGATCTCTTGCATCTTTCACCCTACCGTACCTTGCTCGGACAGCGAAGCATGGCTCCACATTGCTTCAAAGCCGGGAAAAAGGAAACTCTTGGAAACCTACACAAAACTACAAAACTACTTGTTTCTAGTACGTTCTTTACTTGCCTCGTGTAGACATTAATAAAACCACGCTAGAAGTGCCTCGATACCTCCTAGTCCACTGTCCTTCGAGCTGTGCAATTCCTTTCAAAGCAGGACCATAGATGGAAAATCCAGTGCAACGTCTGAACTACCAAGAGCACGAGAATCAGGAAGTCGACACGACCTCCAAATATGTACTGTATGTACCGGTACCTTCATCAATGCTGTGACTGCGATCTGCACGGGTACTTAGACTTCCACAATAACTTTTCTCTCTCCGGCCCCGTTGTGCTTGGTCACGACATGTATATTGGGCACGGAGCGATGTTCTTCCTGCTGCCGGCCACGACTGTACATTCCCAACAGCGGAGCGGCTTCGAAAAAGACGGATCGACGTGGACTGACAGAGGCTTGCGCGTTGACAATCTGTTTGGTAAACATCTTGGTGGGGACCTCGGTATCCTCTTCGATAGCGACAGACTCCAAATCCGACAAGGAGGAGGAAGAAGAAGAGGACGACAGCGAAGCATGATCATCATCTTGCGCATTGTCTTGGTTCTTTTTGGAAACGTAGGGCACTAGAGCAGTGGAAGGTTGCGGCGTTTCCACTGTTGCGGGCACGGGTGAACCGCGTTTGTTGTAGAACTTTTGTACCGTGGAGAGCGCACTGCGTACATTTTCCACCTTGGTAGGACTGATTGTTGGAGCTGCTGCCTCCTTGGCTGGGAGTTTCTGGACAGCTTCGGTTGTCAGTTGGTGACCTGGGTGATGACTTTCCTGGTTCTTCTCTTGATCATTGATGGTACTGTCGGCCTCTTTCAAGGTATTCTCCTTGAGAACAATGGCTGTAGTTGTCAGAGTTTCTGATTTGGTGGTGACAGTGCCGGCCAGTACGTTGTCTGCAAAAGTCAGACTATTGCCGTGTGGCTTGGCTTCGGGGGATCGCCATGTGATAGAATGGCAAGGCAGTGGAGTCACTGGTAGTAACCAATCTTCCATCTCCTCGCTGTCCACAGAAGAATCGTCCATGCTGGGACTCGGCTGGATCAACTCCAATTTTGGGAGTGTCTTGCGCGTGTAGCTGGTCCTGTTCTTCATGGTAATGCCTGCTGCCGGTACTACTGGGGTATCCTTGTTGAATTGTTGTTGTTTTTTCTGCCGTTGCAATCGTCTCTGTTGTTGATAGGTTTGAATGGAATAGTACTGCTGCCATCGCAAGTATTGTCGTTGCGCTTCTCGGCGTTCATTGGCTTGACGAGCTGCTTCCTCGGATGTGTTGGCCCAAAACTTGTTCATATCCACCAATGATGGATCCTGGCGGAGAACACTCTTTCGAGGACCCTTTTTGGTAGATGGACGTCGTTTGGTGGAAGAAGAATGCTTCTTCCTATTCACTGGTTGATGCGACGACTTCTCCTTCCTATCATCTTGTTGTTGTTGTTTTCTCGTGCCATGGACTGCTGTTGGTGTTGTTGGTGATGGAGACTTGGGTTCTTTTCTTCTCTCCTTGGCCATTGCTGATATGTTGAGTTTCTCTTTTAACGGCTCCTCCAGTTGCAGCACTGCCACGGATCGAGGGGATTGACAATCGCCAGTTCTTCCACTTCTCTCTGCAATCTCCTCAAGAAACGTTACGTGGGTCCTGACTGTGGATTCCTGGTGATGAAAACCCCGCTCGGACTTGGACCTGGCAGGAGTAGCAACAACATGCGAATCGTTGATGATGGCATCATCTGCTGCTCTTGAGCTACGACGGAGAAGAAATCCTAGAACCATGGTAGAATCGAATCTCAATATCTGGGTGGCGGGGTCTGGTACTAGTATCTGCGAGGGATGATTGTGGGAAGAGCCGAGAGAGAGTTGGATAACTTTGTTATGGGGAATGGTCGTCACGTGATCCTGTTTGGGTTTGAAACACCAATTTCCCGAGAGCCTTCCCGAGCTTTCCTCAAAAATGAGCCTGCCAGCAGCTTTGTCGGAATGTGTTTACCAGTAAAATACCGGTTTCCACATGAAATATCGGCTCTCGAATCCTGCCGGCACACTTCAAAACTTGTTAAATCTCTGATAACCACAAGTAGGAACCAATTGGAAGAGCACCCCCGCCCCGCCAAGATCCTCCGCTGTCTGGTTGCTACCGCTATGACATAATATGCCATACTAGTACCGGTACCGGTACGGACCCTAAACTTTACTAATTGATGCCGGGGCTTAGAAAGGGAAAAACCAGGAGGAGAATCGTTGCTCTCCGCTTTCACACCCCAAGCGTTTTAGTTGGGTTCTCGGGGCGTCCTGGAGTGTTTCACACCGTGTCAAATGGCGTCCCGATAGGTACCGGTACGGGTTTTCTCATCACCAAAAAGGGTATCAAAAACCAACATCAAACAGGCCTAAAAGACAGGATCCTTCCCGTTCGACCAGGACGTCCAAGCAAAGAGAGGACTGAAGAAGCGTCCACAGTATTCGACCGTACCGTGACGGGATCTGTCGCACCTCCGTGCAAGGTGGCATCAGCAACATCTACGTACTGTACCTGGTACCGGTACTATCGGCACCGGTTCGCACCTCCTTGAAAGAGAGGGATTGTAATGGAACTTTTGGTTCTACGTCGTACGGTATCTAGTACCGGTACTGGTACGGTGTGCCGGCATTACTAGTCATATGGATGGTCACGCCCAACCAAGTGGTTCAGTCATCCTCCTCCGCGTTTCGACTGGATCTACCGGCACTATCGTCCCTCCGCTGGCTGCGGTTCCTGCAATCTGGGGCGTACTATACCGGTACGTAGATAGGTACAACGAAGCTGACTCTTGTGAGCTTCTACCGCCAAGTTCACGAGCAATTGCGGGAAATGATGAATGCGAAACTGAAAGCATTTTGCGAATTTTTGCTACATATTTCATAAACATACAGTAATTAATTAAAAATTGATTAAAATGATCAATTGAACGATAAGCATGTCTCAATTTGGAAGAATGACAAAATAATCATTTCGATCATCCCCGCAACTCGTGGTCGTGTGGATGATTTTTCCTCACCAAAAACCTGAGCCCATCATTATTCCAACGACAAGAGCAATGTTGATGATCGAGCGAGTGCTCCTCTCCACTCATTGCTCGGACGTCTAGCTAAAGTGAGAACTAGGATTGTGGCAAAGGCAACTTGATCAGTCTGAACAACGTTGCACGTAGATCGCATTGCTACAACGAAAGACGTTCGTAACACCTCAACCAAGCATCAGAACTTTAAACGTACCGCAAGTCGAGGCCCGGGATGAAACTTTCTGCTTGGTGCTTTCTTTGTCTGCTGCCGTCAGCACTTGGTGGCAGAGAGAGCAAAGAAAGAAAAAATCCGACTAAAAAGATCAAGGAATATGGAGGAGTTGATTTCAGCAATGTGATGTACGCGGAAACTAAACTTCCTGTGAACTCGACAAACGTCACCTTGAGCCCCTTGGATGGGAACGAAACTTTGTCATCCGAATCAACGAAAGACCCCATAGAAGGAAGCATGGTGACCTGGGACGAGGAAGAGACTGATGCGCCGAGTCAAACCCCGACCACATCAGAGCTCACAGAAGCCCCAACTACGGAGCCAACTGTTGAACCGACGGCAGAACCCACACTAACACCAACCACTTTGGAGCCCACCATCGAACCAACAACGTTGGCACCAACAATCAAGCCGACGCTCAAACCAATATCCTCAGCACCGACGGTAGCTCCTTCGGCAACACCAACTTCAGCAACGCCAGTCCAAACATCTTCCCCAACCAAGCGAGGTCTACCTGCACCGTTTCAATGCGGCTTGTGTCCAGACTATCGATTTCCCGGAGCTCACGAGAAAATTTTTGCGAATGGAGCCATCTCAGCGACATGCCTTGAGCTCGATGTCATGTTGACGTCTACGGAGGAGAACGAAGAATGCATCGAGCTGATGGACCAAATAGGATACGAAATTGACGTTTGGAGCTTTTGTGAATGCCCTGGTATTGATCCTCCTGGGCTATGCGAGCTGTGTCCAGGTGTTTCTAAAGCCGAAGTCCCCCAAAATAAAATGGTGGATGGGCTTTTCTGCTCCGAATGGGCTCATTACGCAGAGAACGCGCTGGACGATGCGTATTGTGCCAACCTGCAGCAAAGGGTTGGCACAGCGGGGACGTGCTGTCCATACCACTACGGCTTGCAGACCTTGCAAGTCTACGCAAAAAAGAACCCGTGAAATTTGCAAAGCAGAGCATTTTTGATAAAGCAGACGTTGCTAAAATGTAGAATGTAATCGGGTGTACAAGACTATGTTTCCTATGTATGTTGTCTATGATTGTCTATGCTGCGAGGAAGCTACTCAGTGACTGGAACTGGATGCGCTCCGTTCGGCTTTGTGAGTAGCTCGTCGTCGCTAGCTTTCGATGACGGTTCTGCGTCGTTCTCGTCATCGGCAAATACATCTGACACCATGTCACGACATGACTCTTCCATCTCCACACGTAACACTTCATCGTCTTGATCACGGCTGATTGCGACTGTGTAAGTCACCAACTCATCCACGTTGCATTCTTCCGGTACTTCCCCTTCCAAATCAAAACTTGCGGTTCCGCCAGATGTTACGAAATTCTTCATGACTGCTGTGCTAATGGCATCTTCCAAGATTCGTTGGACAGCTCGTCTCATTGGACGTGCACCAAACTGAGCCGCTGCTTTGCTACCTTCCTTGACCATCTGTATGAGCAGTTTTGGCTGGACCACAACATTTATATTCCTGTCAAGCTTTGTCCGTACTGCAATGTCAAATGCCATTCGCGAAGCAATCTCGGCCAGTTCATTTTCCGTCAATGGCTGAAAGATGACAACGTCGTCGATACGATTCAGAAACTCGGGCTTCATGAAAGATTCAAGTTCCGCCTGGACTACGTTGGACAGCTTGGCATACTTGGGTCTTCCATCCCCGTCAGGGGCAATGCCATTGTTTTCCTTGCCCTCTTGTTTGGTCAGTTGCAGCACTTTGCGACTTCCAATGTTGGAGGTCATGATGATGATTGTATTCTTGAATGACACAGTTCGCCCCTTTCCGTCAGTTAGGATTCCATCGTCCATGACTTGCAGCAAAACATTCAGAACATCAGGATGCGCTTTCTCGAGTTCGTCTAGAAGAATGACACTGGGTAATGGTTTTAGAGACGATATCAAAAGATGACAAAAGAGAGCATGCGAGAATTCCTTCTTACCTGTGTGGCGCGCGACGCACCGCCTCTGCGGATACAAGGATTCGATTCGGAAGGTTCGTTTAGAATTGTGAGGAGATACCGGTAAATGGTGCATTGCATAAGAAGAAGGGCGAAAGTAATATCCTACCTGTCAGTTGTCCACCTTCTTCGTAACTGGAACAAGCAAGCCTGTTTGTGAGGGTGGCGGCAAAGAGGGCAAATGGAGCAGCAACCAACGCCTCTTGCACTTACCCAATGAAGCCTGGGGGTGGGCCAGTCAACCGTGACACGGTGAACTTTTCACCGTACTCAGACATGTCAATACGAATCATACTTCGTTCAGAGCCAAAGTACGTCTCTGCCAAGGTCTTGCAGAGTTCCGTTTTGCTGATACCATGGATGCAACAGGAGGAACAAAATAGTGTAAGGCAAGCGCCTTCTTCAAACCGACTCCATCGTTGTCACCATGACAGTGCTCGTACTTACCCTGTTCCAGTTGGCCCGGCAAACAAAAATGAGGAAATGGGTCGTCGTGGATCTCGGACTCCCGTCCGGGCCCGTCGAATAGCCCGCGCTACGGCAGTCACGGCACGCTCCTGTCCTTTGACTCGTTCCGCCATGCTTTCCTCGAGTCGTTCGAGTTTTTCCGTTTCATCCATTTCCAGAGCACCGACGGGAATGGTCGACCATGTCGACACGATTTCCATAATCAAAGCTTCATCTACCACGGGAGCAGGTTCGTTGGGGACTCGTCTTAACGTAGCCAATGCTCCGGCTTCGTCGAGCAAATCTACAAAAGGATGGATGGAATGTGAGGACATGGATATGCCAGCATAAAACGAACAAACTGCGATGAATGTATGAATACACGTACCAATCGCCTTATCGGGCAAAAACCGATCTGCAATGTAGCGATCCGACAATCGCGCCGCGGCTTCGAGACTGTTTGGTTCAAACTCGACGCGATGATGACCCCGATAAAACGGCAAGAGTGCTTCCAATATTTGTACCGTTTGTTCGACGGATGGTTCCTTGATTAGTACGGGTTGGAATCGTCGGTCCATGGCCGGATCTTTGGCAATGAATCGATTGTATTCGGTAATGGTGGTGGCCGCCACGACTTTCAGCTGTCCTCGCGCCAGATAGGGTTTGAGTAGATTGGCGGCATCGGTCCCTCCTCCATCGGTCGCTCCGGATCCCATGAGGGTGTGCATTTCATCGAGAAACAAAATGGTGCGAGAACTGGATCCATCCACAATTTCTTGGATAATCCCTCGCAGTCGTTCTTCAAAGGCACCCCGGTATTTGGTCCCGGCTACCATGGCGCTGGTTTCGAGCGATACCATTTTGTACCCCTTGAGTTGTACGGGGCAATTTTCACCCGATACGAATCGTTGTGCCAATGCTTCGGCAATGGATGTTTTTCCCGTTCCAGCTTCGCCAATGAGACAGACATTGTTTTTGCGTCGACGCAAGAGAATGCGCATACATGCTTGAATTTCTTCGTCTCGTCCATGGACGACATCCAGTTCGCCGTCTTTGGCCATTTGTGTGAGATCGGTACCGTATTGTTCCAAGAGTGTCATGTTGGTATTGTCGGCCGCTGCAGTGGCTCCACCTCCTGTGGGCGCCAGGACATTATTATCCTTGTTGCCCGCTTTTGTTGTTTTTTGTGTCGTATCGTTATTATTAGTATCTTGTTTTGGATTTTTCTTGGCATCCATAAGTGCCAAGAGTAGATCCTGACAAATATCTTCTCCTTCCAGCGTGGCATCAATGTGGTATAGCAATTCCATGGCTTCACAGTCATCTCCCCGTGTGGCGGCATAGGTTTCTCCATCAATTTCTTCGTAATTGAGCAATGCCAAGAATACATGTTCGGCATCAATTTCGTCGGCTCCCATTTGTTGGGATATCCGTCCGGCGTCAAAGAGCCGTTCTTGCAAATACGTCGAGTAGGGCAACTGGACATCGGCCGACGTGTCTTTGAAATCGGCCAACGTCAATGTCTTGATGGTTCCTCCGGGTGTATCTTGCAGGTAGTTGAGTGTGCGACGGACCGTTTGCCACTGAATATTGTATTTTTGAAAGGTGGACGCGGCATTGCCGGGATGTTCGCACAAGCCCAATAGCATGTAGCTGGCATCGATTTGTTTGCGTTCTGAAATTTTGGCTTGTTCTTGAGCGACACTCAGTGCCTGGAGACAGTCTTCGGAGAGACGCGTAAATACCACATTGAGACTGGTGGTAGATGTTTTGGTATGTGTGGACTGTGGTTGTCTCGTTTGGTGTACTCCTTGGATGGTACTGGGAGGTGCAAATGCCGATGCTGGAACTACCAAGAGGAGGAGGAAGAGGGGTATCCTCCACAGTGGTTGACGAAACATTTTTCTGAGCTAGCTGTAGCTGATTTTTTTGAGCTGTGGCTGCTCTTCTTTCAATAGATGGAATAATGATAAAGATGCTGTTCATCGGCTCATCTTTATTTTCTCACTCACACACACAGAAGCACAAGAAATGAAAGACACGTTGACTTGACAAGGTTTTTCAATGGCGACGACAGCTGTTGTTTGCGTTGTTGGCATCACATACCGTACTACATGTAGTACATGGATCTTTTCTCAATGACGTCAGTCTCAATTTTCAAAAGCAAAAATGAATTGATTTCTGCGCTCCTTCCTTCTCGTGTCTTGGTCTTTGCCTTTTCAATAGCTGTACCAGAAAATAGTCCGCAGTCATCATTGGCAAGCCATGATGATGTTGGGATCCTCATCAATACTGCTATTGGCAGTGGCTTTCGTTTCTTCTGGTCACGTAGTCCAAGCATGGGTTCCCTCGACCGTTTCCCGTGTCAATCACTGTGGTCATTTAATAATTCGTCAAACAAACTTCCCACCGTCGGCATTGACAATGGCAAAAACGTCGTCTCCAACCGAGGAGGTGTCCTCCTCTACAGTAGAGACACCCACACCGAAATCTGGCACTGGCAGTTCCTCCTCCACCGACAACGCCGACTTGATTCACGACTTTTGCGTCGGTACCAACGAGTTTTGGAAACGATTCGTCATTCCACCCGTATTAGAATATGTTCAAATCCAACCCGGTGGCACGGCCAAATCCGATCCATTCTCCAAATTGACGGCGCCCCCGGAAGTGCCGGGAATTCCACGCCCCGTCTGGTTGACCATTTTGGGATCGGTACCCACGGCATTGGGGTGGTACGGATATTATAAATTTAGTGTCGAAGAAGAATTGTTTCAATACGAATTATTACAGCAAGACGGCAAGGTGACTGGGTGTGGTGGATACGGCACCTTGTTGCCCTTTGTCTTTGGCATTCTCATTGGATTTCCCCTCTCCTTTTTGCACATTCCGGGGGGAGAGACATTGGTGGAAGCGGCCGGAGTGTGGATCTTGCTCGGACAAGTCAATCTCTATCGACGGGTCAATGAACTGTGTTTAGAAGCCAGTCAAGAAATGGAGTTGGAGGAACCGCCCCTGTGGGAATGGTGGGCCTTGTTGCCGCCACCCTTGGATGTGGTGGTAGGATTACGACAGGTGCACTTTTTGAGTGAGTATTGGAGAATCCAACGGGGAGAGCCCTACCAAAAGGATGTCATTGCCGAAGAACTCTTTCCTTTTATCAGCGCCAAACAGAGAATTACACTCAAAGAGTTCTTTCGGACACCCTCCATGTGGTTTTGGTTCACCAAGGAATGGAAAGATTTTGATTTCGAGTTTTTGCAGGAGACAGCTACCGCCAACTCTGCCCAGAAATGAATATTAGAAGAATGACTGCTGAACCTGTTATTTTATTGCATAGAACAGCCGATAGGCTAGTTGTTGTATCGTACAGAATGGAATCAATCAGGAATGTACTAGCTGGACCAAGCTTCTTCAAAGGCGCAGATTGCGCCCTTATAGTAGATTGCTTCTCAATAATAACAACCAAATTTTGTGTTTCGACTGCATATGCATGTCCGTGTGGATTGTCTGTGTCTTTTTTCGTCTGGCTGCTTTACTTGAGAATCACAGGTGACAAAAAGCCTTGAAACTCCACTGCCCCATTGGCTCCAACATTTTGACCGTTGCGAGGACACACTGACAGATGCTTGATCAGAACATCAAAGGTTTCATCGGTACAGGAAATCATCTCATATCTCAGATAGCGTTGAGCCAGCACTCTGGCTTGTGCCTCATCTTTGGCTTTGACCCATTTGGCCTTGATCATGGGAATACCGTCTACCTTGCCAGGGCCAAAGGGACCGTTTTCAAACAAAATCACCTGGTACTGCTTATCGTTGTGAATAATAATGCCCCCGCATTTCTTGTCCCACCACGCCGTCAACATTCGTGACAGGGTCTCTTGTACGGCAAAGCTCCAATCTTTTTGTTTTCCAACATGTGCCAAAAACGTCTGCGGAAAATCACCGTCTTTAGACTCAATCCAACGACCTGGGAGATTCTTAACGACAAAGATGGAGAGGGCAATCACCACCAAAATCACCAAGAACATTTTGAAAAACTCTTTCTTGTGATCTCCCATCTTGATATGAATTCTGTTGTATTGTGGAGGACTGGAGTAGAAAATACGGTTTATAGCAAGGGTTCTTTGCGTTGTGTGTTGGTATTGTGTTGTGTGTCCAAGGTAAATTTCAAAATGGAGGCAATACATGTAAGACTTGCGGGTTGCTTTGCTTTCGTTGCTTTGACGTTGTCTTGCAACATCCACACGGATGAGACTGACGTCATCTCAACGCGTCTAATTCGTTCCGGCAAATGAAGCCAGGCAGAGCTGCTTGACCGATGGATCAGGCAAGCTGAGCCTTATACCTGGTACTGGTACCGGTACCGGTACCCGTACCGGTAGTTTATTAATAATAGGGTACCGGTACCATGGGAAATGTGAAGCAGAAGGACTGCCACAAGAGAACGCGGAAAGGTAATGCTATAGCCGTCTAGATGGTAGTGGGGTGCTTCCGAGCAGAAAAGTTGAGAGCGGCTTTGTGCTGAAGGAATGAAGACCTAGCTAGCTAGGTCGATGTACTGTTCCTTCACTGGTGCTCGAATCCTGTTCTAGCAATTTCTTGCTGATAAGGAAATCTCCTCTTACTAGTAGTCGATCCTCGTTCCAATTCTACGAACAGAATTCTAGTGCGAATCAATGTGATCTAGCTAGCCAGCCAGTTGTTGTCTTTGTCTTTGGAGTTCCTAGTGGATGGATATGTATTGGTTGCATCGTGCAATATGATTGTGTAAAATTCCTTCGGTTTTGCAATCTAAAATGGAATGTGCTTGGCCTTGAGTGCAACAATGACAGGGGATAGCCCGAGTGCGTAACTTACACTTTCATGTACCCCCCCCCCCGACCCTGGAAAGCCACAATGCAGTGCTCTCTTGCTGTTTGCCCCCACTCGCTACCGTAGCTATCAAGCTACAGGTGGGGTTGGGTTTCGCTTTCGAAATCCAAGGGCCGTGTTCTTCGTCATACAGTACCAGGAAAAGAACGACACTGCGATCACCGCAGAACTGTCGCTGCTGTATTTTGCAGCTCTACATTTTCCCACTGCAAAGGCATTACTGGAAGTGTTGGGTATGTATGATGGAAGATGGATGAACTTAACTTGTTCTTTACAAATTCAACGTTATTCATGAATGTCCGTTGTGTGGCGGTCAACCCCCGACTTGCCTTCTTCGAGAGCAACCCTTTGTCGTCGTTGTGATGGCTGGTTTCCCATTCTTATCTTAAACCAACCTTTTCCGTGTCATGTTTTGCGCACCCCTCATTCCACTCCACTCGTGCATGCCCTTCGGAACCCTTACTCCTTTCTCCTGCTGCTCCGACGATGGCGTTTGCCCTGCTTATCTGGGCTTCCCGCAAGGGGTTGATCGGAGTGGGTAGACCAAAGGTTTGCGATTGTGGGTGAATGAGTCGACATCACGTAGTTCTTGGTAGTTCCCGAACGGATCGTCTTGTTACTTCCTCGCTTTCCTCTTCCCTCGCTGCCATCCCAGAGATCTTGAACCAGACTGGGAGTTTGACTCACGGAATCCGAAGATGAGTTTTGAAATGATTCCACCGACACAGAATCATGGTTTGGAGGGTTGCTTCCCTCATCTGTTGCTGCTTCTCTATTCCTTGATCTGAAGATCCTCATGGCTTTGTTTTTTGTTGTTATGATGTTTCGCTTGGTTGCCTTTTCTTTCCTCGGGAAAATGGTACATGGGAAGTGGACACACAAACTTGAAGATGTCAGCAGCCATCTGCAACGTTGTCTTGGTTCCGCTCACTAGTTTGATGCATCACAGAAGCATCCCAGGTTTGAAGGCTTCGATTTTATCACCCCGCCTTGCTCAAGTCATCTGCGGAACAACCAAGGAGAAATCAGAATTAAGGGAAGCAAAGTTTTAATAAAAGTGAACACTTATGAATGACCCAGTCACAGACACAGTGACTCCACCAGGTTCGAATGGGTTTAAGGGCCGAGACTCAACAAGATCAGTGAAGTGTCCAACTTGTAAATCTGTTGGGCTAAAACTCAGATGCACATCCTTCCAAGCAGTTCTGCGGGCTGGCTTCGGGAAGAGATCTCATGCACGTTGCACAAGCAACAACCAGTCCGGCAACGGAACGATAACTGGTGCTGCACAGCAAAGGCTAACAGCCAACTATGCTGCACTGGTAAAATGGTAATAAGGTGGATGTGTGACTGCTTTTGTACAACAACGAGCCCGTACCGTACTGTACCGAAGATCGTCGCCAGATCGCAGCGAGCAAGAGGCTGCAACCGAGGTAGATGTTGTGTGACTGCTAGACTGGATGAATATTTGCATGAAGTTTGCTACTGTGGTTGCTTGTATGCCAGCTAAAGGTAGTTGATTTCGACTATGTCCAGATGTGCTACTAGCTAGTTTCATCCAGTGAGAAGGATCTTTGGCCTTGGATAGAAACTAGCTACATCTACCGGTACGGATCATGCTGTCATCAGCTACGCTCAGATGCACTCGAAGTACGGTACAACAGGTAACTGGTCGAAAGAAAGGAAGCGGCAACCGAACTTGAAACGCATACACTTTTGCTACTAGTAGAACACAAACCTAGGGAATTGCTTCCGTACTAGCTAGCTAGTTCTATTTGCGGCTGGCTTCACACAATGCAGGAGTACAGCATGCAGCTTCCTGGATTGACTAGCAAGCCTGTCGTCAAACCTTTTCATTGCTTTTTTCATCCTTTCGTTTCAGTTTGAAAACTGCACCGCCATCCTCAAGTGAGCAGGCAACGATCCACCGCCTTGAATATTATCTTTCTTCTTAGCAGTTACTTTGGAATTTGTGCTTTTTTTGCTTTGGACTGGTGTCTGTCAGCCACACGATTGCTCTGTCTCTTGCTTTCGTACAGTAGCCGTGCAGCAAGTGGTGGTGTCACTGCTGCACATCCCCAGCTGCATGTTGCACGGAACAGTTCAACCTCCAAAGAAGGAAAGCGTGTTTTGATAGAAATGCGAAACTCTCCGTTGAAGGCTATTGCGGACAAAGCCGGCATTGACAGCGATCGATTGTCCATACGGCATGTTGATTGCCGCTCCGTCTATACTACCTCGCAAATCCGAACGAACTCGTGGCTCCACCGTATCGACCAGCAGTTCCTCCATGACGCTGCTCATTTCAGTGGTAGCATCCGCTTCAAATTGTTGAAATTCTGGAGAGACGTTCTCGAGGATTCCTTCGACTTGGTCATGGCCAACCACCAAAACATCTTCTATTTCGGCCAGATTGATGACAGCGGTGATTCCCCAGATTCCACCCGATATCAGGACGGTGCCCTGAAACGTGGGTTTGCGGGCATCGACTCTGCCTGTGAGATCGTTTCGGACGGTTCCTTCTTCTCCGGAAGCACACTCGCTGGCCATAAACCCCGCTTCAATATCTTGAATGGACAGCATGTCACCAAACGAATTCGCTGCCGAGACTGTCATGTGAAACTTGGCATTCCAAAATGTTTGTAGACAGCCGGCATCCACTCGTTCCGTGCCGGGTATCACCTCCAACGCGTCAATGGACAATCTCGACAGTCCCACAATTCTGCTCAGATCCAACTCAAAATCCACAGAGGTCTTGCAGGAGGACGTTTCCATCTCTCCCAACGGAATGGTGCCCTCAAAGGGAGCATCAAAGGGATCGGGTGAGCGCAATTGGAGTTTCGCATTGATGCCAGGCAGCAGCTCGGTGACCATTCGATTGATCAAGTCAACGTCCGAGTCGTCATCATCGGCGTCAGAATCCGTGCCATTCCTCGAGTTGAAGACTGCAAGTTGCCGTGAACGCTCCACTTGCAGATTGTTGATCTCAGCTTTGTGGCGTCTTAGAAGGCCTGACTTTGCCTGACTTGGTCCGATCAGATCCACCACAACAAGGTAGAAGTAGCAATAACGGAACCAAGGCAATCTCATGGTCACATTCGGAAAGATGAACCTGAAAGTGAGCAATCCAAGAATCTTTGGATTGTGGGAAACGGCTACAGATCGCTGACCGTTAATCTGTAGGGGTGCGGCCAACCGTTACATGCGTCTGGTGGCACTTGTCTCCGGTCAGTGACTGTATTTTAAAAATACACAAGCAGAACTCGCACTAGATAGCTCACCGGTACCTTGAAAGGTCCCATTCAAGTCTGTAGTGAAGTGAACCACATATCATTCCAGAGCTTTGAATGAGGTAGGGCCCGGTAGGCAGCTTTCTAAAGTTGTGATACTGGTTTCTGAAGTAGCCTACCCGCCCAAAGAGCAGGAGCATTTGGCGGCACTAGCTAATAACCGTTTTGAGCTGCCAGCCATTGAGCAGGATAAACCATGATGGTCATCTACAGAGCAGAAATGGTTGCTCTGGCCAGCTAGCTAGATCTGACTACTAGGTACTCCGGTGTTTCAATTTACGGCTGTATGTACGAGCAAGGCCCCACTTGTTTGCAACGCAAAAGCCTCTGGCCAGCCTAGTCTAGTCCCAAAAGGTCCCTGAAAAAAGCAGGCATGCTGTTGCTAGTCGGTGATAAGCGCTGAGTTTCAATGGATCAAGGAGATTTCCCGATAGGGCTTGGATGCACCGTAATGGCTGATCCCGTACCAAAGCTCGAGTAGTGCTTTGTAACGTGCCACTCTGAAAGCATGACCAAGGCGTCTGTCCTCTCTAAGGACAAATTCGAGCACCAAAAGCTCTTTCGATCACGATACCCTCTTGGCAATATCGCATGCGCACTTGCGTCTTGCCCTTGGATGGTCCTCCGGTTTTACCGTTTGTACGTTGGGCGGGGCTGTGCTGCTGGAGGACGGGTGAGTGCCTCCTGCAGCAAACCAACTCTCCACTACTGACTGGCTTTGTTGCAATAATAAAAAATACTCCATACTACTATTGGATTCTTTAAAAAGTATTGATTGCATTGTACTCTACACTCTTCGCGACCTAGTCGCCAGCAAGCTATGATATCATGCCGGCAACGTCCTCTCCGTGGACCTGCATCACCCAGAGTCCCCCCACGACGTGGATGACGCTCCTGCAGGTACTTCAATGATCATATCGAGCAAGGGAGGAAATTGTTCGCTTGGCAGTACGTAGTGCCGTACCGGTACATCGTCGTCATCGCCATCTTCTCGATGTTGGCGGTACTCCGCCAAGCTGGGGGGCGGTCGAGTAGGTGGTCCTTCGTCTACTACTTCTTTGGGTACTTCAATGACAAGTTCCAACAAAGGATTGGGTGGTAGTGGCGGGGTCGATACTGCTCGTGGAAGAGTGGCGGACGTGGCAGGGAGCGGAGGAGGACGACTGTCGCAGAATCGGGAGGATTTTCCAGTCTCTCGCAACCGGCGTTCTTGCGCCGATTCGATATTGGGGATTTTGGTCGCCTGTCGCAGTCGTCGCTCTTGAAAAGATTCTATATTGGGAACGCGATCGACTTTGACACCCTCTTTCAATAAGAGTTCCTGGGAAGATTCTATATTGGGAACCACCTTGGCATGCCACTTGTCCTGGTCTGCTGCCAAGAGTGATCGGGCACTCTGAGGGGATGTGGTTTCTGTGCAGCTGGGTTGTAAGGACCTCCCAGAGGACTCTTTCTGGAGTGACGAAGCTTTCGTATTCTTCTTATTGTGGCTACAATCCGTTGTCGTTGTTGTTTTGGAGGATCGAAACAAGTCGGACGACAGGTTGAGAAACTTCGGTAGACGGCGTCGTGGCTTGTCCGAGTTGGACGACCGGGCCGTGTTGCGGCTCTTGTAGGACCTCATATCAGATGAATCAGCACCACCGCCACGACAACTAGCTCGTCTGTGGGAGGTGGTGGGTGGGAGCGGCTTGGGTTGGTTGAGAGGTAGACTCGAGTGAGACGACCACAGATTGGCAATCACTGCGGATTGTCGGAGAGAGATGACTGTGGTGGACGAGGACGGGGAAGATAGCAAGGACCGATTGCTGCTTTGTCTGTGCTGGACTTGGTGTGTGTTCTTTCCCTTGGGTGGTGGTTTGACTAAGAGAATACTGGCACTATTACTGAAATCCTTGGGCTGAGATAACCATGTAGGCGCTGTTCCCTGGGTAGCCTCATCAATAGTAGGCTTCAGGGGGTGGTGATGGACCAGCTTGGCTGCAGAATGGTCCGAGGCTCTTGGACGAGGAGATGTATTGATGGATTGTGTATCGGTTTGTACCGGTACTAGTATCCTTGATGATGGCCTCTTCTGTGTTCGCGCCCCAGGATGATTCATTCTTGTAGAGTGACAACCACAAACTTTTTGGGCTTTGTGAGATGCCTTTCGAGCCTTCAGATTTCAGATGCTTTGTCAATAGGATGAGTTATTGGGTTCGTTTCAATGCTTGGACCAACCCCACACAAAATGAGGTTCTTTGTCTTTCCACCACCAGCATTCAGCCAAAAGGTGACTGTTGACAAAACAGATCTCGAATATCGTAAGTGTTTACAGCTAAAGAGAAGATTTGCTTTAAATAATTCGGGAATGAATGATCCAGAATGCCTTGAAGTGCATCGCCACTTAAATTTGCATTGAGCTCGTGACTACAGCCAATAATGAGAAAGATCTCTTAGCGACGTACCACTCGAACAATTAAATGTCACCGGTAAAAAAGATGCTCCTGCATGCTTGATTCCTTGAACCTTGAAGTTGCTGCGCGGGGTGAGGTCTGTGAAAACTCGAGTTGCCACTGATTCGATTCCTGCTCCCAAACAGAAATTTGGATGCATTTCTTTCTTTTAATAAAAATGTTGTCGGCAACAACTGCTCTCCAAACCTTGGCAATGCTGTTTTGAAAAACCTTGCGAGTCGTTCCACTCCACGAGCTGTCACTGGCAGGTACTGTTGCACGTAATGGTCGAGTCCATGGGCATTGAGTTTGCATTTGAATGCCCCTGAACGTCGGTGCGTGCAATGTGCAGACCAGCACGGTACACTGTACCGGAAACTGAACCCAAACCTCTACTAGTAGCTATTAATAAAAGATAGTATAGAGTCTTAGGATAGTACACGTACGGAAGCTTTCAACTCTACTACGGACCGGTGCCGTGCCGGTACGGCCAGAGGTGCAGCCTGAGCTAACGATTTGCATCCAACCTTCACATTACAGTATCTGTGACGGTTGAGAGAGATCATTATTTTTTTTAAAATAGACCAACTTGCTTCCTCTAACTAAACATTACTCAATTTTGTTTCCCACTTATCATCTGATTGAGAGCTTGCTTTTTGCTGTCTGCTTCCAGGAACGAGCCATTCTTACCACTTGTCTCCTAACAATAGCTTGACAACAAAATGTCATGATTCAATGCTAGCTCTCCTTGCTTTTTAACTTTCCCACATTCACAGCTTCCTCGGAGATTGCCTTGCTTTGCCAACTTGCTGCAGAGTGCCACCTCCCCTTCTTCGTGCCTGCTTCGGGCTCTCAAGCAAGCAAGCTACACGTCAATTGTAAAGCTCTCACGTTTCGTCACCTGCGTTATGCTCGATGCCTCACTCTCGAGATCAAGATCATCCACATCAATCTCCGAACTGTCGACATCCACTTCCACATGATTGCGGGTGGTAATTACGGATGTTGGCTTGGTAGGTGGAGCCTTGGGTCTCGCTGCTTGGCGGGTCGCCTTGGTGATGCTGGCATTGCTCACGGAATGCCTTCGTTGCGCTTTGGCGTTATCCTGTGCTACAAACCTGGCCAACACATTGGGGGTCAGGACGTGATAGGTACCAGGCTTAGATTCCACAACGAAACTACCAGCGGGGTTGCTTTCAACGAGCCTTTTCATGTTGGTGGATGTCTTTGTCTTGTCGGCTTGCAACGCTTTCATCAGTTGTGCCAAGGTGCCAGCGCTCAGTGACTCGAGGGACTGTTGAGCGTTTGCCATCAACTTCTTCTCGTCTACCATGGCCTCTCGTTTCGTGACGGGTAAAGACGGGACCGAAGAGCTCTTTGTCTTGAGTCCGCCTTTGCGAGATGGGACAGGTGGGGCTTTCTTGCGTACTGGCGGGGGAACGTGTGGCTTGTCGTTGGTTTTGTCGACTTCATCGGGCGCGAACGAGGAACTTTTCTTGTACTGGATACTGCTAGCTCTGGGTTTGGCGTCGTTGTCGTCCAATGTGGGCATTTCCAGCGAGGGAGGCGATGGTGGTTTGGCTTGACTCTTGACGATGCTGGTGTCAGGATCCGCCAAGAACTTGACACTGTTTCTCTCTGGAGACGACACAACCTTTCTGGAACCGAGAGTGGCTTTTTTTTGTACGGGTGATCCCTCCTCCTCTCTGGTCGTCTGCTTTACTGGTTGTTGTTTTGACTTTTTGGCTGTTTGTTGCATCTGCTGTTGTTCGACTTCAGGAGGCGTTGACGGGGCCATGGGTTGCAATGGTGGAACCTCTTCCTTCCTAGCTGTCGGCTTTCCGATTATTGGCTGCGATACCTGTTGCATTCGAGGGGGCTCCTTGGAAACCTCTCTTTTCGGCAGCTCGACATTTGGATCGTCTACCATGGCGTTAACTCCCTGCAGCGCCAGTAGCTGGTCTACTGGAAGCCCTTTCCTCTGTACCTGAAGTTGAGCTTGTCGGCGTAGGGTTGCAGCAGAAAGTCTCCGGGGTTTCTTTACCGGTTTAGGGGCTGGCGCATTGTTGGGGACCGGATCATTGGCAGCTGAATTGGCTGTTTTGTTGTTTCCGGGGGAAATGACGTTGTTATCAGAAGTCTCTGGAGGCTCTGGTGCTCTCATTGGAAGATCCTTCCGCCTGGGGTTATTGTCAGTGGGCCTGACATCGCTCAAAGACAGGGATAGAGACTCCAAAATGTCGTTTGGCAGCGACGAGTTTGAACCCAAATTCGAGTTTCGACGCTTTGGTGTTGCCGATTCTTCCTCCTCTGGCGAAATGGATCCTGTTGGCGTTACTTCAAATCGAGTAGGTGTACGAGAATCATGTGTCGCTGCAACTGGGCTGCGACCCTCTACTTGTGGCGACAAGGGGATGTCGTCGCAATCGACGCTCGTTGGCGCCTTACGTGCTTGTTCGGCCACTCGGGTAACACGGGCACCAGCTGTGTTCGCAACCATGGTTTCCTTGTTTGCTAATAATCAGCCAAACCAAGCAAGAAATGAAGATGCACTTTGATTCTGGTTGGACTATGGACAGCTCGCTGGTATGGTATGCTGATGCGTAAAAAGATCACTCGCTTTACGTTTACCAAACAAAAATGTCAGTTGCTCGAGGACGCGGGAGTCGACCGATATCGCTAAAAAATGCTCCTGGAACCCCCGAATATATTTATCCCGTGGTTCGGAGACAACAGGTTCCAGCGAAAACAACGGCTGCTTCAAATAATTCAACAAGCGTAAGCTCACTTGTGGTACAGTACTTTAGCACTGTGGTTCATCCAGCTGGCTACGGTACCGGAGCTAGCTTACAAGTACTACAGACAGGTACTGTACCGGCAGCAAAATAGGTATGACGATCGACGTTTGGGGTTTCCCATTGCCGAGGTGCTTGGTGCTGTGCACGACAAGAACCCCGAAAGATGGATCTGCGCATCCCTTCCATGAAGCTACCGGTACCATTGGTGACGATGCTACGGGGCAGTGCTGTTCAGCAACCCATCGCTACCGTACCGTACCAGCTCCGCCGAAGTCAGTCCCTGAAGTGTCATGATGACTACTGGCTGCAATCTAAGTTTTCTCTCGTAATTTCTCAGTAGAAAGGCAGCCACTGTGCGTGAAATGCAGCATAAGGATGTGGCGTCAACGAGCCTCAGAGTGAGCGGTAAGTTGTTGCCGTAAAAAGGGGGACTCAACTCAGCCAGGTAGCTAGTCTATTATAAAAATAATGTGAGAAAGCCACAGAGCAACCAGCCTTTCCTTGCCGCAGGATGTAATCTCAGGCAACGGACGCCTCGAGAGCCTTCAGGGTGGAGGTGGGGAATGACCTACTCAATTATGGAAGGAAATGGATCTTTTTCACAATAGAACCAAAAGCGAAATGTTGCAAGTTGCCCGCTCAAGTCATTTATACATTAATGATTGCCCCCTTTAGCCTCAAAGAAATCTGGGTGTAGCTTTACGTAGGCAAACTCAACCCCATTTCCCTGTGGTATCCAGGCAATTAAGGAGAATGTTAGGAAACAAAAGAACAGCTTGGCTGCTGGAGCAATTCTGCATTTTATACCATTCACATACCTGCGCTTGTGGATGAATGTTTGGCTCCTTACTGTACATTGCAAAGCCTGCGTTTTCGATGTCATCAAAGAACTGAGACGGCGCAACATCAGTTGAAACAGGAAAGAATCGTCCACCTTTGTTCTGCTGAGGGTCGGGCAATGATGTTGGAAGGTTGTGTGTTTCAATGAGCAGTTGTCGAATGTTCAAATCAGGTTTCAACCAATCCCTGTAGGTGAACCATTCACAGAATTCACAATCAACCTTCAGAATATCAATGGTATGGTGAGTGTGACCCAACTTCGCCATCATTTCAGGAAGTGTAAAGAGGCGTCGTAAGGCAGGTTCTCTCATTTTGAATGCTTTGGGCAGACTGTCATCATAGCTGCTCTTCAACCCCCACTGATGAAAGTGAATGTTGAGGACTTCGGCATGGCCTGGTATGGTGTAGTCTTTGCTGTAATCAAAAACATGGATTTCACAAGTAGTTTGAAGAGTTTCTTGTCCTTCTTTCATAAAGAACCTTGCCAGGGCTACTTCCCACTCGTACTTCCCGGCAGACCCAATGGAATAGATCAGGCAGTTTGTCTGTTGTTGGCTATCACCTGATTGTGCCCCATTTTGAGTTTTCTCTTGTCTTTCCCTGGCCACTCGTTCCAGTCGATTCGGATCACAAGTCCACTTTGGCCCATCACCAACCCCGCCCAACCGCCTAGGGTGTGGACATGTAAAGACAGGATCATAGTTATTCATGTAGAAGATTGCTGGCAGTGCTCTTAAGCTGGGATTTGGCCTGCTGTCATCAACATGGTCTTTGTGAGTTTGAAAGCGTTGTTGGTACAGCTTCCAATCCTTAGATGGGATGTCATCAAAGAATCCATAGCTTTGGTAGGATGCCAATTTGAAATCATCACCATTCTGACTTGAAGGTGCACTCTGATCATTGTTTGCAAGGCTTCTTCTGCGAAACGGGTGATCTGACAACTCAAATGGCAAAAACGCACAATCTCTTGGCAGCAGCTGGGTTGTGGCAAGTGCTGAGAAGACAGCTAGTAAAACCATCCGAGCAGGTTGGGCCATCCCACGGATACCGGTAGCCTTTCGCGCCGAGGACCCGGCTGTTTTGGAAAAGGAGTCCCTTGTCCCCTTTGGTGGAAGCAGTTTGACCATCTTTCTCTCTTCTACCGGCATCAATCTTTTGATGGAATGCAATGGTGTGGTTTGGAAATCAAGACTTACAGGGTCGATGCCTTGGAGCACTGCAATGCAACATTGTCACCAAAATTTGCATCTCTGCAGTGCAAATGGTCCTTGGACTCTCCCAAGCCAGCCCAACGGTGACTAGCTAGCTGTCACACGATTTGCAAGCCAATTGTCAAGGTGCTGTTTTACGTAGGCAATAGCAGCGTGACACCCGTTGCCCAAGCAACTCGTGGGTAGCAGCTAACCGATCGCGCACCATCGATCGAAGCGAACTGATGGCACATGCTACCAGCACTTGCGTTGGCAGCAACGGTAATAGTTAGCTCTGGCCAAGGTGCGCTCTCGTTGCCTCTGTGACGATGCCATCTTTGCTCACATCATCATCATACGGTACCTATCTACTCGTATCCAATGGTCCCACCGGGGCACCGAGCAGTTCCAAAGTGGAGCGTTGAGGTTGGAGCGTCTTTGGTTTTGGTCTCGTTCGCTCACCTCTGCTTGGTTTGGGAATTTATGGGGAGATGGGGCATTGACATTTTTACGTTAAACAAATGCCAGCAGGCTGCCAGTGTTGGCGGCCAAAACTTCAAAGGTGTCTTACTTGCCTTATTTATTAGATATGAATTCAATCAGTTAGTGCGTGAAGAAACTTCCAAATATATTCTCTTAAACCTAGGGAAACAGTTTAAATGTGGTTTCAGACACCAAATACTCTTTGTTAGAGCCCTGCCGGCTTGATGCCAAGGCAGCGCCCCTCTCTTTCGGAAGGCGTTCAATTTTGCGGGGCGAAGCCCTTCAACTCTTTCCGTTTGAGGCCGCAGCCAGAACAATACGGCAGTGTCAAAACCGCAGCTCTAGCGGGACTCTGGTCCTTGCTCAACAGTAGCTCAACAACCGGTCTCTGCATTACCGTACACAAAACACAATCAGAGACCACTTACTTGTTGACTCTTCCTCTTCTAGTAGCTAGCAAACGCATTAGGCTTGGTGGAGTGTATCCTTGGTCGGTGAAAGCTAGCTAGAATCATTGCTGCTGACTGACACCTTGGCGATTTCCGTAGAGTCAGTACTGCAGTCCACGTAGCTTGGCGATTTGTCGGCAGTGTGAGAGCTTCCAAGAAAGCTTGAAGCAAGGAGAAGACGTTGTTGCTGCTCTTGCTGGTGGTGGTGGTGCTGCTGTAGCCAGTACAGGACAGGACAACGACATCAAGAAGAAGCATCTGAATCAGCAGCAACAAAAGGGCAATCAGCTTCATAATGCGGAGTATGACAACAACTAGCACAACGGCCACAATGGGAAAAGACGTGCTGTCAGAAAGAAGCGTCATGGTGGTGAAGGTCGACGAGGACCGTCCATCCACTACAACAGCTTCTGGGGCGACTGCTACTGCAAAGGGAAAGAATGCCTTTCGTTTCCCTCGATTCAGCCTCAAGAGTCCGTCCATGGGCTCTGCCGCAACAGCTGGGGCCTCTTCCGCGAGCCCCACAAACGGCACCGGCAGCAGATCTCGTCGGCTACGTAACTTTCCTCTGCTGCGGCTGCGAAGTTTGCCTGTCGATGTATCAGAGACGTCCGTCAATACGTCGCTGTCACCTAGCCCCCAAGCTCCCAGCGGCTCTTCTGAGTCATCCTCCTCTTCCTCTGCTTCTCAAAGCAGCAATAGCGAAGCAAGTGGCAGCCGAAGGAGAAGGAAGCAGAAAAGGGAGGCCAGGGAAGACTATGTCATTCGGTGTACCAAGGTTTACTCGGTCCAAAACAGCTCCACAGGGGAACAAGGGGAGGGCCAGGCTGACCAAGATGACCAAGAGCAGCAACACCAGGACACACTACAATCATCGTCGCCAAGTCATCCTTGTAGCCCCGCTAGTATTGCAGAAGAGGATCAGCCAGAAATCGTGGGAGACTACGAGCACCCGACGAACGAGTCACAGAGCTTTACCTGCGCTACAGCCATCTTGCAGCACTCGTACCTAGAAATGGTCTGTGGGAAACCTGGCTATGCGCTGGCAGACGAAGATAACTACACAGAGGACGTAGAAGCCATCGATAGGCCACATACGCCATCACCTAGCAATAGGCGACGGATACCAGATGATCCAACGGTGCAGGACTCAATTGAATGCGTCTTTGCCTCGCAGCTGGAAGAAGGGCTGGCACTTTGGGCGGACGATGAGGACGACGACGACCTGGAGGAAGGAGACGAGCATAGGGATGAACAGGAAGAAGCGCCACTGCCCAACCTGTACACAGAGGAGCCCATCAATGCTCCTTCCGAAGCAGAATTGCCGAGTCCAGCTCCGCTCATGCAATCTCGGCAAAAGTCGAGAAGGCCTTTGCCTTCCGTCGCCAAAGCTATGATTCCCAACAAACGAAGGTCGCACCCGAGTAACAACACGAGCGATAGCAGAAATGGCCAAGCTGAAAAGGAGAAACAGCAAAAGCTCAATGGCAGTACACCGCTCTCATCTCCAAGCAGGAGACGAAAAAAGTGTCAGACAGCAAAGATGGTGCACGTTGGTACCTTTGATCCACGGACGAATCGAATATTGGAAGTGGCAGAGACGGATCATAACTTGATGGAAGAAGACCCAGTCGTACGAGTGGCACCTGTCGAGTCGCCGCCACGAAGCGCCAAGGGCTGCTTTTGCCATTCCAATTCGGTTCCCATTGTACCAGATTCCATTTGGCCTCAAGCGCCGCTTCTGTTGCGCCCCACCCCGAACGAGGGAATGTGTATAAAGGGGGTGCGATTCAGTGGAAAAACAGAACACCTATGGAAGCCTTCCGATGGCGGCTGGTGGCTGACTCCCTTGTACGAGTTGGCTGGGAAAGACGTACAGCAGCTGCCTCCGGATGTCCCTGCTATGTGCTCTCAATGCTGCCTTTTGCCCATCAACAATGGAAACGAGCCCGTGGGTGAAGCTCTCGTCACGGACTTTGAGACGCCTCTCTTTGAAGGAAGTCTGCTGGTGCGACTTCGACACGTGGATGGGGGCGCCACGAATACCGACCCAAAAACGATGGAGTACGATGACAATGTTGGCTACTTTGCTGGGTTAAATCGGCGATATCAAGTAGTCATTCGGGGCAAGTTCAAGAGTGAAATTCCCTATACTGATCTGTTCGCAGGCATGGTTATGAATAGGCCATACGGCCGATTGCCGCCCAAGTGGATCATGAAGGGAGCCATCAAGGTGTTGTCGTTCTTTGCTCCACAGCTGCAAGTTGAGCTGGACGGACCCCGCCCCAAGACAATGGCGCCACTAGGTAGTACACCACAAGCATTGATTGTTCAGGAAGTTGGACCGAACGATGTGTTGGCTCCGCTGGATGGAGAGGTGGAAGAGCCCGTTCGGGCCGCTCAAACGCTTTTGGGGGTTGCATGCCCAGGAGCTACGTCCCTACAACGAGCCCGCGGCAGGAAAAAAGCTTTTGACAAGCTTTTCTCCAGCAAGACTCGGGGTCCTATGACCAAGACAGACACCGGAAGCAAAGAGACCTACTACACATTTGAGTTCCTTCAGCATCTCGTGAACTTCCAAGACTTCTCTGTGGAACTAGGAAACTTGCTGGGATCCATTCCTATTGCACCCATCTTTGCTGGAGCCCCAATCCCCATCATGGCGATGGTCAAGGAGGGCGAGCAGAAATTGTGGTCCTTTGATCTTTGGCATCAAAGTCTCGTAGAAGGTGCCAAGGAATTTGATGCTCAGAACGGAAATGAAGGCGGGAACAAGCAATGACATTGCTAGTGGTCTCGAAGGACCGATCACGCCTTTGGTGGAGGGCCATTGTTCCAACAACACAGTTTGGGGCCTAGCTAATTCGTAGCATGCTAATTTAGACAAATATTTCAACTAGTGAAGCGAGGGCTGTTGGAGAAGACTAGAAAGAAACCAGGTACCGGTAGATGGTCTGCCGGTAGCTACCAGTACGGTACCATGGTAGCAACAACATTACGAACGGAAGAAACTCTTCATGGCTTGGGGAATGTTTTGCCTCTGGATCTCTAGAGTGTATCGAAATTTGTCACTCCGCCCGTCCAAACCCAGTGCCGTCACACCCGCTATCAGTTTCTGAGGAGCAATTTTATCCAACTTTGTACTTTTCGCAAATGCTAATTGAAGCCCTTGCGTTTACCACATCGGGATGATGCGGTTCCAGAAGGATTTCCCGAATAGCCAACGCTTTCTGGAATTCGTCCAAAGCAGCACCGTGGTTCCCTTGCATGCACAGAACTACTGCAACATTGTTATGACAATCTGCAACGGTAGAGTGATTCTCTCCATGCGTTGTCTTGAATCCAGCCAAGGCCAACCTGTGCTCTCGCAAGGCTTCATCAAAATGTTGTTGGCTCTCGAGGACAAAGCCAATGTCACTGTGGAGGCTGGCGCTGGATGGATGCTCCGGTCCAAGGGATGACTCGAAAGCAGACAATGCTCTTGTGTAGTTCAACAAGGCATCATCAAGATTCCCTTGCTGCCCATATAAGATGCTGCCAATGCATCTGTAAGAGGTTGCCGTGTCGAGGTGATCAATCCCCAATATGTCTTCTCTAATCCGCAAGGCTTTCTCGTGCATTTCCAAAGCAGCCTTGTAATGTCCCACTTTGGACAACGCATATGCAACAGAATGAAAAACTCTTGCTGCCTCCTCTGGTTGATGACTGTCATTCCTCTCCTCTACAAGAGATGTAATAGCTCCAAGCACCCATTCTCTCAGTAGCAAGTTCACTCTATCATTGAGAATGTCATAGCCCCGTGGCCCACTCTGCTGAATGATCAATTGTAGAATGGCTTCTCTATCAGACTCCAGGGATGCTCTTGCATTCTGAACTCTTGTAGATGCCAAAGCTTCAAAGAGGGTCTTGATGACATCATCCACATCCTCCCCCTTTCCTGATAGATTTTCTTTGAGGTCCTCTCGTTCCTGCAGGGGAATGACGATTGTCAAATTGCAATCGGGATGAGTGTGGGCGCAATAGAGCTCAAAGATACACCACATTCTTGTGAGGTAGATGGGCCTTTTCCATGGTGTCATCATGGCGAGAATATTTTTGATCCCGGTAACATTTGTGTAGAACAAGGTTTGAAATGCATCAAAGGGAACTGTCTTGCCCTGAGCCTGCATTTGCTTGACCCTGTGCTGGTTGTTGCAAAGGCAGCAAATCCAAATGTATGTGGATTTGGGGTTCAGATTGTTTGTTCTGCAAAAGTCTGTCAGAGTCTCAACAATGTCTTGGATCGTGTAATTCCAGCTGTAACTGAGCATATAAAGTGGAGTACCAACGGCTTGAATTTCTTCTTCTTTCCCTGATGCCAAGAGAGCATGGATATAAGAAGATCCATGATTTCCATCCACGGGACATGTCACATCTCTTCCTTTCCCTCGGATCACCAGGGGCTCAATATCGTAGACATTGGCAGAACTCTGAAACCCTTCAGAAGAAACCTCTTTCAGCAAGCCTGTCTGGAGCCAATGGACACTGATGCCCATGTTGGTACCAATGTCTACATCATCCATTGTGACAACACAAGTCGTTTTCTTGAAGCAGCAGTTCGGTCTGATCTCCTTGTCCATGTCCAAGCGCCGTTTCCTTTACCGGAACCGGAATGCCGTCCCCCAAAGATAGAAGGCGGAACAGATTTTCTTCCGCTTCCGCTGGCTTTTTGAATCCAAGTTTCAAAGTTCCACAACCCACACCCACAACCCACAACCCACAGCTCTAGTAGATAGTCAGCAACAACACACATCACCCCGAGTCATCGACGCCTATCTTCCGATCGGCCACTCATCTGTTGATAAATAGAAGCAAAGATACTTTGTAAGGTACTGTACTGGTACCATGCATGCGGCAAAGTCGGGTACGTGTTGTGGTTTAGTGAATTTCCTTGCCAATAAATGATACCACCTGTCATCAGCTTTCTGGTAGTCCAAGATGCCGCTACCACGATATGACGAAATATGGTACGAATGGCTTGAGAAACTCAAAGCATTCGAGCAGGAGAATGGGCACTGCAGAGTTCCTTCTAGTGATCCAGAACTTGGAAGGTGGGTGATGCAGCAGAGGGCTAGACAGATGACCATGTCGCAGAACAGACTGGATGCCCTCAATGCACTTGGTTTCACTTGGAAGGTTAAGGAGGAAGCTTGGCAATCAAGTTTTACTCAATTGAAAGAATACAAAGAACAACGTGGCCACTGCAACGTGCCTTCTCGACAAGGGATACTTGGAAGCTGGGTGCATAATCAGCGAACGTATCGAGCACTTGGGAGACTCAGCGATGAACGCATTCACCAGCTAGACGAGCTGGGATTCATTTGGACGATGCGCGAGTCTTTCAATACCACAATTCCAGAGGATAAAGAAACTACAAATCAAGCACCTCCAAAAGTCGGAGCGGGAGGATGCAACCAGGAGTATCCCACATATGTGCCAACTCGACCAATATTTGAACCTTCAGTGTCTACTACCCAGGTAACTCGAATGGGTGGACCTTCCATGTCTACCCAGAACACAATGCTCCAGATGACGGAGAAAGAACTTCATAAGCAGGACCATGTATCCAAGAGACTCTCAGCATGTACGAATACCGGTAGTCAAAAGGATGATTCATGGGGGGGTGCAGAGATGGAACAAGATAGCGAGAAAGTGTTTTGGAAGCTGATTGAGCAAATCAAGGAGCAGAGTCAGCAGTTACACACAGTGTTGGCTAGATTTGACAAACACGACATCCCATACGACGATGAGGAAGCTGGCCCAGCTCCCAAAAGAAGCAAGTTGCTCTCGCGCCCAAAAACTACCACGGGGCACAGCGGTCTCGCAGAGTCGGAACGCTCCACTGGTGACGATGCTGAGAATTTCAAAGAGCTTGGCCTGCTACAGGGAGACAAATTAGATCATCACAATGTTTCGCACTACCGGCCAATCGAATGCAATGGGCCAAGAAATATTGCAACCATTGTAAACAGGCAATCAGGGCCATACCAGATACTGGAGCCGGAGCTTGCAATGTCTTCAAACCGTGCAGCTCCGGCTGCCAAGCGCAAATTCAAATCTGGGGATGTAGAAATTCCAAACTATCACGACCTCGCGAAAAAGGAAACAACAGCAGAACAGCTTGACTTTTGCTTGAGCCTCAGAGAATACACCAATCTGCGTACAACTGCCTTTACACCCAGGTCCAAGTCGTTTGTGGTTAAAACTTTGAAGCCAATTCTTCGCTGCTTTGATATCTGTTGTGATGGTGACAAGTCCAAGTTTATCTCTGATTATGAGGGCAAGTTGAAGCTGTGTGTGTTCAGCGCCAACACATGCAAGCACAACCATTGTGCCATTGTACACAGGCAACCAGAAAGATTCCAAATGCCTAAGCCGGAGCTGGCAATGCCTTCAACCAGTGCAGCCCTAAGTGCCCAGCATAAATTCAAGGCTGGGGATGTAGAAATTCCAAACTATCACGACCTCACGAAAAAGGAAACAACAGCAGAACAGCTTGACTTTTGCTTGAGCCTCAGAGAATACACCAATATGCGTACAACTGCCTTTACGCCCAGGTCCAAGACGTTTGTGGTTAAAAATTTGAAGCCGATTCTTCGCTGCTTTGATAACTGCTGTGATGGCAACAAATCCAAGTTCATCTCTGATTATGAGGGCAAGTTGAAGATGTGTGTGTTCGGCGCCAACACATGCAAGCACACAAGAGTATTCAGCAACTCATAGCTCGCTTCGGATCGATCCCATGCAAACAATACTGTACTGCAGCAGCTCTGCAGCGAATTCTGCAGCGGCCAGGGAGATCATCTAGCTAGCTAGAGTTTGAACTCGTAGCACTTTCTCTCCTCCACCATAGCTAGTAGTACCGGTAGAATCGAATCGAATCGAATCGAATCGAATCAACGCAGGACACCACCAATGGTTGCCCTAACCTCTTTTGCTTCATGCATGGGGCTGGCCAGAACCTCGACTGCCACCCGTGTGCCAAAGTGCGTGCCCTGCAGATGAAAACCTCATCTCAGGCTCTGGTTGGTTGGCAGTAGTCTAGAAAAGTACATACCGTTATGGGAAAGCCCACACCGCAGCTGGATGTGGCATGAAAAAGCTGGATGCGTATCATTGTTTTGAAAAAGCCCGACAGGGCCCAGAACCAGTCACGTTGTAAAGGCCTCTTCGAACCCCCGTAAGAAGCGGAGGCAAGCTTGGTTGCTGGTGCCGTTGTTGATGTTCCCCGATGTGGATCCAAGCGTTGGACTTTCAATCTTTTGGCTCCAACACCTCCACACCACAATAAAAAAAAACTCATTCCTTGTGGCTGAAACAACAACATTTTTGCATTTTTGAAGGCTCATCACAACAACAAACTCATTGGTCATACCCAGCTCAAGCAAGAATCTCGACACTTTCATCATGCATCTTTCCATATTTGCCTTGTTGACTTCCTTGGCCGTCGCTTCGGCGCAGAAACCGTATACTCTTGGTGGAAATTGTGCCATGCTTCCAGCAGACCGTGCCACAGAGTTCCACGGCAACCCAGTGTCAAGCAACTTGAAGTTGGCCATGGCTGGAAATCAGTGGGTGGTGTTTGACCACTTCTTGGCTGCCTTCAACCAATACCGTGCCGATTTGGGCGAAGATATGGTGGATTTGGATGCGATTGGCCACTCGGCAACTCGAACTCTTCAGGGATTATCCCAGCCAGGTGCAGATTATTTTGTGGAGTTGATCCCTCCTGGTCAAGAGCGTGATCAGATCAAGTCGGGATGTATGCTGTTGGGCAATGACGACGAGAGAAACTTTTTGCCTATGAGTATCGTGGTGGATTTTGACGTCTTTACAAGTACCAACTACAACCTGATGCAGGATCTCGCAGCCAATGGGTTTGTATCAAAGGCCGTCCCATATATCAAAAACCAATTGACATTGATGACTGACGTAACCAACAGCCAGGGCATTGGTGTGCCAAGCGATGAACTTGATGAATCAGCAAGTGCCGTTCTCAAGTTGCTCAGTCCTGATATTCGTGTCTCGCAGGTGGACCATATCAATGAGGGCATCCACAGGGGAATCAATGCCATGTACCAACGCATGGATGAGCATGTTCGGATGACAGCCTCGGATGATGTCGTGAGCCAACTCGATGCTCTGTTGTTGAGCCTTCAAACACCTGAAGCCGGATCACCAGCCGCCACAAGGGAAGGCATTTCAACCGAGTTTGACCTGAGCTTGAACCCTGCATGCTTCTACGAAGGACATGAATCCGTTCCAGACGGAACCCTGAAGCTTTGTGAATTTGCCGTGCTAAACAAGGCGAACACTCACGAAACCCGCGTACATCATGTGGAAACTCCAGAGCGGATTTTGGCAGGTGAATCGGATGTTGGTCCCGTCTGGATTTCTGAATTGCAACTTGCCAAGAATAACGGAGATGAAGTCAGCGGCTACCAGCCCATGGATGAGGTCAATAGACCTGTGGTCTATTCTGTGGCCTTTCTGAACACAATAACATGCTCCCACACAGAGCTGGCAACTAAGTTTGTTGAATTCTTGCTCAGTGAAGATGGGCAACAAGTATACCTTGACGGGGGCTTCGTGGCCTTGGATGGAACCGAAATGGGAGAAGCATATTCTCTTTCCGACGACGGAAGTCTCATTGTGGAGCCACTGTCGCCAGATGATTTCGTTGCTCCTGATGCTGCCGTGTGTTATAGTGATGACGGCGAAGATTCTGGTCCACCTGAAGAGTCAACTGATGAAGCTCCGGACGTTGAGAAATCAGGGGAGAATGAAGAGAACAAGGCCAGTTTGGAGGAAGTTGCATCTTCGGCATCTTCCACTCAATCATTGGCCTTCCTGGGAACGCTGGTGGCGGCCATTCCCTTCTTTTGGGCACTGCTTTAAATTAAGAAAGAGTTGGGCCGTTGATGCTTGTTCAATCAATTCTCTCCAAAGTAAGCAAAAGTCTTATTCTACAAGCAAAGCTCAGCAATCTGCAAAGACACGAGAAAAAAATGCGGCGTAGGAAGACATCCAGCTATTTATTGAACTCAAGGGATGCTGCCTATACCTGGCTAGCTAGCTAAGCGAGCACATGCCGCATAGCAATTGATTGTCACGTGCAGCTATCACATTCCGGAATGACGTCAGGGATTGCTTGGAGGACCTGCACTATCACGGCACAGTAGAACGACACTGCATGCACCTTGGCCAGTTCTTCTCAGTTTGTTGGGTACCATTATAGAGAGCTCATGGCAAAGTCACGTTCTACTTTTCCTTCGTCGTGAGATCAGCAGCTTTCCTGTCAAAGCCCCATTTCTGATACAAGATTGCTGATTGCGTCATATTGGTTTGAGCCTCCTCTTTCAAGCCCCAGTGTGAGAAAGCAAAGGCCAAGCGTTCGTGGGCCAACGCCATTTCATGCACGAACCCCGATTCCTCAGCATACTGGATAGCAGAATCAAACTTTCTCAGGGCGGTTTCTCTGTCACCATTCAACACAGCCCGCTCCGCTTCGAGCAAGTAGATTTTGTTTAGCACATTTTCCTTCCATGTCATGTTCCTATTCAAGGCCTTCAGTTTCTTCAGCGCCCTCAAACCAGCACTCCTTGGCTTCTTTCTGCCAGCATGCGCAGCTAACACATCAGCCATGCCCAGGAGAAACTGCAGTTGAACGACCAACATCGCACCGTAGATTGCATCAAAAGGCAAATGTCGGAGCCGCCGTGAAACACGTAGCCCATACGAATAATCGTTTGTGTAAACGGAAAGAAACAGTTGACAGAAGCAACTGACGATCAAGAGAGTAATGTCTTTCCTCCCCCATTTGGCTTCATCAAGGTCTGTCTCTTTGTCGCAAAACGCTCCATAATGTGCCGAATCAGTTTCATTACCGTCGAGCAGCCTCTTGCCAAGTTCCAGGCCCAAACCCACAAATGACATTTTCTGTCTAAGTTTTGAAAACTCTTTGTATTGTTCTTCCATTGCAGAAACGTGTTCCTGTAGCCGAATCCCAGCGCAGAAGCCATGCAAACAGTAGAAATTTGCGTGACAAAAGGCGATTTCGACGTCACCGCTCAACAAGCCTGCTTTCATCCCAGTGATTTGCGGTTCTATGCATGATCGAAACGGACTATGCCAACACTGCACATAGCCATATTCGAATATAAGCATTCGGCAAGTGTACTCTGGCGCGTGGTATCTTTGATCGATCATATGAGCAATTTGGGACAAACGTTTGGCATCTTCTGTCATACCCAAGACGGTAGTACCCAGGATCATCGCCAATGCATTGAAGGTGGCTGGCGTCATACCCGAGAATCCATATTTGATGGAGATTTCAACGCCACGAATGGCCCACAGAGGACTATATTCAGGCTTGCCCCGAATCACAGCGGCGACAATGATTTGCAAGATGCGAAGAGCTGCATGTTTATCCCATCGCTGCATTGGGCATGTCTTCAAAATACTTTCCGTGGATGTACGGCGCAGCCACAAAACGGTCTTGGCAATTCCAGCCAATGTGTGAATCTTGATTGCACTTCTAGGGAACGGTTCTCCTAGCCGCTTCAGAACCTTGAAGCCCAACTGGACCGCCTCCAAATCCAGGTGTCGAGCACTAAGCGAAGATATCTTTGCCTCATACGCCCTTAGCTGATCTTCCAACCCTTTTGTATTCTGAATGACGATATCGAAAAGCTGATCCAACGGTTGAAATCGGCCAGTGCAAAACTCCATCTCGATGGCTCCGTTGTGCAGTGCCAAGCACAGGTCATATTCGTATAGCCACGGCTTCTCGGGAAGCAACGCGATGCCTTGCGAAAAGAAGGATCCGGCTGATTCAAACGCAGAAGATGAAGCGGCCCTGATGCCCGCCATTTGGAGCAAACGAGCCACCTGTATCCGTTCTCGGGAATCCACTAAGAGACTCAAATCCTGGAGGAACATGTTTGCCACCAAATATGCATCCTCCTCCAAGTCGTCCGATGCTAACTTGGCGAGCAGTTTCCGTCCCACATTCACACTGTACTCTCGTCTCTTCCCTGCGGGAACAAGAGCGCTGCTGGCTTGCTGATATTTGTCGTGTCTCCATTGATAGTAGCAGTTTATGGATTCGTTCTCTTGTAATACCGCTTCTTGCTGCTGAAATACCCCGTCCTTGACCAACAAGTGGACTGCGTTTCGAAGGCCTTCGCGATCAGAGTTTGCCACCAGTTCCAAGTGCTTCTGGCAAAATGAAGCCCCCAAGAACGATGCAACTACGAGTGTTTCCTCCATGGCCAATGACGAATCCCCTAACCTCTGTATTTCGGCATCCAGTATTCGAGTTCGTTCGTATTCGTCACCAGTTGCATCGAAATCCTCCTCATTCCAGAGCCATGACCCATCTTTTGTTTGGTACACGAGCTTCTGGTCACGCAAAACACGCAGATTTTGCTGGATAAAGAAAGGATTTCCTCCTGTCAACGCATGAACCATTTGCGCCAGAGATCTAAATGATTCTTGTTTGTCCGTTGCCGAGGACGGCAAACTAAGTAGATCGGAGATCATGGCTTGAACTCCATCCACCGACAGCCCCTGCAGCTCGATGTTTGTGATTTGTACGTTTTGTTCTTCCAATCCTCTCAGAACCACGGATAGAGGATCATGAGGGGAAACCTCGTTCCCTCGGCAGGTTCCTAGAATCATCAATCCCGGTAGATTGTTTTCGGGGCCCCCCAGCACCATTAATAGTTCCAGACTACTCTGGTCCAGCCATTGCCAATCATCCAGCAGAAGAACAACAGGATGTTGTATACAGCAGAATTCTCTCAGAAAGTTGCAAAATAAGACAATAGCGGGCGATTCTGCAGAGCTTCCAGCATGACGATGATGATTATGATGATGTTGGACATTGTGGCCGTTGGATCTGGAAGAATCCCCCAAGAATCGGGCACTCCTGTCTTGTGATTCACAAAACAAGACTTTGCGAAAGACAGAAAATATCCCACACAGCAGCGCCACGCCAAGCTCTGTGTCTTTGGTGGCCTTCTCAATGGCCTCCTCAAGTCGTTCGGTCTCTTCTCCCGTGTCGTCTCGCCGTAAAATGGTTTCAACCAACTGTGTGACGGCGGCATTGAACGGGGCAAACGGCTCGTTGCAATGCTGCATCTGATCACATTTGCCCCAACAAAAGTAGCCTCGTTCGGCTTCGGTTCGTCTTGCCAAGCTCTTGGCCAACACCGTTTTCCCAGAACCACTCGGACCTGTCAATAGGGTGATCTCTTGAGGCGATGGCGTGGGGTCATTGCGACGGCGATAGGCTTCCAACAGCTGTTGCTGTTGCAACTCTCGACCGCAAATCTTGGAGGCGAGGCGAGTGGATCCCATTGTGGATGTGGACATGCAAAAGGACTCTTTCTTGGTCCAGTCTTTCAATCTTTTGCTTCCAGCATGTTGCTCAATGCTCAACCAAATGGTCTTTCACCGAGTTGTGGTGTGTGGTGGTGCTGGATGATGTTCCGATGTGTTCTTCGCTGCTACTCAAAAGCCTTAAAGTCATATGTCCTACAGTGACACAATGAGATTTCTGTTAAATCGCAAGTCATATAATACCAGGTAGTTTTTTTATGATGAGCTGTACATATTATGATACGGTACTGTACGGCGTTCCCCTGCCCCTGACTCAGAAGACTTAACCATATCCGCTGGCTAAAATTGAGTTTCGAAACTCGACTGGAGGGATCTTTTCGTGCATCCTGAAAAGTTGGAGGAGCGGCGGAGGGAGTTTCAATTGCTTTGGTTCAGCCATGAGATCACAAAAGCCACACAAGAGGACGATAATAGCGACCATGTCGAGAGATCACAAATCGAACAAGAAATCAAAGGCGGCATTGATTCATGAAGCAGTTGAAAAGTTTGAAACGCTGGAAAAGTTTGTCGCGACATTCCAGGACACGATTGTTACAGGGGGCGACGATGACGAAATCTTTTCTGCGCTGGGAGATGGCGTGATCTTTGCGGCTTTGTTAGAATCCCGTGACCAAGGCGAAACGCTGTTGCTTCATGCTTGCAGGCGACAGCTTTGGGAAATCGCCGAGTGGTTGCTCCATCATGGCGCTCAGGTCAACGTCGTGGTGCAACAAGAAGAGGCCCCTCAGCATGGAACCAGGCACTTGTCTCGTGAGACGCCGTTGCATTATGCTTGCAAGTTCAATTCTGGTGACCGACCATGGCGGTATGAATCTCGCATTGGATCGCTGGAAGTCGTGCGGCTCTTGTTGGAGAACGGGGCCAATGTCCATGCCGAGGATGCATACGGCAGCACGCCCGTCCACCTGGCAGCAGCCTCGGGCGACGCCAGGGTACTGGGCCTCCTGCTCGATCACGGGGGCGACATTTTGGTCGGTAAGGACCATCCCCGAACGAGGCCCCCCTTCAACCTTATCACAAGTGTGGAAGCATTGGATTTGGTTTTGGAGCGACGCCCGAAGTTGCTAGAACACACCGATCAACACGGAAATGGGTGCATTTACTGGGCTCGTAACCATCAGGTCCTCCGTAGGTTGTTGGATCGTGGAGCAAACCCAAACCAAGCCAACGAACACGGTTACACTCCGCTTCATTCCGGTTGTGCAAGTTGGCGCCACGATGATGATATTCAGTTGCTTCTGGAAGGAGGGGCTGATATCAACGCCAGGACCACGGAAAAACTGTTGACTCCACTTCATGTTGTGTGCAAGGGGCAAAACATTGTAACTGCAGAACTTTTTATCTTACATGGGGCTGATTTGTCAGCCAAAGACTATCAAGGAAACACACCTCTTCACCTACTGTGCCAAACCAAGGGACACGAAGCTTACGTTGGGAGGCTGCTCAGGAAGGGAGCTCCGGTGAATATGCAAAACAACAAAGGCGAAACACCATTGCACATTGCCTGTGGTTATAAAGTTGATGAACGCTTGGTTCGCGCTGGTTTGCTGGCGATGCAACGCTTTTACACCATTAACCGCCCTCGCCGTCATCCTCCTCCTTCCTTGGCCTCCCGGTTGTACAGGAGCTTGTTTACCTCTGCCGGTGGAAACAACCGCAACGACGACGAGGCGGAGGTTCCGGAACAGGACATCTATCTTGTTGCGCTCGTCGAGTGCTTGTTGAGACATTGCGCTGGTGCGTCTGTCCAGATGGCTGATGTCAACGGATCAACCCCGCTGCACATTGCGTGCCGGAAGGGCAGCAGAAGCCTTGTCCGTCTACTGCTGAAAGAAGGGGCCGATCCAACCGCCCGTGACAGCGAAGGTAACACACCCGTGCATGCTGCCTGTTTTGAAGGGCACTGGTCACTCCTTCCTCTGTTGGTGGATGATGGTGACGATGATGAGGTCAATGCATTGTCTATGAAGAACCACAATGAACAGCTTCCTTCTCATGCCATCTTTCTTCACGACAACGCCCCCTTGGATCTGTTGTTTCACGCTGTCAAAGACTGCAGTTCTGGTCTTCACTCGTGGGTGGGCACAATCGTCGCTGAATCGCGGTGTAAGTCGGTTGTAGGGTTCATGTCGCTGTGGTAGTTGCGGCTGGAGCCATTCATATTGCCATCTCCATGGATGCATGTAGCTGCGTCCTACCGTGTTGACCACCTGCCCACCTCGGTGGTTGGAAGTTCTAGTTCTGGATAATTTGTAGACGAAAGAAAGTAACTTGAGTGTCTGTTATGGTCTCTTTCATCATCTATGCAGCTTGTGTGAGTGTTTCATCTTCATGCAAGCACGACGCAAGCTTCCAGTGGCGGTTACACGACCAATCAGCATGTTTATGATCACATGCTTTCAAGTCTTGCAAGTACAGCTTTCTCAGTCGTTCCCATTTGATCCATGCCGAGGTTAGATCCCCTGGCAGTGGGTGATAGATGCTGTGCAAGGTGGCAAAAGTAGTGGCAGCGATCCTTCGAAACGGGTTGCCGTGATCCATTCCACCGTGAATAATGATGGCTTCCAGTACGTCTTCCTTATGGCATCCGTATGAGAGAGTGGAACGCAGAGACTTTACTTTCATGTCAGCCAAGTAACTTAGCCTATCATCATTCATGCCGCAATGTTGGATTGCTATGGCATTGTAGACATCTTCATGTTCTCCTCCCGTGTTCCAAGGGAGACCTGAGCAGTTGTTGACCAGTCCCTGGATCAAATCATGGGACATGATGTATCCCCAACCACGCAGCCACGGAATGCCCTTGATTGTTTCATTGGAAATGGGTGGAAAGTCTCTATCCATACGAATCCCAGCACCACCAAGAAACTTCTGTTTGGGTGTACTGGACAAGGCCTCGAGTAGATTGTCCATTACGACATAGGATTCGTCATCAAGTTTGATATGATACTCAGCGGGCATATCGTTTGCTGCCCAGATATACCATGCATTGCTTTTGCCAAAGTTGTGAACGTCAGTACTGTTCAGCAAAACGATGTCGTTGTAGTGTTCCATTTCAGCATGCAGTTCAGTAATATTTCGGCCCGCTTTGGTCGAGTCACCCTGGCTTGGATGTCGCTGATTTCCAATGACAAAGTATACCTTCACCTGTCCATTGCGAATGGATGAATGCTTCATCCAAGTATCGCGATGTAGCTGTCGAAGCTCTCGAAAGTCGTAGGATCCTGGACCAACTTGCCAGTCAAACGCTGACATGATCCCAATGGCAATCTTGGGTGGATGGGCACATTCTGTGTGCTTTTCTTGTGTATGGCTGTCTACAGCTCCCTCCACAGTTGGGTTTTCTGGTGGCAGCATCTGCAGCTCCCGCAAAGGCACCCATTCTGCCTTTTCGATCTGACTTGTGATAGAGAAGACTGTCAAAGCCACCAAAAGAAATCGAGTTGAGAAAGTCATCTTTATCATGGGATAGTGGATCGTTAGTTCAGCTTTGTTTGATGTTGTGGTCCAGTGTCTGCAACTCGTGCAAACGACGGTCGAACTTGGACAGCACGAGGCACCTGGTATGAAACAATGCCATCCTGAAAACTGGGCGAGGGCTGAGTGACTGACTCGACTGGGTCGAGTCACTCGTAGCTCCTTCTGGTGCCGATACCTTAGCCAACAGAGTTGGAATTGAGTGTCGTGGGAGTGGCCCAAGCCGAGGCAAAGTCCCACAATCTCCCGGGCTTGCAACTGGACCAATTGCAAGGAAGTGAGCACGCAGACAGGTCTATGCAAGCTAGAGGCCCGGTCAAGTTGTTTCTGCCCTGGACCCAAGACCAGGGCCTTTCTTTCACGCTTTTTTATCGAAGCGTCGCTCGATCAAACAATCCAACAGCTTTTTAAAAAAGACTAAATTTCTAGTTGCTCTTTCCAGTTAAAGACCAGTTGGTTGCGGGTAGAACGATTTGGCACACCCTACTAGCTAGCTTGCTTGCTGTCATCACTGTTGTCATTCAAGCTGCCTTGGCAAACCCTCTCACTCTGGCAGGCCACTAGCTAGGGCCACAAACTCATGGGTCGTTTGGTGCTGAATAGAAAAACTGGCTGCACCTCCGGTATTGGCTGTTGGCATGAAGATTCAATGATTCGATTCATTCATTGGCTCACATGCTTGGGCCTTTGCTTGGGCCTTCTTGATGCGGTGAAGGCCCTCGACAAAAGTAGCGGCGAGCCTGCCTTTGATGCTTATTTCAGGTTTTCGCCCTTAGCATGAGAATACTCATCATTCTACATACATGCACATGTATTTGTTCATTATTTGTTCTGGGTACTGAGTAGTACTCACAATTCCAAAGTCAAGTGAGTATGGGTACTGAGTAATACTCACAATTCCCAGGGTCAAGTGAGTACGGGTATCATGTGAGTACAGGTACTTGTGGGTACTATAGAGTACTCACTGAGTACTCATAAATCAATTACTTAGGGAAATTATCTAGGTTTTTCTAGTTCTGGGCTGGGGGCTCATCAATCTTGTTGTAAAGGTCCACCATGGCATCAATATCACTGTCATAATCCTCCTCTTCACATCTGCTGGCAGTTAGCTTGAGGAGATCATTGGTCCTATTCTTAGCCCATTCCTTTCTTGCATCATTGATGCATTGCTTGTAGTTCTGGATGAATGCACTGTTCTTGTAGCAAAGAAGGCGCATTTGGAATGCCATGTCAAACCATGTACAAGAACTGAAAACTCTTTCTTGGAAGCCGTTGCTATCTGGCATTTTTGTAAGTCAAAGTAGGTTTTCACCACTTCAATGTTGTCCAACCATGAAAATGGTTCATTGCCAAGTGTAAACACTCACAAAATACTCACAGAGTACTCACTGGTACTCACTTCGAAGTACTCACCGAAGTACTCACCGAAGACTCAAAAAGTACTCAAAATCCGGAGTCATGTGAGTACGGGTACTGAGTAATACTCACATTTTCTGAGGTCATGTGAGTATGGGTACTGAGTATACTCAGTACTCAGTACCCGTACTCACATCGAGTACACGCAGCGTGTATTTCATGTGAGTCCCACACCCTGATCCAGATTGCCATTCTTCGAAGAAACCCCCACATACTTCTTTCTGCTCATTGTCTCACTGGTATTCATGGCGAATACATTGAGCACGTGCTTATCGGAAAAGGACACCTTATTCTTTCTCCAAACTCCAAAGAACCCAAATCTTTCTCCAAGATGTCGTACCGCTGTGGTATCGACAGTCACAAGACGGTGGAAACCAATGGGAACGTGACAGGTTGAACCAAGCTTGTCCGCATTGGGGAAGCGAAGCTTCGTTCTTTCTTTCTTTACCGTGATGATCATGCCTTGATGGCCATCGCAATTGCCTATTGCCCACAAAATTCTACCAATCACCGACCATCAAGAATCATTCAGCACACCTTGGAGGAGAGATCAAACGAAGTCTATCCCTTCACTACTGCTATCATTTCTGTTTTTAAAAACTATCAACCATGAGGAGCGACGATGAGATACCCCCATGCCGCCAGTACCAAGGCGAAGCTCCCGAATGCGTGGGAACCTGCCATCACTTGGTCCGGTCCGAACTCAAGGACCAAACTCCCCATGACATTTGCGGCGAGTTGCGTGCGTACTGTGAGTCTCAAGCCCTGTCTGACTTTTGCGAGTTGCACGGAGTCCAGGGAACCAGCTTTTCGCGGAATCCCCATCTTCGCCGTCGACGATGGCTGCCACAGAGCAAACTGTATCGTCACTTTTGGGCGGCCTATCACGAGAATCCCGATCTGAACATTGCCTTGGGATTCCACGGTACCGGCGATGCCAATGTCCCCAAGATCTTGCATTACGGACTGGACCCACAGTACCGAAGGACGCAAGCCTTTGGCAAGGGCGAGTACTTTAGCAAGGAACCTGGCCTGGCGTCGACCTACCGACACGAAGGACATTGTTTGATTGTCTTTGCTCTGCTCATGCCCAAGGACCACGAGAAGGTGTACAGTCAAAAGGACCGTGACATTATCGTCATTCCAGAGCTCTATCATCAATTGCCACTTGGCGTCATTCGCTTCGCGTCACTGGACGAAGCCGCCATTGAACACTCGCAGTCCATGCGCTTGTCCCAACGGGCGCTCAAGACGGCTGCGTTGGATGCCGAAGCCAGAGTCACCGAAGTACAGTGCAAGGACAAGATGGAACCGTTGCTGCAACAAGGACAGTACGCGGAGGCTGCGCAGACCTTGCGTCAAGCCACACGTTGCCACAAGCTGTCGCCGGAAATGACAGACGAGGTCGTCGAGATGCTTCACAAGTACATTCCAGACCCCAATGCAAGGCAGACCTGGTTCCCTCGGTTGGCAGCGGTTGAGGAGCCGCCAAAGTCTCACAAGGGCAGCAGCAAGACCTTGAAGCAACTCCAAGAAGACGCCGAGCAGGCATGGAGAAAGTTCTGGGCCACCAAGATGGATCCCCGTCGAAACATACTACGCAAGCTTAATGATCCAGCAACAGATCTGTTCAAGGGCGACCACATCCAAAGGGATGCCGCACCCCCATGTCAGGAGGTCCAACATCGGGCCGCTGGAACCGCGGTACTGATGGATCAGTAAGTTGTTCACCGCGCAATATGTATTCCCTCTTTGTCGCCGCTCCTGTGAAGCGTACACGTCAAATGTAATTGAATCCAATCCTGCCGTTCCTCAACTCCCAAAGCTAAATCTAATAGATGTTATGATGTTGCCTGTCAGATAGTGCAAAGACTGATCGTTTCATCTTATCGTGTTGCTACCCAGCTAGGCATAGTTGCGCACCAGTATAATTGACTGCCTTCCTCTGTGTCCGTGCCCACAGCCGGATTCTAGTAGTTACGGTAGCCAATCAGCGCCTCCGGTTAGTCACCCCAGAGCGGCCATCGGAGCCCACCAGTACTGGACACGGTGGTGGGAGGTCCCTTGCGAATGAATTGCGCGCTCCAATAACCACAAGCGAACTTGACGAAGACTAGAAGATTGGAACGAACGAGTGGGCCAGCCTAGCTAGAGCTGACAGAAAAACTAAGGAATGAAGTACCGGTACGTTGCTATAAAACACTGGGCAAGTTGCCCGTTCGCACCAATTCTGCAATCTTGGTGGCATCATGCTCTGGTTTGTCTCTGGTTTGAACGTCGCATCGTTGCCGGGCCACCAATGAGGCAAAGGTTCCTGCTTGTTCCAGTGTAGCTCCTTCCATGGTGGCCGCTGCATAACAAAACCCCGAAAAAAGAGCATCTCCTGCTCCGTTGGCGTTGACGTTGTTCTCTGCGACGGCAAAGGCTGGTACTCGCACCGCCGACTGTGCCTTCCAATTGTCGCGAACAATGGGAGGGCATTGGCTCAAGCGACTTGAATCGGGTGTGACACTAATATAGGATCCTTTCGATCCCAAGGAAAGCAACACCACGGCACATCCTTGTTGGTGCAATGCCGCCGTCACTTGTTGGAGTGTTTCGTCACCCGAGAACAAATCATCCTTTTGAACGCCTGCCAATATTTCTGCTTCCTCTTCGTTCAAATGCAAGACATCAATCTGGTCCATGGCAGGTGCCAATAGTTCTGGTCGATGATTGTCGGCACTAACTCCATTCAAATCGACACCAATCAAAATGTCGTGACCAAATTTGGTTCGGATGGATTCCAGCATGGACTTTAATGGTTCGCCTTGCATCTTGGGCAACAAATGAGGATACCCAAAGAGAAACGCCTTGGCGGCCGAGAGTTTGTTCAATTGACCCAATAACTCCTCCGTCGTAAAGCCATTGTTGGCGGCTAGATTGAAGAAACACGCTCGTCCTCCTTCTTTGAAAATGGGAAGCACCGCCATGGCCGTAGAAACCATCTCATCCTGAATGCACAAGTCCGTCTTGGCGCCGGCTTGACGATAAAAATCCAACATGACTTGCCCATTCAGATCCTTGCCCAACTTGGTCAAGACGTGAATGTCATCGTCACATAATAGCGCTAGTGTCGTGGCCGCCATGGAAGCCGAACCACCCGCGCAGTGCACCGCTTTCTCATACTGTTCGATGGCCTCGGCTTGACCGGATTTGGTACAACCAATCAGCTGCAGGTCGAGACAACTCAATCCGGCGCAGATAATCGTAGTCTTCGCTTGGTCTGCTTTCATGGTGGATGATTTGTTGGTGGTGGCTGCCGTATGACCATACCGGTACTACGGTACTGTGGCACGTGCAGCTCGTTTTTGGGTGTGTGTTTGCTAGAGAGTTTGAGGCTTTTGTTTTCTCGGGATGGGTTTGACATCACTGACGTACTTGATGTTTCGAGCCATTATCGCAGGCAGTGGTGCGTTTCAGTCACTCGACTCGACTCGGCTCACGCGGAGGAACAAACGCTCGTTGCTCTGATTGGATTCCCTTAGCTTCTACTACATGTACGTAGCCTCTGGCCAGCCAGACTTGTAATGGTATGTGCCCAGCAAAGACAGAAGACGACTGCAATCAAAGAAGTTCCATAACGAAGATGTTTCCTGTCACTTAATGGACTTTTTATTTGAAATCCAACAGCAAGAACAATGGGAGACCTACGTACGATGCAGGTGTGCCCAGCATACACCAAACACCAGGAACCGCCCATGCAAGAGCCAGCTGAATCTTGGTCGAAGCCACGCTCTTGGTTCTGCTTGCAATTCGTAAGCAATTATTCAGCAAGAACATCCTCCCTGTATGCCACGTTTGCCTTCAAGAGCATTTTCGTCTACTAGTTCCAACCTCGCTCGTGGTGTCTTTTTGCTGCCTCCACGGAATCCTTCCTATCCCAGTATGATTCCTGGCGAGACTTGGGTTGTCCTTGCCTCGCCTCCAAGCAGCCCACTGCGATGTACCTTGGTTGAGTCAAGGCTCGCTTGGAAGCCAGCCGCGGAACCTCATGGAGTTAATCCCGTGGCCAGCGAGCTCACAACAGGCTCTCTTGAAAAGGGACTTGAGTGGGGATTCCGCGAATCTTCAATACACGACTTACCCTGGCTTTGGCTTTAAGATTCTTGAAAGTTGTGATTGTGCGCCACCAGAGTCAGAGGAACAACTACTTGTTAACGCCACCACCAGTCAGATTCGTAAGGACAACAATGGCAGTGTGGGTTGGTTATTCTGCAGGTTCGGCCTCGTTTTACCAGAACATCGATCGAGAGTACATGGAGATATCGAAACTTTGTCACCAGTCTCTTCTCAAGCCAGCCAGGCCTGATTTGTTCAATTGCTACATAGCTTAGTTATTGTGGTTTCTAACCAATTAGGCTTCCACTTCATCAACAGACGTATGATGGTTTTGTCACTTGTAAAGTAACTGATACTGAGTGGCATTTTCAAGCAATACATTCTGCTCTATTTTCCACCTACCGGTAAATGAAGCGGCTCCTGACACCAACTTGTCATATAATTCTTGGGTTATCTTAACCATAAGGCTAATATGAATTTTCTCAACCCTACATACCAATTCCACAGTCGTTCTTACTGTACAAATCCAAACGGTCGCCTACCCGCCCTCCTTCCTTCGCCCACTGATTAGCGTCCAACGAGAAGAAACAACGGCGGAAGCAAAGTCTTTGTGTTGTTGTGGTTCCCCAAAGAAAGAGACACAACAGAGAAAGAACAACGGCCCACAATCCATTACAATAGGGTATCAGGCATCAATCCAACAACCCTCCCCAAGTTGCGTTGTTGCGTTGAGTGGAACTGATTGCTGCCGCCATCTTGCGATTGTAGAGATTCGACAGAAACGTAACGGTGAAACGGCGACTGACACTCGGGTTCACAAGAACACCGCAACGATCGAACGAAAGAAAACGGTCATTGTCCACCCAGTCAAGCCAGATTGGTAGACTAGTCGTTGGATCCACATATATTATCATCTTGTGATCTGCTACCGTATTACGGTATCACCATGACCAATTCGGATCAAAGACGATCGTCTCCTACCGAAGACACGGGAGACACGGTGCCTCATCCACCTTCTCCCAACGAAGCCGTGCTAGTGGAACAAGCCGTGGAACAAGAATACAGCGGCGACGATCTCTCAGATGACGATGATGACTCTCAGGATGGGGATATGGATTATTCCAAGATGGACGCATCCAAAAAGAAGCGAAAAGTCAAAGTCAAAAAGATTGCCAAGGCAGCCAAGCGTGCCGTGGTTCCCAAAATTGAACCTCTTCCGTGGCAAAAGTTCCTGGGGCTGAGTCTGCTGGTGGCGATGCCCTGTATTCTGTACATTATCTGCTTTTCCGCAATGGGATTTGGATTGGATTGGTTCTTTTATCTGGATGGAAAGTACGGTGGAGAGTACACTTCTTTGGTGGGCGGACTGACTGTGATTTGGTTCTTGCTGTTGTACATGATGGATGTGGATTCTTGGGTAGAACGTCCCTGGATACAACGTCTCTGCGGGTTGATCTTTACTGTGGGGTTGTTCTTCACGGTCATTTTGATGATTGGAGATTATCCCTATCTACCCATTTGTCTATTTGCCGCATTGACGCCCCTCTGGCTCATTTCGGCAAATCATGTCATTCGAGCAGCTCATACCAGGGTCTATGTGGGGTGGTTATCAGGACCCTTGTTCTGTGTGTCAATATTCATCATGACCGTATGGATTGTCTGGGTATTTATGGACGAAACACACGAATACAATCAAGTCACCAAAGTGGTCTTTGCACAGGCTACGGGATGTGAGCCCAACCTAGTAGACTTCCCAGAATGTGCCAATGATTTTGCACCCATCACACCAGCACCCACATCAGTCAACACCACGTCCTCCAATGTCACTCGGCACTTGCACGTTCTCCCAAATGGTACTTATTACCACCACATGGACGATTACACTGCGTCACCCTTTACTCAAAGCCCAACAACCCCCAGCCCGACACCCGCAATATACAACACTCCCGCCAGCTCTCTGGTTTGTTTTGATGTCGTGATACATCCACCCGCATTTGGTTTTCCCGCCGATCAAGTTTGCGACCCTTCTTGTCCCACCGATGTCTACTCGGATTGTGCCAATGGATTCATTCTATGGGCCGGACCACTGTTGGTCAGTCTGGTACTATTCTTTTTGAGTTTCTTTTGTACGTTTTTACGAGCCGACAATTCCGAACAGGATATCATCAATTTCGGAAAACTATGGTTGTTTTTGCTATTCACCGTATGGCTCACGGCATCCTTGGCCGGAGTCGCGGCGGGTTTGTCCTCGGTTCTGGTGGCCATGACGTTGGCATCCTTTGTCGGGTCCATTATCTTTGTGGCCATGACACGCAGTCGATTGGAAGGAAAACTGCAGGCAAAGCAAATGTGGGGACGAGTGAACGAAAATTATGGTGCTTATTTGGATGCGGCAAGGGGATTGTTCCTGCTGTTGTTTGCACCGTTGCTCGTGATCTACGGGTTTATGAGTGTCATGAACCAAGCCGTGCGAAAGTTGGGACTGCCGTTTTCCAAACCACTCAAAACACCCGAAACGCAAAAGGACTTTTTAACCAAACGAACACGAATTCAATTGAATATGATTCGATCTTGGGATCGAGCCAAAGTTGTGAGCTGGGGTGTTCTTTGGGGCATCTTCTTCATGGTGATGGTGGTCATTGTGGCACAATTTACAGTACTATTTCTGTCCTACTTGATTGAAGTCACTTCGGCGTTGAGTGTGATTGCCGTCACGGCCATTTTGTGTGGGGTGGGTATGATCATGTTTCTCCTCCCGCCCGTTCCGGGTGTACCGATTTACTTGACATTGGGCATTGTCATTCAGGGTGTGGGTCGAGACACACTTGGCATTATCGGGTGCATGGCCTATGCCAGTGCCGTGTCGCTGGGTCTCAAGCTTGTGGCCTGTACCGTGCAACAAAAGTTGATTGGAGAAAACTTGGCCAAGTATGTGTCGGTTCGTAAATTGGTGGGGATCAATACAACTCTGATCAAGGCCATGCGGCTTGTCTTGGCTCAGCCGGGCATGGGCATTGACAAGGTCTGCATCCTAGTTGGTGGCCCGGATTGGCCTACGTCTGGTACGTTTTGCTTAGGTAGCCGGTCTGTTTGTGTGAAACTGCCATACTGACCTGATTGTAAATAATGATGTTTCCGCCGCATCCAGTCCTCTGCGGTATCATGGGGCTTGACTTGCTTCCGGTGTTGTTTGGTACGCTGCCTGTGTTTGCCTTGATCTTCCCCACCGTTTTGCTGGGATCCTTTAACTACATGGCAGGCGCGACGCTCGACAATGGAGAATTGGAATTCCCGTATGCTGCCGTGCTTGGGACAGTTTGCACAGCAGTGACGGCAGTCGTGCAGCTGGCTGCTATGATTATGGCGGCCTACTATCTCGAACAGACAACATCGCTGAGAGCCGACGAAATTGAGGCAATCGAAGACGATGCAGAGGTAGCAAAACTGGAGAAAGACGAAGAGCATCTCAATCACTGCTACAGCGTTGTGACCCAATGGGACGTGGTACCAAGAATATGCAAGCTGACGCTGTACGCATCATTCCTGGGCATGGTAGTCAGCTGTTACATGGTGCAAGTCTTTTCGGATCAGTGCTTCGCCGAATACGAGTTGACCGATACAATCGACGGGAAACTGGGTGGAAAATGGTACAACCTGCTCACCCCATTTGGGTGGTATTCCGTCGTTCTCTTTACGATTGCTTGTGTTTTGTATTGGGGCTTTGTCAGTTGGGCCAGCGTAAGTAAACGCACTCGCGCTTTTGTGATTGTTGCTAGAGGCCGATATTAGCACCAACACCTCACTTTTCTCGCAACATTGTGTACTGACAACAGGGCGAAGCAAAAAGGGAGGCGGAAAGAAACCCTCCCACCAAAGAACAACTGGAAGAGCAACCCCTGCCTGCGACAACTCCATGAGTTACATGAGGGGGAAGTACCGGTATGTCTTGGGAACACGGTACTGAGCGACGGGAATCTGTTGGTGAAACGTAGGTTCTGAAACCGTGACAACTTGTTTGGGTGACAGATAGCTGACGGCATATGTATGATACAAAGGCTGATCAAAGAACGAAGCAAATGTTACGGCTGTAAAACTAGCACGACTATATCGACACCTGGTGGAGGTACCGCACTTGACCTGCAAGGGAGCCACCTCGCCATGAGGCCAATCGTCTTCTTTGTGAGGCGCATGCTCCGATGTACCGGTTTGGCGACTTCAGCTTCTAGCATCGGCTGGAAAACGTCCTTGTGGGTTTTGGCACTTTCACTACATTTATCACTCTGTTCGTAAGCATTGGCAACACTATCCCGCCGTTGACACTGATATCATGCAAAGCGTTCCTGCCGTTCGACGGCAAATCGTTTTTCTTGGTGTCGCTCACGCCACGAACTTCGTCCCTGGTCGGGTAATAATCATTGATTCCACATCATTCATCTGCCTCGACAAGAGTCTCACTTAGGCATATGCATACCCCAAACGGAAACAACGGCGGTGATGATTGAGCAAATCATCGAAACGGCGCGTTCGCAACAGGTTGATCATGTTCTCCCGGTACACGGCGGTATCCACGGCCTTTTCACGCGTAAACGCACGGTTCAAGTTGTCACCAGCCAGAAATTCCGAAGTCGCCGGGTTTTGGAGATAGTCTGTGAAGTTGTTCTTCAGTAGCTTGTAGTCACGAAAGCTCGTGTCAAAGTGCTGGCAATACTCGTCATAGTCGCGACAAGCATCAGCTTTGAAGATTGCATTTGCAAGCTTTCGACACTTGCCTTGGAACGCGAGAGGGGTCTCGTCTTTCACAACGTAGTCGACGAAGGCCTCTTTCCGTTTGTATGCGTAATCAATGCCGAAAAATACAGCTTGGGACATATTCCCTTTTTCTACTAGGCAGTCGACGAACGGCTCGTAGAAATGGCGATCCCAAGGCCAACTATTTCGGAGGTAGTCCTCCGACATATTTTTTTGGATATAGCGTCGCAAACCCACGACCGCTCGAAGGTTGCGGGACGGACAGCGCGGAATGAGCTGTTCGCGAGGAGAAAGGAAGTTGTTGGCCGACAATTGCGTGTACACCAGCTTTGCTCTGTCACAGGCCGCCGCGATCTTCTTCGCGGATGCGCTGCTCGGAGCCGCAAGCAGGTCGCCTAAGATTGCCACGGACGGGCCCATAAGCAGAGTGAAAATCCCGTTGTCATCAAACGTCCCTTCGAGCATCAGCTGCTTCGAAGGATTTTCATACCCTTCTAGTGCTTCATGCAATTTCTCCAACACAGCTTGAACGCTTGCTTTCTTCTTTGCAGCCCGAGACTCAGTCTTTTGCTCTCGCTTCTGACGCTCGAGTTCCTTCTTGGCTGTTTGGAACCCCTCATACTCTTCTTCAGCCTTGGTGTGAATTGCAATGATCGATTCTCGGTAGTCGTTCTGGACACTCTGGAGAAATTCCTCTTCCATCTTGACGAAGGCGTCCTTCTTGTCCTCATCGCTCGTGTAGGAACAGAGGACTTGTTTCGCTTTGTGAGCCAAGAGCCAAGGACCAACCTGCTCTCCCGTAGCCGCTTCTACGATATCCTGGTTTGGCAAGTTGTAAAAGGCTTTGCCGTTGGCACATAAAGTATCGTCTCTCGAATGAAAACACTTCGTGGTGAGGCCAAATGTGCAGTCCTGGCACAGAGCTATGCCGAGTGGACGGATTTTTGTTTTCGAAATGCTTTCGGCTTTGCGAGTCACGAGATTGTAGTGATGGCACAGCTCTCCTCGTTCACAGCGCTTGGCTTGTACAATGCGAAGGAGACGAAAGGTGGATGGGACGTGGATTACTCCCATCTGCACCAGTGTCATGACGTCACCAATGACGGCCCTGGACTTTCCACCCGCAAAGACGCTGGAGCGAATGACAACCTCTGGTGTGATGGCATCCCGAATGAATTTGGAGCATTTGGATAAACTATAGACTTGCATTGGGTCGGCCAAGAATGAAAGGATTAGATTCACCACTTCTGAAGCAATAATTTCGAATGGTGGGTGGTTGCGTTGAAAGGCTTCCACTTTTTTGCGCTTGGCCTTGGCTAGGCGAGTGGACTCGGCTGCTTGTAGCGCCGCTTCGGCTTCTTGAGGATCTAGAAGTTGGGTCTCATCATCGTCTTCATCGGAGCTACGGCGCTTGCGACGGGTGGACACCATGGTGGACTATTTTCGGCGGTTGGAGAAGAATGTCGAGTCACAGTAAAATCAATATTCTCTTCTTTTTGCCATGAGATTCTTGCAATGACAGCCCAACTACGCGACAATACAAGTGTAGGAAGCTGCCGCTCCAAAGTTGTGCAGCAACACAACAATACCGGCACCGTACCGTACAATGGAAGGAAGGAGCCAAAAGCACAACAATGACAACAAAAGCCGCCTCGAAAAAGGATTGTGAGGGGCTTCTCTTTTCAAAAAAAATGCAAATAAAATAATTTTACCATGCGCACAATGCCCCATGTGAATGCATATTTGACCCCTAAATAGCCCCCACCGTACTTCCGCCGGTGACCCACAAGCCAGGAGCTGGAAAGCGGCCCATTCGATCGCTTGAGTTGAGTTGATGAGTCAATCGATAATTTTTCCTGGATGGTCTTGGTTCCTCGCATCATTCCAAGGAAGTGAAAGATACGAAGTATTCTTGACTGCCTTGAGCTTCGGTCAAGAAGAGCTTAAAATCTTGTATGTACTAGTAAAACCACTCATCTTCGACCGCTGAGGCCATGATATCTAACTTGGGGTCCGCCGAAGCTACAATAGGCTATAATCTGCTGCACACTAATCACGATTGTGTGCGGTCCAGTACAACCGAAGGCTAAGGCAAGGCTTTGCGCGTTCACAACTCCGGCAAAACTCAGTACTATCAGTGTTACCTGAGGCAGGATACCAGCCACGAGCCCACCCAGGGGTTAGCCAGCAGATAGTGGTCTATTCGTAAGCAATATGAGTTCTATATGTGGTCCAGCTATGATTTGATTAAATGATTCGATTCGGAACAGCAATGCTTCAAGCTACATGTATAACTGGTAGCATAGCAAGGGTTCAATCCATGCTCTGGCTAGTTCTTTTGCTGTCACTTGTCTGTATTGTAGTGCTGAGCTTGAACACAACACCGCGAAAGATGTCATCCTGCCCAATCACCAATCTCGGCTTCATGCAGCTTTGGACGAGAAACAGCGGGATCCCAACTTGACGTTGCCTTGGCTCTTGGTGTGGGCAAGCAGGGCTCGACGGCTAGGCCCTCCAGCAAGGCCAAGTCCAGAATTGTTTCTCGACAGACCGCGTCCAGAAGTGTTCCTTGTAAGCGCCCTACCAGAGGTGCTTCGTGGCAGTCCTCGCTTATCTGCGCTGAACGACTTGCTTCGGCCCGGCAATGCTCTCGAGTCGCGACAGTGTGAGCTTCCGCCAGACAAACTCGAAAAGGAACAGGACAAACTCTCGAGAAGCTTAGTAGAGCTTCCTTCCCGGCCAAACTTCTTATTGAAATCACTCCAGCTTTCATTTTGGGGCTCTTTGGTGATGAACATTGTCGTTTGTTGGTGATTGTTTCTCGTTTGATTCCTCGATTTTTTGTGGCAATCCTTTGCAGTGTGAGGTCAGAGGCTTGCACCTCTTCGATGTGTACCGGTACCGGTACCGGTACCGGTACCGCACAGTGGACTGACTGGACTGAGCAGCGGCCTCTCACCCAACAACGACCAGGCTCCATGCAGGATATTTCCTTGATGCGAACTTCTAAAAGCTGCCGTTGCTAGCGATGACCCGTTGAAAATACTACGAGTAGGTTTCTACAGTTTGTCCAGAAACAAAAATGGCGTCAGGTGAAGAAATAATACTGCAGCTACGAACGGGTAGACGGATCCCGGACTTCGGCAATAGATGCTGACCCAAAGATATCTTCTATCACAACAAGCTTGCAACAGCTCTTGCAACGCCATACAATGCTATCACCGGTGAAATCGGTCTCTTCTTTTTTATAAAGGTTGGTTGGTTGTTCCGGATGACTGACACGTGAGATCGAATGCCAGTTGCTTGATCTTTTGTTTTACCATGACCCATCGAAGGAAAATATGATTTAACAGTTTGCATTCACTGGTTCACACAGGCGGTTCTCTTTCGTGTTGGTGGGATTCTTTGCGGTCCATAAAATTGCTGCATTTCGCTCCAGGCTGTTCAGGCGAGTTCAGAGGCTGTTCAAACCACTGCTACGGATGGTCCAACAGCGAGAATATTCTCGATATTCTCACTGATGACGTCACAGTACACCAGCCCAAAATGCACCCTGCCTTTCGCCCCAATCCCACCATACAAACCGTATGAGTACATGTAGCATGCAGTTGATGTGGTGAAGGCGTTGTAGGATGAACTCAACCAATATGGCACCTACACAAGCAAACTGACTATCTAGAGTTGTCTACATTCTTTGCTTGTCGCAGCCATGTGCTGGTTGTGGTGGTGACTGCCATGTAGGAGGCATTATCTTATGTCAAACTAGATGCTTCATTTTTCTTCCGAATATTCCAGCTTCACCTTCATTTCCGACTGTGTCACCCTTCTGCTATCAACCCAATCATACATATTGATCTAATGAGTACATTAGGGAGGATGATATCATTGAAAGTGAGTATTAGGATCCTCGACTTTTAAAATAGAAAAATGTGGCCGCCCCAGACCACAAATCCAAAATGAGCCAGAGACAACTCCAGCATCTATTGTAGTGGTTCATCTCATAGTAGCAATGGCTTTCGTCATTCATTCTTGTTGGTTTGAATACCTGATGGAACCATTCCATCAGATGGGTCCATTGGGGCTGTTAGTGGGGACAGAGATGGACTGTCCTATCGGTGACAGTATTTTTTGCCAGAAAATGACTGCCCTACTTCGCTAGCCATTCATCACTCCCATGGCCAGCAAATAAGCAAGCCACTACCACCACTGCGACGGGCACATCTAAATTGTGTATCCACTATCTCAAAGTACTGTCAGGTTGACTCTATTGGATAAACTGTTGAGGGTATATCTATCAACTCGCTTTGATGAATTTCTTGTGAGGTGGGAGTTCTGAAGCTGGAGCCGAAGGTAATTTGCCATTATTTACCCCATTGTCCTGAACCATTCTCTCTGTTGGGCCATTCTCTCTGTTGGGCCATCCCTAGACTGTACTCGTAGTCTGGCTAGCTGCTTTGTGCTTGTTGCTTGTTACCACTGGCACCGGTATCCACCCCCTCTCTAGTAGCGGTAACGTAGTGGCAAAGGTATTGCTTTGTGGTTCTCGCTATCGGTAATATTGATCTTTAGCTCCGCAAAAGTGCCATTGACGCCAACATGAAAGGGAAGAGAATTGGTTCTTTTGACGAGCCGCATTCGTACGTTTCGTTTGCGGAGGCCTTGATTTCCTTGCAGCCGCATCTCAACTGCAAGCCAACGCGAAGCGGGCTACCGTAGTGGCGAGTAGCTGCTCTAGCTAGCAAGAATAGGCCGGACAGGCAGGCTTCGAACAACCATTCAATGGCTGGAACTCTGCTGTGGTCTATTTAGTTTTGTAAAGCGTTGTCTATTTCTGGTATGAACTATGCTAGACTCTAGTATGTTCTTTGGAATGGAGAGGACACAGACGCAGGGACTGCAGGAGAGTCAATTAAACGGTGCTCCTGCCTAATCATCGGGTCAAATACATGTACCTTCAGCATTTGCGTTCAGCTGCCTTGGAGGCTTCAGAGGCGTAAATGGTTTCTTCTTTCTTCGCTCAGCCATACCAATGGACGTGTTGGCCGTTTTTCGAGCATCGTCCTGATCTGGAAATGTTTGGCGTTGTTCAAATGCTCATGCTGCGTTCGAAACTGCACTTAGACGGTGCGAAACAATGCCAATCTTTATATTGCCTTGACTCTTTGTCCTGGCCAACAAGGATCCTCGTCTTGCGATAGCGGTAGTGCCATCAAACGATGAACCCCTTCGACCGGATGACGACCTATGCACCGAACCGCCGACGACATCGACTAGAGATTTTCCTCTTCTTGGCGGTGATCGCCTACTGGCGTCGACGTCTCCATGTGATGAGCCGTTCCCCAGAGCGGCTTTTGACAGGGACTTTAATAGCATTGATTGGCTGCCTTGGCGCCCAAATTTCTCATGGAATTCGCTCCAACTTTCAGATTTGATGGAGGAACTTTTGGTTTTGAACATGATGTTTGTTGTTGTTGCTGCTGCTGCTGCTGCTGCTTGAAGGTTTTGTTTGCTTCTTCTTTGTGAACTGAATTATGAAGGAGCGCAATTATGATCCGATAAAATATATGTGCGTGAGAGAGGAGATGCTAGCTAGCTACCAGTGGTAGGGCAGAGCTGGAGGGATCAAGTTGCCATGCAACATTGACAGTGCTCATTGCCCATCTGCATGTACTGGTGTCTGCGGGGGCGGTAGCAATAAAGGGCAGTGGCATTTTGCGAGTGACCTTTGAGATCTAATAAGAGCCTCTAAGCTCCTCTAGTGCATGGTACCGGTAACCGGTACCATACCAGGAAGCTACATGTACCTGGTACCAGGATCAAAAGATTGACGCGTGAACCATTGACAGGGGGTCAACAGCACCACAATGTAGCTAGCCTGTTTAGTCTTGGTTTGCTAGTGACTCAATCAAGGAAGAAGAAGAAAAAAACACAAGTCCTCTGCATCAACAGCAAACAGTGTTGTTGTTGTTGCCATCTCCTTGTGATTAAAACTAGCTAGTAGTGGTCATACCATCTACCACTACTCCACAAGAAGAAGCTGCTTGATTCAAAGTGCTTCCACTGTAAAAGTCAAATTCTGATCTGTACTGTATTGCATACTGTTTGATCAATGTACTTTCCTGCTGCCCATACCGTTTACGGTTCATCGTGGGAACAATTTACTGTTTACTGTTTACCGTTTACCGTTCATACATTGACTTGTTCAAAAGAGGACAATATCTGTGTACGATATACGGTTTACGGTTTTACAAATCAAAGTTGATTTACGATATACGATAAACGGTATCCTCCCTCCTGCAATGTCTCCAAAGAAGCAAGGCACAACCCAAAGCCACAGCAGATAAACGGTAAACGGTAAACAGTACACAAAATAATTGAAACGGTACACGGTAAACCGTGTTGAATTCTCTTTACAAAAATATCAAAGAGAAACACTGCGGTAAACGGTATACCGTTTGGGCTGACCACATGTGCGCATTGTATACCGTATACCGTATCCGCCACCTCATGGGTGATGACTAAATTTTTAGGCAGAAGTGGGTGGGCCTGCTACATTGTGGTGCTGTTGACCCGCTGTCTTGAGGAGTACGCGCTAACCAGTGTACTTCAAGATAATAACTGCACCTGTAGCTCTCTTAAGTCATTCGTTTCCCCTCCTATATCATGTGTACCCAATGCAAAAGCACAGGCAAATGAATAATGGTGTCAACGTGTCAACGTGTCAACAGTTTGGGTGTGAGTCCGTCGTGGACTTCATACAAGAAGCCTCGCTGATCGCGAAAGTGTTGTTGCTGCTAAGAAATGGATGTGGATCCCTGGCTTAGTTGAAGGCCCAGTACCTTCTCTCCATGTCTTGGCCATCTCTACTGCTTGCTTGGTTGAACGGAGATTGGAGGCTCAAAAAGAGAAGACTTCTTGAACCCGTATTGGAATACTAAGCGGGGCTGCAGGTCGGGAGGTTTTGGGGCTAAAACGGTGTGTAAAACCAAGGCAAGATGCGACTCACACTCGGAGGCACACTGCGGTACAATAACTCGACGAGATTTGCTGCAATGTCAGCTGTCTCCAATGCATTTTCTAACTTCTAAATGATATCTAGCGGTGTAAATATAGTCACCATCGTAGTTCGTTCCGTCTTGGGGGCGGGTGATGAGGGGACTGTGCCGGCCCCCTTAGGCGTTTATACAATTATGCCGCGGTCGTTGCAATACCAGAGCAGCGGTCTGGGCTGCTTTGACGTTCAGGCATGATTGGTCTTCCAGCGCCTCGAACAGCGCTCAAGCTCTTGGCGCGACGCAAGAGTCCCCGTCGACCCTGTGCGAACCGGCCTCCAGATTCAGCTACTGCATCTTCCTGCTCGTTCGAATCCTCCAGTACATTCAAACGTTTCTGGCTTAGCTGACGATCAAAGCGCCTCTTCGTGGCCGTCACAGCATCAAAAACAGCAAGTCCCGCAGCGCCACCCGCAATGACTGCATCTGTCAAAGCTTCTGTGGCGGCAGTTGCAAGTCCCACCGGTTCCACCTCTGGCTCCGGGGGCGCCTCATTCGAGACGTATCGAGCCTTTCCGCCCTTGTCTTTCCAAAGAGTCCTCTTTGGCATGCTGTTTGTTCTAGGGGGAGGTCTCCTGATCTTTTCTTCTTTCTTTGGTAGGTGCTGTTCGTCTGTCTTTTCAACCTGGGCATCATCTCTATTCCATCTCAATCCTCGCGGCATGCTGAGAGATCTCGCAGGTAGTCGTCTGACTCTCTCTGCCTGCACGGGCTTTTCTACCGGTGTCGGGGAAGCATCTTCATTGCTTATGGAAAGAGACACGGTGGAGCAAGAGCAATCCGAAAGACTCTCTGACTTGTCTAGACCCTCTTCCATCTTGCTTGTTTGCTTTCTTTGCGTTTCTATTGTTTCGTTTCCCAATCTATGTCTTTTTATGCCAAGCTTGGTGTTGTGAGTGAATTCTAACCCTTCCGCAGACACCTATCTGACCATAGCTAGCTATACCTACCTGGAACAAAGACCTCGCTCTTCGGGGCTCATGCCACACCGTAGTAGTGTTGGCTCAAGGATCGTTTGTTTCACCTCCAGTAAAAACTGGACGTCGATCTGATTTATTGGGAGCGACGACCTTCACCAGTGACATCCGATTATTGAAGGTCTTTCCTGTTCAGCGTTCGTTCACCGGAGACGCCTTCGGTTTGGAAAAAATCGGTGAACGAGGCACGACCACCAAGATCCACCATACCCTACGGTGGAAGCGTCGTTTTTGTTTGTCTACTTGTTACCTGTCCCGGTAGCCCTGGCCGAGTGGCTCTGTTCTTGGTTCAAAGCAAGCTCGATACGGTACATTATTGATCCATTTGCGTTCGCAAGGCATACCGGTACCGTAGATGCACTAATCTTTTCCTTTAGGTCGCTCGGTTTACGATCCCACATATTGACACCCCCGTCACTCCAGTAAACTGCTTATAGTCTAGTGCGAAGGAATTGCGTGTGGTACCGGTAAGGCTGTACTTCATCACTTATCTAGGGTCGCTGCTGCACGGTTGTCGTTTTTGCTGTAGAGGGCTGGTACTGCGACCACCACCATTCTTTCCTCTTAAGCTTCCTGCAAGAAGTCAGATCTTTTTCTCTTACCAACCTTGTAGCTGCAGTTACCGTCAATCGCCTGATACGAGGCTGTTACGAAGGAATCGTAAACCCCATCTAGTTAGTCGAGGGGTTGCTCAGGGAGGGAGTTGATGAACATGACAAGTTCAGCGGCACGGTGCTGGAGCGACGTTTGTGATCTTGCATTTGCAACTACGCTGGTATTGCTCGTGGGATGAGATTCCCATGGCTTTGGAACTGCGACAATTCCACCACTTAGCTGCACTAAAGGCCTCCAGAGGGCATCGCAGTCAATTCGCACCATTTGCCGGATCGTTGTCTCACAGGCTTTGCTTGTTTCGACATGAGCATCCCCCAAGAACGGCAGTATCATCGTTCCTACAGAAGGAACAAACCCTGCC